CCCCCCCCCCCTTTCATAGGCTATATATACGGGCCTTATGCCTCTTCAAATCAACACAGAACTGCTTCTTCACAACCTGAGAAGTACTCCTCAGGGGGCCTCCTAGTAAGAAGATAAGAAGATAGACAGTCTAGACCTGGAATAAACAGTCCGAACCTGTATAAAGAGATAAGGAGGGTATACAGGGGGAGGGATGTAGGCAAGCGGTATTAAGTTGTTAATAGTCGCAGGAGTGCCCAAACTCCGTCTAGAAGAGTGTAGCCAACCCAAGGGTACGGATCATAGATAGCGTTCAGAACTGCGCATTAATTTATATCTTTATCGCCAGTCTTGTAAGTGTTCAAAGGCAAATAGCATAGACAACTTTCCCAAGAACTTAATCGTCCTAAGGACGCCACCGTCTTGGCACCGTCTTGCGAGCATGTCTATCTTAAGAATATAACTGTCTCAAGACGGGCTTGTCTTAAGAGCGTAACTGTCTGGAGAACGTCTTCGTCTTGAGACGCTACCGTTTTAAGACCATAGCTGTCTTAGGACTATAGACGTCTTAGGAGCATTCCGTCTTAGGAACATGCCGTCTTAAGAACATGCCGTCTTAGGAACGTGCCGTCTTAAGAACATGCTGTCTTAAGAGAGTGCCGTCTTAGGAACGTGACTGTCTGCAGAGTAAAGCGAAACTAGGCTCCAAGTCGGGTGACCGTTATTGGGCCCCATTGCGCTTGGGATTGAATTCAGCCTGGCCGCAAACCGGGCCCCTAATACCTGGAACGGCACCGCTCACCGCCTTGCATAGTCTTTGGCTATTTTATAAAATAGTCCGTTTCTAGGCCATCTTATTGAATGTCACAGAACGCGATGAATCATGTAGAATAGCCATAGAAGCTAGCTCAAGGTTCTGATATTAACCAATTATCAAACACTAAGGATAATACTATCCTGCCGCCTTCTTTATTTATCTCCTATCTGTCTTCTTTCTTAGCGACCATCCTCTTTTCAGCGAGCGGCCAGCCTCTTTCTCAACGGTCAGCCAAATTCTAATGGAGACGACTAAACTTTTGAACCACCGAAGCATTCTGTAAAAGGTACTCAGGTTGCAAATTGACGTGAACTCTGTTGTATTGTGAGGCCGTACGAGCAGAATATATACAGGCAGGCAAGGGGGCACACCCCCTAGGTTTTACCGGCTCAGCTGAGTAGAAGCCAGCTGAAAAGGACTACTCGGAGTTGCTAGCATAGTAGCTGCCTACGTGCCTATCCAGTTACAACTTCTACAGATAGGGGGTGGGGTACGGTGGCCTACCCTGCCTACTACTGCCTCCTACTAGTGTTTCTGCCTCTGCATACAGTCACTTCCTACGTAGTATATAGCCTGCCCATACGGCTTCACAAATCAAACAGAGTTCACATCAATTTGCAACCTGAGTGGACCCTGTACAGTTGAGAAAGCTTCTCTGTAGAAGTTGTAATTGGCTAGGCACGTAGGCAGCGCAGCCAGACGTGTAGCTAGAAACCCTGAGTGTGCCATTCTCAGCTTCGGACTATACGCCTTGTATTTATTCACAACCCGTCGAATAGACTCCAGGGACTCCTGTGAATTCAGCATTGACGAGAAGTACTGGAGGGCGATCATTGCCGCGATGCCAATCTGATGGAAGTGAATGGTTGCCTGGCCCCAATAAGCAATTAGTCAGGTTGCACGTAGTGGTGTTGAACTCTGTAGAATTGAAGGTGTCGTATGGGCAGTATATATGCGTAGATATGGGGGGGCAGGGGGCCTCCGGGCCACTGAGCACCCGAGAGAGATTGGTGGCGTTGAGCTTGGTGTTGAGCACAAGCTGCAACTCGACTCACCCCCCAGCGCCGAGCCCCTAGTTGAGGAGCTGTTCTATAGTGGTTATATACGAGTTATCTTTTGGTGTTTTAATATAATAAAGGTGGCCTAATAGTTAGATCCACAGGGTGTAAGGGGTCGGAAAGAGGCCGTTAACAAGTATGCATTTGACTCTATATACAGAGAGGCAAAGATGCCAAAACAAAGGGGGGCCCGGGGCCCAGCGTGTTTATGTAGGGGCTTCTGCTTAGCACATGCTTGTGCGAAGCAGAGCCTCTAGCTCCGGAGGCCTTTCCGTGTGTTGATGTGACTCTGGGGCTCTCGGAAAGCTTCCGTTTGTAGAGCTCGCTTACAGGGAGCGTTCTATATTTTAAGATTTACCCAGCGCAAAGAAGCACAGTATAGCTAATAACCCGGTTTAGCTATCACTATTAAGCGTGAGACAGATAACAGCGTCAAGGTCAGTGTAGAAATGGAGGCTCTGGAGAGACTAAGTCGATTAGGAGGAACGCTATAATTTGCATAAAGACCTATCCGCCGATCCCAATCCAAGGATAGAATAAGCCCTGTGATATTCACCTGGTAGCTACAAGAATGCAACCCGTGAGTAGCTGCGAATAGAGCAGGCAAGAAGCGCAAGAGGTAGATTGCGGGCTTAAACGCGGAGCGACTTTGCTGAACTGCGCTATGGGCGATTAGCGAAGTAGAGTTTAAGGAAGGGCGCTGAGCCGATAAAGTGGCCATTCTCAGGCGTTGCCCGACGGGAAGTTCCCCGTTGCGGCGAAGGAGCGTCACGTGCAATTATCGCGCGCAAGGCCCCTTCTTTCGCAACATGTCAATTTCTACCTATCAAGCCATCCTAATCCGCATTGTTGTTCATCTTGCACTCATCCAGCTCAGAAAATGAAGTTAGAGTGCCATAACTGATGAGGCCGGAAGAAAAATCTGGGTTCGGTTCTGGAGGAAGAAGTCATTTAATATGCGGCGCTTTGATCATGACCGTTGAGCTTCTGTAAAGGGGAGACATGCCGAAGATATATTTATCAGTGCAGTTGTGATGCAAAATCGAGGATATGAACTGTATGCAATGGAAACGGGATAGTGGTCGAGAATGGAGAAGGCATGCAATATCGGGAGGGGTGGAGTAATAGAATTGCGCTAGATCGCAACGGGTGTAGGACCTTGGCGTGTAGTATTTCCGTTCCGCGCCTGAGATGCCCTCCACAACCTCCCAGATCATCTCCATCACTCACATCCATATTCTCATCACTGTGAATTTGCCTTTTCATTGACCTGGAAGTAGTGAAATCTGAGTTATTAATTCTACGGAAAGGTAAACAAAAACCAGCCTTGCCATTTTGCTACTTGTAGCAGAGTCTTCCTGCGTCGTCTGATCTGAACTTTTCGCTGCCAATCCCGGTTTGTGCATATAGAACATCAGCCGGATCCCATACGCTCTTGATCTTCTCTAATCTTTCAAAGTTAGCGCCATAGAATGCCTCCTTCCAATCTTTTTGGTTTGGATCCCCTTCGTTCAAATATGTTGCCGAGCTGAATGCTGACAGCAAAGGAAGGACTGCATCCTGCATAGCTCTCTCTTTGCCTAAATTCTCGTCCCAAGTCGAAGTCCAGTTCCACAGGCCGACGATCATTTGGTGTACAACCGTGTCTCTCCAGGCGGGTAGCACTGAGTTGGAAGGTGCGGCGGATGGAACGTGAGGTATCTGAAACGCATTGCCGACGATCCAAAGCGAGCCGTTTTCCAGAGCAGCAATCTGGCGGTGCGCCTCGATTAACTCCGATGTCTGGTTTGTCAAAGTCGACTGCGGAATTAACCTCGATGTCTGGACCTCGGATTGGGGGTACGAGTCGGCACCATAAGGAAGCGGACCGAAGAATGTCACGTACATGTCGTAGTAACTCGGAAAACTTGTCACGTCCAATGTATAAGGTATTTCCAATTGCTCCAGCTTTGAAATATACGGCGAGACGAGGTTTGTCACGTACTCTTTCGTTTTATCGGGCGCAGTCAAAGGCCGCAGCGAGAATGAGCCACCAACAATGACGTAACCGGCCGAGACATCATCCTCCAGTACCTGTGGCAATAATTGGTGGAAATCTTCAACCGCGGACCAAAAGATATCTTCGCTTGGAGAGGAGCTGATGTTGAATGACAGGCTAGCAGCAGACATGACGCCTTCGGGAAACGCCTTCACAGTCATGCTAACGACTACTGCAAACACGCCAGCCCCTCCTCCACTCAAAGCCCAGTAGAGATCGGCATTCGATGACGGGGTGGCGATGATATGCTCTCCATTCGCAGTGACTACCTCCCATTCAAGGACGTTATCAGCGCTAAGCCCATATTTGGAGCTCAAGATAGAGTGGCCTCCGCCGGTGGTATAGCCTCCGGCAGAAGCGACCGTCGGACAAGTTCCACCCAAGACTCTCAGGCCTTCTTTTGAAGATGCTTCGAGAGCCTCGTACACCATCACCCCAGCACCGAGTCGGGCGGCAGGGCCACTATAGTTCAAGAAAGCGTTTGCTCCAGAGTAGGTTTTGGTAATAGAGATTTCTTTGAGCGAGTGGACCCAAATAGACAAAGATCCCGAACCGCTACTCTTCCCGAGCAGATCGTGGCCTGTGTTTTTAACTATAACGCGAATGTTGTTAAGGTGCGCAAACTTCAACGTCTCTGCGATGTGATCTGGCGATGACACGTTAACCGCGTAAATGGGTTCATTTCCAAGTTGACATTTTGACAGTGCGCTGGTGAAGGGGTCGCAACTCTGGTTCTGCGCGAGAGGGCTGACGAAAGAAGAAGGCGATGAAGCGCTTCGTGCTGCATCAGCTCTAACATTCGGCAAAAACAGGAGAAACGACATACTGGGTTTGAATGTATGGCCAACCTTTTTTCAAGGCGTCGCAGGCAGTCTGGTTGTACTGCGGATCGTGGCATACATGCGCTAGTGGGACAGTCGCTATCAGTCTACCACTGAGTGTGTCATTCAGACGATCCCAGTCTGCTGTGGATGGCCAGCAGGGGTCTTGAGGTATGCATCGACATTGCGGTGAGGTGGAAGGCTTCATCTGGGCGAACGCGGCCAAGATGAATAAGAAAGCTAATGTTGCGCGAAAAGCCATCGTTGCGTGGGATTAGAGGAAAACAGAAGGATTGGAATAATCAAGCCACAGTGGTTGAGGTACCCGGGTGCAGATCGGACAGTAAGGTTTTCCGTAAGAATCGCTGGGATTATGGTCGCTAAACCATGCAGGCAGCGGATGCCGTAAGAATCGGTCAAGTCCGCGCGGGCATGCCCGTTTCTTACGTGAAGCCTCCGAACACTACGCCCGGTGGCCATGTCTCCAAATTTGCTGCGGGCGGAATTTAGCCGCCGTCTTTGAGTTTCATCACGAGTCCAACCAAATCAAATTGCGGCGTGTTCAAGGCCAGCTCTCTGCACAGCATCTCTATTTCACCATGCCGCCCGTGAGATACGAGCAAGAGCCAATAGCCATCGTCGGTCTGGCATGCCGGCTCCCAGGCTCATGCAACAGCCCCAATGCGTTATGGGACTTCCTCATGCGCGGGGAAATCGCCCCTCGAACTCCACCTGGCAGCCGCTTTGAATTTTCCACGCATCATGACGGTTCCAAAAAGCCGCATACGATGATCAGCCCGGGGGGCATGTTCATTGATGCAGATCCACGAGACATCGACGTATCCTTTTTCAGATTAACCAAATCCGAGGCCACGGCTATGGATCCCCAGCAACGCCAACTCCTCGAAGTAGTCTACGAAGGCCTGGAAAATGCTGGTGTTACCTTGGACGCAATCAACGGGCAGCCCATTGGATGTTTTGTAGGCTCATATGCATGCGACTATGCCGATATGCAGGCCCGTAATCCGGAAGAGCGAGCGAACATGACCACACTTGGTACAGGGCGTGCTATGCTAAGCAATCGACTAAGCCACTTCCTCAACATCAAAGGGCCAAGCATGACTATCGATACTGCTTGCTCTGGGAGCTTGTTCGGACTCGATGTTGCGAACAGATACCTACAAACCGGAGAGATTAGCGGTGCGATTGTCGCGGGGTCTAATATCTATCTTAGCCCTGAGCATGTCATGGATAACTTGAGCGCCAGTGGGACTTCCTCCCTCTCCGGTTTATGCCATACGTTTGATGAGAAAGCAGACGGTTATATCAAGGCAGAAGCCGTGAACATGGTGTTTTTGAAGAGATTAGACGACGCTATACGAGACGGCGACCCCGTCCGAGCTATTCTCAGAGGTTCTGCTACCGGCAGTGATGGATGGACTGCGGGCATCGCGAGTCCTAATTCCGCCGCACAAGCAGCTACGATTCGCCAAGCATATGCAAATGCAGGCATTACGAATCTAGCCGCTACCAACTATATCGAGTGCCACGGCACTGGTACCAAGGCGGGAGACGTAATCGAGGTGAACGGCATTTCTTCGGTCTTTACGGAAGCCATTTTTGACGACACGCCATTGCGGATAGGATCCCTGAAGAGCAACATCGGCCACTCTGAGCCGGCTGCAGGCATATCGGGCCTGCTCAAGGTCGTACTCGCTCTGGAACATGGCGTCATCCCCGGCAACCCAACCTTTGTGACGCCAAATTCCAACATAGACTTCAAACGCGTCAAGCTCTGGACTTCTAGGACCGCGAGCCGATGGGAAGAGCCGCCTTCCCTTCGCCGAGCATCGATAAACTCTTTCGGATACGGTGGAGCAAACGCGCATGCTGTTGTTGATTCCGCTCAAGGAAAGAGCAGCCATATCTCCTCCTATCCTGACGATGAAGACCTATTCGCTGACGAGCCCACGATCGATCGTCCCTACGTGCTATCATTGTCTGGTAACGATACACAAGCTCTTCAGGATAACATCGAAGCGCTGCAGCGGCATATCGCTAATCCGGCTGTTCGAATCTCAATGCGAGATCTCGCATACACATTATCTGAAAAACGAACACATCACTTCCACCGAGGCTACCTGGTCGCTGATGGCTCGGATATCTCCCAAGACCAACCAACACTGGGCAAATCAACATCTGCTCCCCGAATTGGCCTTGTCTTTACAGGACAAGGCGCGCAGTGGCCTCAGATGGGAAGAGATTTGGTTGCGAACTTCCCGCAGGCAAAGGCTCACATACTACATCTTTCTTCGGTCCTGACTGGCCTACCAGATAGCCCGAAATGGTCGCTCATCGAGGAACTTACACTACCACGTACCAGGGAGCAGTACATGAACCCAGAACTGTCCCAAACGCTCGTCACAGCTCTTCAACTGGCACTACTTGCGGTACTCGCGGACTGCGGACTCGGATATCAAACGGTGGTTGGGCATTCCTCTGGAGAGATTGCTGCGGCCGTTGCGGCTGGATGCTTAACGCCGGAACTGGCCATCAAAATTGCATTCTACCGCGGAAAGGCGACCTCCAGCGCAACTTACAAGAGTCCAGTTGGTATGATGGCCGTAGGTTTGAGCGAGAAAGAGGCTCGAGCATGCCTCGGAACGACGGCCAATGTTCAAATTGCATGCGTAAACAGCCCGAAGAGCATCACCCTAGCAGGCGATCGCGCAGAGCTAGTCGAACTAGAAACGCGAATAAAAAGTCAAGGACACTTTGCGAGGTTACTCTTAGTCGACGCGGCGTATCACTCAGAGTACATGGCAGACGTCGCTTCGAACTACCGCAGCCATCTAGAGCACAACTGCGACTGGAAGGTCGACTCAGTCGCAGAAGCCAATATGTATTCCACCGTCACTGGCTCCATCAACCCAGACGTTTGCAATGCTTCGTATTGGGAGGCGAATATGAGGTCTCCAGTACTTTTTGATTATGCTGTCCAACGTATTCTCCAAGCCAACGATGCTCCCGAAATGTTGATTGAGATTGGTCCAAGTAACGCGCTTTCGGGCCCGATCAATCAGATAAAACAACATCTAAATTCGAATATTCCCTATATGCCCGCATGGAAGAGGGGTCCTGATGCACTACGCGCCTTCTGCGATCTAGCCGGTCAATTATTCATCAGAGGCAACGCTATCAATCTGGCACGATTCAATCAAGACTTCAACGAAAGCCCTCTAGCCGTGATTGTAGACCTGCCAAACTATCGCTGGAACCATTCGGTCAAGTACTGGCATGAAGGGAATTCAAGCAAGGAATGGCGCTATCGAAAGTACCCACACCATGATATTCTCGGCACGAAGATTCTTGGGACCCCATGGCAACATCCAATCTGGTCGAAGCTCCTTCGGGTGCAAGACTTGGCGTGGATTCCAGACCATAAGCTTGGCGAGAGCATCGTGTTTCCGGGTGCTGGATATATCGCAATGGCAATCGAAGCGGCTTTCCAGACAGAAAAGGCCACACAGCGAATCCCCAAAGATGTCAGAATCAACCAAATGACATATATTCTTCGAGACACTCGCTTCTTGAGAGCTATGTTACTAGAAGACGGTACGGAGACGCGCGTTATTACCACTCTCACATCGCGCTCGACAAGCGCAAAGCAGATATGGTATGATTTCAAGATCTCGACCCAGATGGTCGACCTCGTGACCGACCATTGCCAGGGACTTATTCAAGTTCAGGAAGCTATCGCTGCCAAGGCCGGCGAGAAAGACATGCTTCCCCTTGAGTTTCCCGAACCCGGTTCTGTCTGGTACAAGACAATGCGCAACATTGGATACAGCTTTGGTCCAAGTTTCCAGAGACAGCTTCAAGTCGAGTCAGTGGCTGGTTCGCATCGCAGTCGTTCCTTGCTGTCTTTTGAAGCGTCCCAGTCATCGAGTAAAGAGTCAGCATATGCACTTCACCCAACCAGTATCGACGTCTGCTTTCAGTCTGTGGCGGCTTCGATTTGGAAAGGCTCGAGATCATCGGTAGACATTCGTCTTGTCCCGAGCTCCATTAGTGAGTTGATTATAGCAGCGCAATCCACGCCTCTTACTCTCGCTATGTCGATAGCTACGTCGCGATTCGCCGGAGTTGGGAGAGTCGATGATCCAAAGACCTACGCGTCGGATGTGTCTGCGTATGATCATGCGACGCATCAGGAGTTAGTCCGTCTGACGGGCCTAAAATATCGGAGCCTGGAAATGGACAAGACGGCCAGCGATAATCACGTCTATAATCGTAGTATATGGAGGCCCGATGTCACAAAGCTCACAGAAACCCAATGGCGTCAGCTGCTTGAGTGTGAAGAGAAGACCGCGGGCACCAAGACAACTTCGACCGCCGCCTTAAATGAGGTTCTCGACCTCATGGCATTCAAAAAGCCGGATATGCGTGTTCTCGAGGTGAACTTTGACGGCGTTCAACCTTGCAGTGTGTGGATCGATGGCTGCAACACGGAATCTTTCGATAGAACTACATGTTGCTATACGACCCTTGTGGTTCCCTCACACTCGGCATTGAGCGAGGTTACGCGGACCTACGGGCATCTGAAAAATCTCACAATGCAGCGGGCGCCGGACGTGGCGAAAGTCGAAAACCCCGAGCCTTTTGACGTTGTAATAGTCAAAGTACCCACGCTTGCGGTAGTAGAGCCTCAATGGATTGTCAAAGCACGTCAATTCCTATTAGAATCAGGATACCTTGTAGTCGTTGAAGATACAAATCAAAGCGCCAGACCTCATCCAACACAAACTGAAGCCACGCAGTCGTTCATCGAGTCATTACAGGAAGCCAGGTTTGACAATGCTATTCATCTCCCATACGCATCGTGCTACCTTGGATCGTCTCGCCCGCAAGCATGCACGCTCAAAGCCGACACTAACAAAATCGGGATCCTTCATTTCAACTCTAGCGAGAACGAAACTGCAGAGATTAGCTGCGCGTTATCGTCACGAGGTTGGGACATCACCCACTACCATCTGCCCCTGGCAGGTATTGAGCCTGGTAGCACGGTGATGGTTCTGGACGAATTGTGGAGTCCTGTCTTGACCAATGTCTCCCAACAAGCCTGGTCGGCCCTGAAGACAGTACTGTCCAGCAAATGCCGGGTCCTATGGACAACGCTGAGATCAGTCATGGACGTCGCGCACCCCGACCGCAGCCTCATATACGGATTGGCCCGATCCATCTGCAGCGAAGACCCAACCGCCATGATCATGACACTGGACGTAGCCTCGCCACGCGGCGACGCCACAGTGGGAGCGATCAGCCAGGCCATCCAAGCCGTGCAGACCGCCACCACCACAACCGGGACGGACTGCGAGTTCATCGAACGCGGCGGGATGGTGTATATCGGACGAATCATCCCAGACGCCCCGCTCAACCGCCAACAGCGCGCCAACGCCGCCGGCGCAGAATCGCTGCCCCTCCAGCTCTTCCAGCAGCAGCATCGCGTCCGGCTGCAGAGCTACCGGCCTGGCGCGCTCGATTCGCTCGTCTATGCAGAAGTGCCTGACGACGATGCCATCCCGGCCACGCAAATCGACGTTGAGATCCACGCTGTCTCGTTGAACTTCAAGGACATCGCCATCAGCATGGGCTACATACCCGGCAACGAATACCTGCTCGGACTGGACGGTGCCGGGGTAATCCGCCAGGCTCCGCCGAATTGTACGCAGTACCGGGTCGGCCAGCGCGTCTTGGCGAGCACGAAAGGCAGTCTTGCGAATCGCGTGCGCTGCGATATCGACGGCGAGGTGTTCCCGATTCCGGACGGGGTGTCGTTCGAAGTGGCGTCGACGTTGAACACAGTGTACTCGACTGCGTTCTATGCGTTGGTTGATGTGGCACACGTGAAGGCAGAAATGTCGGTCCTGATTCATTCGGCAGCTGGTGGGCTGGGTTTGGCTGCTGTGCAGATTTGCAAGCACCTTGGGGCGACTATCTTTGCTACTGTTGGCGCGGATGCGAAGAGGAAGCATTTGGTCGAGAAGTATGCGATTCCTGACGAGCACATATTTTCGTCTCGATCTGCAGACTTTGCTGTGCGCTTGAAAGATGTCACGGCGGGCAAAGGTGTAGATGTTGTGCTGAATTCGTTGACGGGTGAGCTTCTACACGCAAGCTGGGGCTGCATTGCGACAGCAGGCACATTTATAGAGTTGGGTAAAAGGGATATCTTAGATGGGGAGTGTTTGAGTATGGCGCCGTTCAATCGGAATGCGAGATTTTGCGGCGTGGACATGTCTCACGATTCTATCACGCCGGCGTTGAAATTCAGGCAAGTCACATGGTATATGATTGCATTCTATTACGTTTCTGACTCGTTTTCAGACTTCTCAAAGACGTTTTTGGCTTGCTGAAAGAAGGCCATATTCAGCCTGAAATCAGCAAGGTCTACGGTTTCGCAGACGCGCAGGCTGCGTTCCGCCATTTGGGCACTGGGGAATCCATTGGCAAAATCGTCATCTCGAGAACGCACGACCAGCAAGGCCCAATTGTTCCGGTAAGCAACTCGTCTTAAATTTCAATTCATCTGTTGACCACTAGGCAGATCCGGGCAGCGGCACCTCGTCTCTCACTTCGCCTCGATGCCTCCTATCTCATTGTGGGGGGTTTGAAAGGTCTTTGTGGGAGCTTGGCAGTATATCTCGCCCAAGAAGGGACCAAAACACTCGTAATACTGTCACGCTCGGGATACGATGATGAAAAATCACGATCCATCATATCCAAGATTACATCGCTGGGCTGTCGCGTAGATCTGGTAAAGGGTGATGTCACTAGTGAAGCAGACGTAGAGCGAGCCTTTACAGAAGCCTCAGCGCCAATCTTCGGAGTTGTGCAGGGAGCAATGGTCCTTCGAGTAAGTGTTCAGCTAATCTCTCTATGAAGCTAAACTAACGGTCTCGCAGGATAAACTCTATAGCTCAATGACCCACACCGAATTCCACGCCGCCATCGCGCCAAAAGTCCAAGGCACATGGAACCTGCACCGCGTCGCGCTGCGCCTGGGTAACACACTAGATTTCTTCACGCTGCTCTCCAGCCTATGCGGCATCGTCGGCCAAAAAGGCCAAAGCAACTACGCGGCCGCCAACGCCTTCCTCGACAGCTTCGCGCACCACCGCCGCGCCCTGAACCTGGCCGCGTGCGCCGTCGACCTCGGTCTCATCGAAGACGTGGGCTACGTCGACGGCAAAGCGGCGCTGGACAAGCGCCTGCGCAGCCAGGGCTGGCACGCCATCAACGAGACGCTGCTGGCGCAGATCCTGTACTTCTCCATCCTCCAGCAGAAGCGCCCGGCGCTCAACCCTTCTAGCTCGTCGCATCTGATCGCGGGAATGCCGGTGCCGTTGCCGGAGCAGTCGCCTGCGCAGCGCGATCCGCGGTTTAGCGCTCTGCGGCATGCGAGCGGGTTGGGGGCGCAGCGGGGTTCTTCGAGCGGCGGGGAGGCACAGTCGGCCGTTCAGATCCTGCGTGAGGCGTGGAAAGCGCAGGATGGGGATGGGGATCAGCCTGAGCTTCTGAGTACTCTGATTGTGTTGGCGAACAAGCAATTCATGAAGAGTCTCGGGATGGCGGAGGAGATGGACCCCGTGCGGCCGATTGCCAGCTACGGCATCGACTCGCTAGTCGCCGTCGAGTTCAAGAACTGGACGTCGGTGGATTTAGGGGTGGAGGTCGCGACATTGGATATCATGGGTGCGAAAACGCTGGCGTCTTTGTGCCAGGTCATTTTGAAGCGGGGGTTCCAAAGCCGTGGGCAGAAGTAAGGTACTTAAGATGATAAGATGGTAGTTGTATTGTACAGTACACTAGCTAGAATTACATGAACGGCTTCACTTTCTCCTCGCACCACTCCCAGAACTGCGCCGCCTTCCCCTCGCCGATCGCCTTGTACACATCCTCCCGCGAATTAGGCTTGATGACGCCAAACGGCCAGATGTAGCACCCATTCTGCGCCGCCGTGATCCTGTCCGAGAAGCCCGCAAACATCATCGTGTAGGCGCCGTATTTGGCGTCGTAGAGCACGAATTTCCGCAAGAAAAGCACGAACAGCCAGTGTTCGCCTGCATAGATGGCCGTGTACAAGTTCCCTGGATTCTGGCACACGCTGATAATGTCCTCCCCGCCCCACCTCGCCGCGGCTTCATGCGCAAGGAAGAGGTTCCCGCACTTCGACGCCGCGTAATCCACATACTGCGTGACGGTCTTGCCGCCATTGAGGCGCGGAAAGTCGATCCCGCCCGGCGGCGCGTTCATCTCGATCTGGACAGACCCGGTCCAGACGACGCGCGACGCGCGGCCGGCGCTCTTTGCGCCAGCGCGCAGAAACGGCAGAAGTAAGCTGGTGAATAGAAATGGTCCGACTGCGTTGGCGCCCATGTGCGCTTCAAGGCCCTGTGGCGTCGACGACCCCGGCACGCAGCCCATGGCGGCGTTGTTCCATATCACGTGCAGCGTCTTCTCCTGGGCTGCGAAGGCCTCGACGGCTGGCTTGACGGTGCGCAGATCGCTGAAGTCGAGTCCATGGAGCGATTTGAGAGTTCCCTTGGTGTTTGTGGCGGGTGCGGTGGCCTCGATCTCGGCAATGGCCTTGGCGATACGTTCCTCGGACCGGCCGGCGAGGTAGATGGTCGCGCCGGTGGGGTAGAGGAATTTGGCGAGCTCTTTCCCGATGCCCGAATTGGCGCCCGTTACGATGAAGACTTTGCCCGCTTGGCTGCCGGGCGCGAGGTCCGCCTCGGTGAAGGTGGGTGGCGCGGATGGGAAGAATTGCTGCCAGATTGTTTTGAGTGACATTATGGCGGTGGTGTAGAGGTGGAGGGTGGCTTTGGCTGCAGGGAAGTTTCGCGGTAAGCTAACGCGAGATCGCTTATGTGAGGCGCTAGCTCCCGCAGGCACGTGACTGAGTGAGGTAATGCGATGTGACGATGCGATGCATGGTAAGCGACTGCATGCCGTAAGCTTTACTTCACCTGCAGGGTCGCACACCTACACCTTCCTCGTCATCCCTGGCTTACGGTCCACCGCCAACGTGCTGACGCCCCAAGCTGTGGCAATTGCGTTGTGGAAGAAGCTCGCTCGTTCTACACCATGGGCAGCATTGAACATGTCGAGTTCAAGACGATTGATGGTCTCACGCTGCGCGGACATGTTTATCATTCTGGGGTCCGCGGACCGGGTGTAGTCATGTGTCCTGGGGTGAGGGTCCAGAAAGCAACTCTCTATCCACGTCTCGATTGAATGTCTAACAGCTCCCCAGTTCAACTGCGTCAAGGAAATGGCCGGCCTGCCCAGCGTTGCGAAAACGTTTATGGATAATGGGATTACAGCCCTCGTTTACGATCCGCGCACGGTTGGGGAAAGCGATGGTCAGCCCCGCAACGACATCGACCCTTCCCCACAGATTCAGGACTACTCCGATGCAATTACATATCTGAGTAAGCTTCCAAATGTGAACGCAAACCAAATCGGTCTCTGGGGGATATCGCTGGCGGCAAGCGTAGCGCTGTGTACCGCTTCTTTTGACAAACGCGCAAAATGGGTCATTGCAGCATGCCCGGTAGCAGAGTATCATTACGACAAGAACATGATGGCAAAAGTGCTACAAAAGTGCATCCAGGACCGCGCCTCGCAAATCATGGGAAATCCGCCATTTTACGTGCCCATGCTGAACGTGTCCGGCATCAATCCAGCCGGCCTGGACTTTGGCTACGAGCGAGAATACGCCGCAGAGATGGTGAGGAGGGGGATCCAAGTCGCGCCCAACCACCAAAATAAAACCACCATCCAATCGTATCACAAACTTGTCATGTGGAACCCGTGGCCAATGTGGAAGCATCTAGGCTCCACGCCAGTACTATTTTTAGTCCCGGAAACGGATCGATTGTGCCCCCCAGACGTACAAATACGCCACTTTGAAGCTTTGACAGGACCCAAGAGATTGCATGTTCAGAAAGGGAGCGGGCACATGGACATGGTTGAAGGAGCACATGCCGAGGAAGTCTTCAACGTCTCGCTTAATTTTGTACGCGATGCCACTGCGGGCACCATCATCGACGCCGACTTCTGAAAGAGTACATTTGAAGTTGCGAAGCCAGCACAAACTTCACGAGCGGATTGGCAATGTCAAATCGGCGCCCTTCTCTACCAACATCTCTACTACGTCGTCGGAACCTTGCGTTATTGCTTGGTGAAGTGGGGTGTGCCCGTCATGATTGTACAAATCGATTCGGATGTCAGAAATCTGCAAGAGCAGGTCTAAGATTGCAAGGTTACCAGAGGCTACGGCGGCATGTAGTGGAGACTGGCCTGCCTTATCTTGTGTGTTCACGTCAACGCAGATGCTCGCAATGCCAGTTGCGGGCTGTGAATTCTGCTCTAGGAGGAGCTTGACGGTATCTACGTGATTGTTTTCGATGGCTAGGTGAAGTGCGCTGCGGCCAGATCCGTCTCCGAGGTTCGCATTTGGCAAGCGCTTCAGCAACAGGCGGAGAACACCATTTTGGCCACGTTCAGAAGCTAGGTGTATGGCGGATTTGCCTGTGCTTGGTATGGCGGTCGGGGGATCTTGCTTGTGCGATTCAGATCTGACGTACGATTCATCCTATCGGCAATGGTTACTCTATGCTATATCTTCAGGTTTTTGCTCCAACACTTACCACTTCATTCGGAGGTAGTGGCCCCGTCTGGCTGGAAGCGATGTGCGGCACGTTCTCCACTGGGCCGTCGGTAAGGGAAGGGACAGTGGATGCGGAATCTTGTGGCTCTTGTCTATCCAATTCTCGTTCGAAGTCGCTTGGAAATGCTGAGTATTGGGTTCCGGCCTCGCTCAGGGCTATAGCCGAATCAATGGAAGGATACCAGTCCGAGCAAAGCGAGAAATCATCATATGCAATTGCAGTTGCTTGTTTTTCTTCCACCGCGGTCCTCGAACTTCCCAGCTGCTCGGTACCTGATAGCGGACTCTCGCCCACATGGGAAGCGGGTTGATGATTGGAAAAAGTCGAGATGGAGTGGCTGGACTCGCACTCTGGAATCACCATAGCTGCATCGTATCGTGCGGTCGTTCCATCGGAGTCGTGTCCCGGCGATGTGGATGTAAAGGCCAGAGCAACGTCGCGCCACCGCTCCAGGTCTTCGATACGACGTTTGAGCTTCTCCCCTATTTCAATTTAGTCGTTTGTCTTGGTAGTGGGAACAAAGTGCAACTGAAAAACGGTTACATACGGTAAGTACGTTGGGCTTGGCGGTTTTGAATACGTTTTCGCTGTCTCGCATCCAATGCAGAAGCACGTGTTGGCTCAGTCATGTTCGCAGCAAGGTAGACGACGTTAGGCGGAGGTACGAGAAGGCAGACGTCAAAGTCGAATAACAGCTCAATTGCAACTCAAATATAAACGACTCCCTTTTTTCGTCTAAATGCACTATTTTCATCAGGCCGCATGTACCTGCAAGATAGCAGGGTAAATGTTGCTCAGGCTCCGACGGCGTGGTTCAGGGCCTGTCTAGCGCCGGTGTTGGTGAATTTCGCTGTCCGAAGCAGCGCTAAGCCTCGCTCACATGCAAATGCGCCATCCTGCAAGTTCTACTGGCGTCATCGCGATTCCCTTGGAAATAGCATAGATCTAACCACAATGCCCCCAAAACTTGCATCGAGGGTACGCAACCTTCTCGGGCTGACCCCTGCCGTTGAGAAATGCTTTCCGGCGCTTGCGGGAGGCGCCGCAGATCGACGGGGCGTGTAAGCACTGTAACGGCGTGCATACCGAGAATGCAGCCTTCCCCTGTACGGCTTGTCCATACACGTCTGCAGATACGAGTATCTTAGTCACGCTGCAAGCATGAATATGTTTCCTTATTTGAGGAATAGAAAAGGTGTAGAGTAGAAACTGTGCCGAGATGCGCGGTTCGCGGTGTCGTGGAGCACGGGCGAAGCGTTGGAGACTGCGGAGGACCCCAGCCCAGTGGCGAACATCCCGCCCCACCCAACCACCCCGTCCGGCCGCGCCATTGGCCACATGGGCGCTGGGCATCGCTCCACCCCTCCCGCTGCTGCCTCCCGCGTCTCCCGCCGTGCCAACCCCCCGCGCCTCCTCCCGCTCTTAGTTCCCGAAGCCCTCCCGTCGATATGTTGGCGACGCGCCCCGGCGAATCTGGCAACTCAGACCAGCCTTGTGGGCTGATCCGCCGCGTGCATCAATGCCGCTGCAACTCGCAAGTGCGACAGCAATATAATCTTGGCCCCACGACTTCTGCGGGATTCGCATCCAATCACACGCTGCCCGCGGCCTTGCCTGGCGTTGACGGTTAAGTATGTGACGCCACCCGGAATACAGAGCGCCCCTTTTGACCCGTTTACCCCCACTGCATGTCCGTCAGCAACGATGCCTTTTTCTTTCGCTGAGAACCCGCAGGGCACCATCTACTTCTCCATCTGTTGTTTCTTTCAAGTGCTGTCGTTTGCCGCAACAGGATTGCGGCTATGGGGACGAAAACTCCAGCGGATACCGCTGCAGGTCAACGACTATGCCATCCTGGCTGCCCTGGTGAGTGCCATCTGGCATCATTTCGCCGCAAAAAAGACGCTGGCCGACTGACCGTCCATCAGGCTTTGACAGTCGCCAACATCGGCGTATTGGGCGCATGTGAGTGCGGCAAAACTCCACCGAAGCCCTGTATGCGACATCTGGAGCTGATGTCAAGCAGCCGTCAGACATGGAATGGGCGTCAACATCGCGAAGGTGGGCCCCGAAGATCTGGTCACTTTTGTCAAGGTATGCCAACCCCGCCTCGAACAGACGATCGCGCCAACTCCTCGTAGCTGCAGACCGTTATTACCGTGACCTGGGAGTGGGCTATTTTCGCCATTAGGATCTCGATACTCGACCTCTACATCAAGATTTTCCGCATCCCATGGTTCATCAAAGTCTGCTATGCTTACCTGGCATTCCAAGTCGCCTTCATCCTCTCCATGTTCTTAACCACCATGCTGCTCTGCAGACCTTTCAGGTACCAGTGGGACAAGACGGTTCCAGGCGGCGTCTGCGGAGACCTGATTGCCAGCTACTATGCCACTCACATCACCATCCTGCTCACCGACGTGATCACCGCCGTCCTCCCCATCCCCGTTCTCTGGAAACTCAATATGAACACCCGGAAAAAGATTGGCATCTCTCTCATGTTCATGCTCGGAACCGTGTACGTCCCGCCCAATCCCTCAATCCGATATCATGGCTAATTCCACGCTACCTTTTCAGCATCGTCACCTTCAACATCATCCGCCTCGCGTGGACCGATAAAGTCAAGAGCCCAGACATAACCTACGCCTACGCCATCCTCTTCTGCTTCAGCGAGCTCGAGATCCAGCTCGGGCTGATCCTCGCCTCGGTGCCTCTCATGCAGCCGGTCCTGCACAAGTATCTGGGCGTCGGGTTCCCCGGCAAATCTCCCACAGCCCGCTCGCACAACAAAAGCGGCGCCAGCACCAATCCGATCCAGCTGGGGACAATTGGGTCGACCCGCACCCGCAAGTACAATAACATCCTGGAGACGGAAAGTGCCCGGGAGTTCGATTTAGATGAGGAGGACGAGGGGGATGCGGAGAGTGCCAGCCGCATCTCCCCTAACCTCGGCAAGATTTCTGTCACGCTGGACTGGGAGATCAGACATGAGACTGGTCCTGGTCAGGAGAAGATGACGCGTTGATGTTGGTCTATTTGTTGGCAGCGAGCATAGCGTTATCTGGGTGGGATTTTCCTATAAAAGTTATAGATGTAACAGTACGGACTTGGTTACAGGAGCAGGCTCTATTTGAGGCTACAAGAATATTACCTTTGTAAGCTAAGGAGGGAAGAGTTGCAAAGAGCAGAGGTTTTGCCTTAGCTTGATCAGAACCGCCTGGGCGTGGGTGTTCCTTGAGAAGGTGCTGGGCCTGATCTGGACCCGACACCATAGGTGATCCAACAGCGTTCCGAAGGGCTTGCAGTGGAAAGACGTGCCCTTTTGTATGATAGAACATACCAGGAGCCCCAAAACTCCATGCCCTCAGCACTGCCTTGCTGCCAGAGTTACCGTTATATTAAAATAAATCACTTGAACTTTAATCTTCAAGAATATTGAGGGCTCTTTTGCCTTTCTTCCAGGCCTGTAAGCGCCGGCATCAGCGCCACCGTTAGAGCGCGTTGCTGAAGAATTGATGACAAGACAACAAGATACCCCACGACTAATACTCCACAACCAACACCACTTCTACCGCCTCAATTAATAACAAATTAACCTTTACAACCTACGTACTAGCCTAGGCTTGCCTATACTAATATTAACGCGTTTTATATATTAGAAATTTTAGAAATAGAATCTACTATAACGCAACATGCATAGCTCTATACCTTTGTAGAATAAGAGAGAAAGTAACGTCTATCTCTGCGTGTCGAGAAACCCACCATGCTAAGAAATATAAGGGGTACAGTACTAGGGCAGAAGTCTGTGTGCACGAGCTCGGGCCCCAACGCGAAACTACGCGACGCGCATCAACTCACCATTTTCAAACACCTACAACTCCACCATGCCCCGCTTGTTTGGCACAGAAATTACAGGAAATCGCGGCTAAAACCAGGAGCTAGCTTTAGGCTGTTTTCTAATAGAGAGTAAGTTTACTTAAGAGCCGGGGCCCTAAAACTAGAACCTGGCAGCCTACAGGCCCGGAAATGGGCCTTCTAAAGCAGGGTGAGGACCCCAGTCTTAATGCTCCCTGTCGAATACAGGGCCCAAAACTGGGTTCCAACGAGCTGCTCAGTCTCGGCTCAGATGCGCTCAGTCTCGGCTCAGGATGCGCTCACCCACAGCTCAGGTTCCTGAACGAGAAAGGAAATTGCTTGGGTGCACATTGGGATATCGTACTACCTGTTTCAACACTAAACTCGCGCGTTTAGAAGGCACTCTGGATTGGCACCATCAACTCCTTTGTATGTTTTGCGCGCGTAGAGCTGATACCGACATGATGGACAGCATCTATTCACGATGTGCCTCTGCCTCTTCTGGCGGCAGTGTGCACATAGGTATGGCCAGGTCGCAACCTTTCTGACCCTCTTCAAACTCTCCCTGTTCTGCTGAATATGTTTTCTCAATCTTATGTCGCTGTCATCTTCCTTTCTGATGCCTGTGTGGAGCACGCGCACGCTGTAGCAGCTTCTATATCTTTGTCCAAAAGTGCAACTCCAACTACCCAAAATCCTACACCAACTGTCACAGATGAAGGATTCTGGTTTCCGCTGGTCGGACTCTCAGATGACATCTCGAAACCGTGGGGCGCAAACATATCCACTCTCCATGCTGGCTCATACAACCTCAACTTTACTCCCTACGCGATAACGGTCAATGACGGCGATTCTGTCTCGCCCGCAGCGGCCTCGACAACGGATTCTCCAGTCAATTTTGAAATGCAGCATTCGGATGGCGGATCATCCAATGCTGATCAGATCCTTATCGTCGCTCCAACAGGCGACCATACGCTTTCTCTTGGCCTGAACTCTTCTCTTGGTGTTACTTCGCCAGGGAAAGACGACCTGGCCAGCTCGACGGTGCCTTTTGGTTTAAATCTTGGACGGAATGGCACCTGGAATGGATCTATCACTCTAAACGGCTACTACGATGCCGCGCGGATCAACTCAACCTCCTGGATCTCCGTTGGCCCATACCCACGCATCAACGGCAACACCACCGTACTTGAGTCCGGAAAGCAGACCGTAGAGATCTTCCTCCGCGGCAGAAACCCCAGCATCAGTTCCCGTGCACGCAACGCCACCTTCGACTTCAACAATGACGCCATTATCCTCCCCAACGGCTTCGACTGCGGCGACAATATAGCCATCAACATCATCTCGGACACGAGCGATACGCTGGTCAACTACGACCTTGCGGTGCCCGGCTATTTGATGGATGCCGAGGGCCGCTGTCGAGCTCACAAACACAGCGACGATGATCTTGCCGACATCACGCTGGGCCGGCCATTTTTCCAGGCTACTTATGCGTACGTCAATGAGACTGGAGCGTTATTCCTCGCACAGGCAAACAATTACGACCTGCCGATCGATGCGAAAAGGTTCCACGCCTCGGAGACTTTGACGCCTCCTGCGGGCCCTCCTCCAGCGAAACATTCTTCGGCGTCGGGATCCTATCCACTGATGGAAACGTCAACGCTTTTAGTTATTTTGCTTGTATCATTAGCTTCCAACCTGTAACCCTATCATATAACTTAAACCGGCGCCAACGGTCAGCTAAGTTTAGGCGTGTGCCCTGTTGCTGGCTGGATGGAATGGAGTTCTAGCGATGGCGCTCGAAACGTTCATTCACGTTTTCTTATGGCGTTGTAGAATCCTTGTCATGTATTTATGCTTCGGGATGAAATTACTTATTTCTGGGATCTTAATGCTACGCTACTGCAGGAAGAGCATCTTGTCTTGTCCCTAGTCACTTCCCGTTCTCTGCAAAGACATCGCTTCTCGCCAATATATACTGGAGTCTCGACAATGCCTGAAAATCATTCGCCCAACTTAGGACGTGAAAGATCCCCACTGGTTCTAAAGACTGGGTGCTCGGACCGCGGCACCCTCTGCCTAGCACGATCAGCTTCGACACCTTGGGAAGCTTCTGTGTAAGGTTTCCTCATCTCTTTGGGTACACCCGTTTCATAATAAGAGGCTTCTTCTGAACCCTCGCCCTATTGGGACCAAATCCTCCGTGTCGTATTCTAGCCAATCACACCGCTTCTTTGTCGAGCACCATCCCGGCCCCACCTCGCCACTGGTTGAGCACATCGTACCAAACCTTCAACCACGACTTAAGAGTCGATCCCGGAGACCAAGGGACCCTGAAAGAATGCTTGTTCCTGAATATACCGAATAATGAACTTCAAAGCGCTCCTCCCAATTCTTTTCTGGCCTGTGGCCTCCAGTCACGAGCATCATGCCCGACGAGCTCAATCTCAAGATCCCATTGCCGCCGATACAGCCAGTATAAACAACATTCCCTTCAGCACACGTGCGTACTGGATGCGCCGCGCAAATGCCGCATCAGCAGAACTCGCTTCCCCGTGCCCGTTCGCTGCTTTCGGCACCGTTATCGTAAATCACACGGATAGTTCTAAAGGGGCATTGGGGAAACTGGTGTGTATTGGAATTAACGAGAACGGGAGGGTGGGGAATCCAGTATTGCATGGTGAGCAAGTTGTAAGAGGAAAAAGTGAGGGGTGCGGACTAATGGGCAACAGGGGAGATCGCGGCGATAAACAACTGCTCTAGCATTCTTACAAATTCGGCGGGGTCGTATAATCTAACGGCCGGCGAGGCGCTGGACGCGTTTGCGAAGTTGAGCATTTATACGAATGGGGAGAGTTGTCCGATGGTACGACATTCTTCTCTTTATCAGCAACCTTCAGCCCTCGATCTTTTAAAACTCTAACTGACTCATGAAGTGCGCTTCCGCCATCCGATGGGCTGGCTTTCGCGAGTACATCTACGGCACGAGCATTGACACGATTATCGAGCAAGGTTGGGGCCAGATCCGGATCTCGTCGCTGGAGGTGTTTAGACGATTGTTTGATCTCTCGACCCAGTCGGGGCTGATAGGGCCAATTCTGGCGAATGAGACGGATCCGTTGTTTGCATGGCAGTTTGATCCGGCGGCGCCGTGCCCGGAGGGTTGTGCAAGGGGAAGGATGGGAGTTTGTGAGAATAGTTGATCTGCTCTGAGAAAGCAGAGTACCAAACATATAAATTTGGGCACATTCTTGTAACTGTTTGGGGTACCCCGATAGGCTTGGGAAACTCCAGAAATGATGTAAAGGTCAAACAGTGGGAATTAGAGTACCTTTGAACTAACTAGAGATATGTAGCCCAGGGCACTCCTTACAGTGGTGTCGAGAGAGCGAGAGTGAAGCCGGAGCAATGGCATATCCGTGCCCAACCTTATGACCTACTTTTGTATGCATGAACCGTCCCGCCTCTTTGTCACAGTCAGGGTCCATTCATGGATTCCATAGCCATCGTTGTGAAAATCGTGAACAAGCCCAAATTACAGGTGGATTCTTCCCGTCCTTCTCGATTGGGCGGACAGAATGAAATGAGCTAGTAGAACTAGTGCGTAATGGGTTAAGTGCAGACTCTGGAATCGCGTCTCCGAAAGGAAAGGGTTTTCTTGGAATAAAACGACAGATACCGAGTGCAGCTTCTAATGCAAATTACACTGCTCGAGAGTGCTTGAAGTAACCCCAAAAGAAGTCGAGATGGTGCAAATAAGATCGGAGGTGCACTCCGATGCCAAGGCCGAATCAGAATGACGTCTGTTCCTTCAGCACAGACGATCATGGTAGCGGCAGATCACCATTGATCCACCCGCGCCTAGATTTCTCAACCTTCGAATCAAGGTCACTTCCCTGATCTCCTCCTCTCTGCATTCTCAATTCGCATCGTTACTATCGCGACCTTCTCATTCTTCGCACGCTCGTAGTTTACCCTTTGTGCTGTTATCATGGCGCAACAAACTCGTGGAGAAGCAGACAAGTACTACAATAGCGCGCCGCCGGGGCCGCCTCCACAACAACACCAGAACGGTAATCAACAGCAATACCAGATGGAACCTCCCCGGAACGGGGTTAAGTACGAGCAACAGCCTCCGTCGTACGGACAGAATGAGCAGAACGGACAAAATTACGGGCCAACTAGTGGAGAGAGTGGCTATGGGGAGAAGCCGACCTTTGAGCAGGCTTTCACGATCCAAGGGCCCAAGTACCACGATATCTGGGCAGGAGCACTGGTACGGACCCTCTGCTCGTTTTGGAATCCTCAATTGACCCGACACAGTTCCTAGCCGTATTTCTAGGCTTCGCAGCCGTCTCGGGCATTGCGATCCAAGGATATGCCAAGACGAAAGGCTTTAATGGCGGCGGAATCTACAATAGTAACAACGACTTCGGGCTCTCCACAAACACGATTATACTTTTTGCCTTTGTCCTGGCTGTTTCCGTCGTGTTCAGCTACGCATACGTCTGGGCTGCGCGCGCTTTTACGAAGCAATTCATCTGGATTACTGGGATTCTCAACATCCTTTTTGGCTTTGCGACGGCGATTTACATGCTATCGAGGAAATACTGGTCGGGAGGAATTATCTTTCTCCTCTTCTCGATCTTCACGGTCATTTGCTTCATTTCCTGGATTCCCCGGATCCCGTTCTCTGTGTTGATGCTTCAGACGAGCATTGATGTCTCGAAGAAGTTCGGCCATGTATACCTGGTATCGCTCATTGGAGGTATTTTGGCTACCGCTTTTGGTGCTTGGTACTCGGTGACGCTGGTAGCCATATACGTCAAGTACGAGCCAGGAAACAACCCTGCTTGTTCGACGGGTGCTGGTGGATGCAGTAGCGCGACGGTGATTGGGCTGATTGTTTTCGTCACCTTTGCGATGTACTGGATCTCGGAGTGGCTGAAGAATACGGTCCACACTACTATCGCGGGTGTGTATGGCTCGTGGTACTTCTGTGCGCACAACTTCCCCAAGGGGGCAACTCGGGGTGCGCTGAAGCGTGCTACGACGTACAGCTTTGGTAGCATCAGCTTCGGGAGCTTATTAGTGGCTATCGTCCAGTTTCTACGTCAAGCCTGCTCCGTCGCTCGGCAAAACGCTGCAGGCCAAGGCAGCATGGTTGCCTCTGTACTTTTCTGCGTCTTGGGGTGTTTAATCAGTATGGAACCCTTCTTATTAAGCCCCTTACTACCTCACTGACTTTGTTGCTAGGCATTTTGGAATGGGCAGTCCAATTCCTAAATCGCTATGCTTTCTGCCACATTGCGCTGTACGGCAAATCATACATCGAGGCGGCGAAAGACACCTGGAAGTGAGTACCCAAGAGAACGATTGTCAGTAGAAAGGTAGAACTGACGACAAACAGAATGATAAAAGACCGTGGAATCGATGCCCTTGTCAACGAGTGCCTCCTAGGCCCAGTGCTTACCATGGGAGCAACCTTCATCGCATACGCATGCGCGCTTCTGGCCTACTGTTACCTCATTTTCACGTCGCCGGCGTACAACAAGGACGGAGAATTCACGCCGGTCGTGGTGGCTTTCGCATTCCTGATCGGCCTGCAGATTTGCAACATTTTCACGACGCCCCTGATGAGCGGGGTGGAGACGATTTTCGTGGCGTGTGCGTGGGATCCGGAGGTGCTTATGAGAGACCACCAGGAGCTGTATGGCAAGATGGTGGCGGTGTACCCACATGTTCAGCAGGCAATCCATGCGTAGGGTTGGAAAGCCGCGGTCCGGGGAATTTGCGGGTTAGTGGGCGGACTAGACTGGGATGCGTACTGTATCGGAACGGAGCAATAATGTAATAAAGTGTCTGCAAGACGAGCGGTACCTGATGGGGATGGCTGACACGTCCACATCGGTCGGCTTCCGGTTCTCGGATACCCTTCCGCACGGTATAGAAGGCCGATGCGAGGCTGGTGTTTGTTGCATATTTCAGCATGAGGCTTGGACACGGCCCTTTCTACGGGTCTATCCGCCGCCACGTTGTCAAGAGAACCACTCGACCGCGATACATGACGTCGGCGAGGAAGAGCACGAGAGCGTGTTCACTACGAGACTGGTGATTGTCCAATTCTTCTTCACGGCGAGTCCTCCGAGTCTAAAGCAGCGTAGCGGGAGCTCGCAGGGGCAGCGGTTCCTCGCGATGTTGGGCAGCAGTGAGCCAGCCCGTGAAGGCTGCGGGAATTGCGAGCCTCTGCCCGCTCGTCCTTACAAATGGTACAAATGGTGCCATCAGAATCCGAGGACAGCTGTATTCGGGCGCTGTCAGACGCTCTTACTGCTTCCTCCCACGCTCCTGCCTGCGCAGTCGTTCTTGCTTTTTGGCTGGCGTCGCTGCTCCACCACTTAAAACCCCGCGATCTCCGCCTGCACGTCCTGCTCTCCCCAACGCCTCGCAGACGCAGCTAGTTTCGAAGCACACCGCACTCTCCAGGTGAGTACAAATGTCCAGACCTTCTCGTGCCCGTCTCCTGACCTGCTCCAGCTCGTAGCCGCTTTTCTGAGCTTTCTACGCCCGCAAACGCCTCCTCTGCACAGCTACCCCGCTCATACCCCAGATTCAACAATCCTCACGCATCAAGCTCCACCCGTCGTCTCCACACACCTGCATCCCTCAAGCACGATGGCCTACGAGAAGAAGGCAGTCCACTTTGGCGGTGGCAACATCGGCCGTGGCTTCGTGGCCGAGTTCCTGCACAAGTCGGGCTACGAGGTCGTCTTCGTCGACGTAATGGAGAGCATCATCGACGCTCTGCAGGCCAACAAGCACTACACCGTCACCGAGATTGGCGAGGATGGCGAGCATTCGTTTGACATCGACCACTACCGTGCCATCAACAGCAGGAAGGAGATGCCCAAGGTCATCGAGGAGATCGCGACTGCCGATGTCGTCACTTGTGCCGTGGGCCCCAATGTCCTCAAGTTTGTCGCTGAGCCCGTGGCCAAGGGCATTGCGGCCCGCAAGCTCGACTACCCGCTCGCCGTCATTGCCTGCGAGAACATGATCGGCGCCACTACGACCTGGAAGGGCTTCATCGAACAGCATATCTCGGAACTCGGCGACAAGTCTATCCTCGACAAGCTCGACACCAAGGCCCGCTTCGCCAACTCCGCCATCGACCGCATCGTTCCACACCAGGACCCCGACGCCGGTCTGAACGTCAAGATCGAGAAGTTCTACGAGTGGTGTGTTGAGAAGCACCCCTTCGACGGCGCCAAGATTCCTGCTATCGATGGCGTCCACTTCGTCGGCGACCTGGAGCCGTACATTGAGCGTAAGCTGTTCACCGTCAACACCTCTCATGCAACTGCCGCCTACTACGGCTACGCTCGCGGTAAGGCTACCATCCACGACGCCATGACTGACCCTGCTATCCACGACATCGTCCGTGACACTCTGAAGGAGACTGCCCATCTCATCACCAACAAGCACGAGATCACCACCGAGGAGCAGGACGACTACGTCGAGAAGATCGTGGCCCGCATCTCAAATCCAGCTCTCGAGGACAAGGTCGAGCGTGTCGGCCGTGCCCCACTCCGCAAGATGTCCCGCAACGAGCGGTTCATCGCCCCGGCTGCCCACTTGGCTGAGATGGGATCCACATACAACCACCTCCTCGGCGCCTTCGAGCAGGCTTTGAAGTTTGTGAACGTCGAGGGCGACGATGAGAGCTTCGAGCTGGCTAAGATCCTGAAAGAGAAGAGCGCAAAGGAGGCGACTTTGAAGATCACCGGCCTCGAGGAGACCCACAAGCTCTTTGCTGATGTGGAGAAGGTGATTGCCAAGGTGCAGAAGAGCTCGTCTCTATAGGCGCAGGCACCTATTCGAGTCATCATGTGCCCAACTAGATGACTAGTGGGATGAGGAAAAAGGGCTTCGGGGTGGTGAACGATGAATCTGATTTGACGAAGTATACGTATCGCTGGAATTTTCTACATTTGGGCTGGCGTTGACCCTTTGAGGCTGCGCGATCGAAAAAACCTGCATGTTCTTTTTCTCCTTTCCGCTCTTCGATATTCCTACCTGTGTAGCCCGAGTTATGCTGTGAGCTGTCGGCGCGCGAAACTGAAATGCAATACTATTCTATGTCCTCTTATTATCTAGCTATTAGATAGATGCGGGTAGTCAATAGATTTCTTCACATCATGACCTTGATCCAGGCAGCTTGAGTGTTCAACTACTTGATTGAAGCTGTGAGGACGATCACGATGCCCCAATTTTTCTCGCCCGTTCCTGGGGCCAAGGCTGCCACCAAAGCTAAAGCCCCGAGCTTTGACCTCTCGAGCTCCCTGCTGTCCCATCTCACTCCAGCCTTCTCGTTCCTGGGACAACTGAACCTCCCGTCCAACCACGATGCGGCCGTCATCAGCCTAAACTTACTCATCACTCACTCGTCGCATCCGTCTCTAGGTCCCGCGCGCTCAATTGGTCCAGCGCTGCTGTTCGTCAAGCTCCGACAACACCTCACTGCTCCCGTCCGAGCTCTTTTTGTCCAGCCCCACTTCTACCAATACACTTCGCGCACTGTCTCAAACACTTCCACCGTAATCGCACGAGTCGCTTCTCTCAGATTCCTTAAGGTGCAGGTTCAAGAGTGCTACTCGCAATGGCCGACATCGAAACCGACCCCCAGATCTCAGAGGGCACGCCGAATGTGGATGTGGATATGGGCGAGGGAGAGGGAGGCGCGGGACAGGAGGAGACGGGCCTGCCGGAAATCGAGCCGGAGAAGGAGAAGAGGGTTACGTTTTTGGAGTGAGTTGGGTGGTGGAGCGCGGAGCGCAATCAGGCTGACCATCGCATAGCTTCCTCAAATCCCCAATTGTCGCAATCGACATCGGCACTGGCGAAGACCAAACGACTCTCCACGCGCATCAGGATATGCTCATCAAATCACCATACTTTGCTGAGATATGCGCGAACTTCAGCGAGGGCGAGACGGTGGGTTTCGTTCCCTCCAATCTTATCCTCGTAGCATCCGAATAAACTTAATTCACAGGACCGCCGTATCTCCCTTCCCCACGACAACCTTACCGCTACCGGCTCCGTCCTCGAATACCTCTACAACGACGAATACTTCCCGCGCCGCCTTTCCCCAGGCCACAAGTCCTCTGAAGTCGAAACCGACCCCTCGATCCCCTTGCCCGACAACAACGGCGAATCCCTCCTCCGCCACGCGCGTGTCTACACACTCGCTGACAAGTTCCGCCTCCCCGCGCTCAAGTCCCTCGCGCACTCTAAGATCAGCAAGACGCAGAGCAACGCCAAGGGCGAGATCGCGTACGCGCGCTTCGTGTACAAGGAGACCAGCGCCGAGGACAAGACGATCAGGAAGCCAGTCGCGGCGTTCTGGGCGACGAGGAGCCATGTGCTGAGGCACCAGGCCGAGGACGAGTTCAGGGCGATGTGTCTCGAGTTCCCGCAGTTCGGGTTTGATGTGCTCAGCTTGGTGCTGGACAAACAGGAGAAGACGGGAGCGCCAAGGGGGGAGGCGAGTGTCAATGTGCCGGTGAGTGGGAGGAAGAGGGCGAGGGTTAGTCAAGGTTGAGGAGATGGGGATGTCTAGGAGGATGATCTAGTTTGAGGGGTTTGAGGGAATCTCATGCTTCGATCTGAGGGATAGGTATTGCGGATGCAAGCAAACAGCGTAAGGGGCTATTTCCTTCTATATTCTGAGATCCAAAAGTGTGGCTGTATGCTGCTTTTTCCTACGTATCTTCCGGTATCTGATTTGATTCGGTTTATGAGGTATCTGGGGTCGGGGCGTCGGTGTAGTGTGGGATATTGCTTGTACTATACCTAGCTTTTGATTATATCTGATCTGTGAAAAGGACTGGGATGGTCGTCTCGGCGCATTTCACATTTTCTCCCAGCTTCCACGAGCGTTGTCGACAACGGCGGCCCAATGTCCCAGGTGCCATGACAACATATAGCTTCCCAACTCATAACCATCCTCCAAACAAATCCCCGTCGCCCATGTCATAAGAAACAAACTCCTTCAATATCACGTTACCTCCGCATACCATCGGCCCCCGACGCGCCGCGCACCTTCCGCATCCACGCACCCCCACCAAACCCACCCCACTTCAAACCTTACTTCAGCCTCCAAGCTTCCCGAGTCTTTGTCGCCCGCAACATCTCACTTTTCCCCATACACGCATTGCAAACCATGGCCGTCCTCGAGGAAGTGCTGCGCGGCAAATACCCCGCGAAAGCCCATGCGCGGAAAGTTGTGCAGTGGATGCGCGAGCAGGGCAAGGAAGTGGACGGGACGCTGTATCTGGAGGGGCAGAAGACGCGCATGATTGAGGATAATGATGAGCCGGTGCCGTTTAGGTGAGTTGCCCACACTATTTCACTGCCAATTGTTGCATGGATCAATGGGTTTGGAGATTGAGGGATGGGGGAGCTGTTGCGAGGTTATAATGCCTATTATCTCGGTCCTGTCAATCGATGGCCTGGATGGCGGGGCGCTTCTCTTTTTCAACAAGAGATGGATATGAGGCTGATGAGGTGGTTAGGCAGCGACGATACTTCTTTTATCTTACGGGATGTAACCTGCCGGATTGCTATTTCACGTACGATGTCAAGACGGAGAAGTCGACGCTGTTTATTCCGCCGGTTGATCCGGATGAGGTGATTTGGTCTGGACTGCCGATGAGCCCGGAGGAGGCGTTGAAGAGGTCAGTGATAGGTCTTTTTTTGTCTCTACTCGGTGGTGTTAGTCTGCTATGTTTGAGTCTTGTCTTTGCGATCATCGTCTTTTTGTATATCTCGCAAGCACTTGCAACCCCGTTGTCATTTCTTTTCACCCTAGATGATGGGTGCAATGCTACAGTTATGGTACACGATGCCATCCTCCTTCATTAAATTCTCTCAAATCTCTCTTTCTTGGGGATTCCTACTGTAATTGGTTCTCTGACAATACACAAAGCTATGAGGTTGATGCAGTCCTTCCCTCATCCGAGTTGAATGCCCATCTGGCTTCACCTTCCACATCAAAATCCACCATCTACGCCATCTCCAACCAAGTCTCCGAAGACGTGACCTTCCTCTCCTACGACACAAAAGACTTCGAGCTTCTGAAACCCGCCATCGAATACGCCCGCGTGACAAAGACACCCTACGAAATCGCCCTCATCCGCCACGCCAACTCCATCTCAACAACCGCTCACATCGCCGTCATGCGCGCCGTCGCCCACGTCTCCAACGAGCAGGAACTCGAAGCTATCTTTCTCAAGAACTGCGTGGAGCGCGGTGCCAAAGAGCAAGCCTACCACAGCATCGTTGCCTCCGGTACTTCCGCCGCTACCCTCCACTACGTCAAGAACGACCAGCCCCTCGACAACACGCTCAACCTCCTTCTCGACGCCGGCTGCGAATGGGACTGCTACGCTTCCGACATCACGCGGACATTCCCGCGCACTGGCACCTTCTCTCCCGAATCGCTCGCTATCTACAACATCGTCCTGAGCATGCAGAAGCAGTGCACGGAAGCGCTGAAAGCTGGCGTGCTATGGGACGACATCCACCTCCTCGCGCACAAGATCCTCATCGGCGGGCTCCTGGAACTCGGCATCCTCCGCGGTTCCGCTAACGACATCCTCAAGGCGCGCACCAGCGTCGCCTTCCTCCCGCACGGGCTTGGACACTACCTCGGGATGGACACGCACGATACAGGCGGTAACCCGAACTACGCGGACAAAGACCCTCTATTCCGCTACTTGCGCGTCCGCGGGACCCTGCCGGCTGGGAGTGTGATCACGGTGGAGCCGGGATGCTATTTCTGCCGCTTCATCATCGAGCCGTATCTGAAAGATGAGAAGCATAGCAAGTATATCGATGGGAGTGTGCTAAAGCGGTATTGGAGTGTGGGCGGTGTGCGGATTGAGGATAATATCTTGATCACGGAGAGCGGGTATGAGAACCTCACACCGACGCCGAAGGAGGTGGAGGAGATGGGGAAGATTATCAAGGGGGAGGATTGAGAGACGGAGGGATGGGAAGGGCTGGTTGATTTGAGGTATGAGATGTTGAGGTTCTGAGCGGGAGGGTGTATAGTAGGCCGCGGAGGTGCTGGTACCTTCGAGTTCTCGGCGTCGAGCTGATAGTATGAGAATGAGCCTATGGAATTGGCCATCCTTCAGAGAGACTTTTGCCTACACGTAAAGTGCTCCAGGCCACTTCACACGATGCCAATTCAGTCCTCAAACCACAAGATACTAAGGCGATTCACGCGCTTCGAACCGAGACTCTCTCCCATGACCCCCAAAATCAGGTTAATGTTTTCGTCTGCTTCTACACACCCTAACAACCGTCTAAACCACCTCTCCCCTCTCACTTCGTACCCATACCCCGGGAACATGAAGCCAGTTCACACCCCCACACCCCGTCATCTCTCCCACCAAGCCTAAGTCAGCTCAGCTCAGTTCTCACATACGTGCGTCTGGATTGTAGGTGCCGGGTTGTAGTCCCTCCATTATATACACTATGTCACTCGAATGCGGCCGTCCGCCTCACCTTTAGATGGCTAGGGATTTGTCCGACGCTGGACGGGTCCAGGGATGCATTCACAGGCACAAAGAGGGAGCTCAAAACAGCATTACATGGAACACCATGACACAAAGCGTTCTGGAAGAACCGGATCTATCAAATTTCGTTGTTCATGAAGGGAAGACAGATGGAAGCACAACTTCTTCTATACGCGCTGGTACAGCTTTGTAGTCCGGAATATTGGTTGGAAGAAACAACATAGGCAGAAGAGCTCCGGAAACGGGCAAGTATGATTCAGTGAGGGCGGCCATTTGTCATTTTTAGCTTCTATGGGATTATTCTAGAGTATCTTTCGAAAAAATGCGCACTGATTTGCAACTGCCTAAGGGGGCCCCACGGGCTTTCATAAATTCACACGCAATGTGAATTCCGATGCAGCGGAGTTTGAGTTGCCTGGGACAATCAAAGAGTGGTACACAAGCAGTGGGAACGATCAACTATATTTCAGGGGCATATCTGTTGGCCTTCGGTATTGTGAACGCCACCCGCGAAAGTAATTACTCGCTTTAGGCAAGTTTTTATTGATAAAGTGAATTAATCACGTGCCTCTCTAAAGATCTGCTAAGGCGCTTATGCAGGGATCTCCGCCACGCTGATTCGCAAACTGTCGGGATCGTCTTTTGAGACATCCGACGTCAACTTCGCCTTTCGCCGTGAGGCAACTCTGTCTCCCCAGAACCATCTTCCCGTCCTTAATCCACGAAGACCTCGTTCTTGATGGATACGTTGAACTCGTCGACCTCACCGTCAGGCTCCTCGGATGCTTCGCCGCAGAACCACGGGCCTTCTCAAAGCGCGATTACTGCTGGCAATAATCGCAACAACTTACCGCGAAAGAGCCACACTAAGAGTAGAAGAGGTAAGTCTTCTCAGCTGGCGCTAAAATTTATATGAGAGGGCCTTTTTTGATAGCATATAGGTTGCCGGCGATGTAAGCAACGCAAGATCAAGGTAAGACTACATTCGTTTCTGGTTCGCTCACATATGCTGAGCCTATTGCAGTGCGATGAAGTTCATCCCGAGTGCGGGAACTGCGTCAAGCACAGCGTTCCTTGTGACTTCAAAACTTCGGGAGCAGTCACTGTACCTGTACCAGCATCAAAAAGAGCCATCTCCAGGCTCACAGTTTCCAAGAGCGATGCTGCGCCATCATCGTCATCTACTTCACCAATTCAACCTTCTTTGCATTTACTAGATCCAACAACATGTGCTACAAGGTCTCAGATACCAGACTGGTCACACCTGGATAGAATGCTAGAGCTACGTATCTTCCATCATTACACATCAACCGCCTACGGCCGGCATTACAGGATTCCCATTGCTCAGGAACTCTGGACGGTCCTAATTCCAACCCTAGCATTCGAACAACCATGTCTCATGGACAGCGTCCTTGCATGCTCTGCACTCCATATGCGCATACAGACTCCTCAAGATAGCGCATTGACACAGGCATCACACAGGTACATGGCCCGTTCGATACGTACATACCTCGAAGCGCTCCGAGGCGGCATTACAAAGCAGAACTTCGATACTTTGTACTTGACAGCCATGTTTATCGCTTTTCATACCTTTCTGAACCGCCGCTTTGAACCGCAAAATGCTACCACAGACAACATGGCCGTCGAATGGTTTCAACCATTCCAAGGCGCCAAGGTCATCGTAGAAGCCGCTCTAGCCCATGTCTCATCTAGTGCCGTCACACAGATATTCCCCGGCATGCGAGTTCCGCTGTTTCGCTGCGACCACTTGAGCAGCGAGTGCAACTTCGGATTTCTGCTGAACGGCCTTGCTAGAGATGAACCAGACTACAAGATATATAGATACGCGACCTCGCATATGTGCAGGGCTCTGCACTGCCGCCAGCCGCGGTTCTTCATTCGCTTTTTAAGCGATGCACCTAGTCGGATCTCGGAACTACTTCGATTGGGAGATCCACGCAGCATGGTCATTGCGTTCTCTTTCTTCTCACTGATGAAATCGGTCCCCATCCGACTCTGGTGGCTAGACGGCGCGGCCGATGGAGAGATTGCCAGAATCAGAATGGCCTTGCCCGAGGCATGGCTGCCGATGCTTGAACAGGCTCATGAGGTTGTCTGGGGGTGCACTGAGATGTGCGATAACCGTGGATTGCATGCGCATGGACCGGACAATCAGTCCGTGCCAATGGTATCTATGTGGCAGCAAGATTGGACCCATAGCGCCCCGAAGACTTTGATGACAAACATCACGGAACAAGAGCTGCTGTGGGCTCGGACATGATGCAATATGGAGGGAAAAGATGAGAGATTAAGATATATGTTGGAGTTAGGTCGAGAGAAAGGAATCTGTCCGACACCTTCTAGCCACTTGGAAGAAACGCTATTTGAAATTGCCAGGGCTTCTCAATCTTAGTTGGACATCCAGGGATATTTTCTTCTCTGCTCGACGCAGCCGCCCACCATTCGCCCTCATACCACATCGTCTACTAGGGCGAGCCCGGCAGGATGGCTGCGCTATTGCAGCAATATGAACCCCACTGTATTGCATGATTGTACACCTTCAGCCTTGTGAAGTTAATTCCATGGAGCCAGCAGTGGTCGACTCCCCCTTCGATACAGCACTAGCCTCTTGGAACAGGAAGCCAGGATGGAAAATATTCAGTACCAGTACAGCGATGACACACATGCTGTCGACACTCTTGTCAGCAATCGTCTCGAGAGGTTTCTACATAATGAATCACGTACACGGCATCCAAGACGATGAATAGCGCCTGATCCTGCATCAACGAGTTGCGCCATCCGCCAGCCATTTCAGCAACCCTGTAGATGCACCGAATCAAGATGGTCGTGTAGCTCACGGCGATGGCAATGATCAACCCTTTGAAGTACTTTGAACGTCGCAGCTGCGCACTTGCGCTGTTTAATTGGTGGCGGAATTTGTAGACCCGGAAGGCGTATTCGGATGCCAGAAGCCCGAAGAGGGAGAGGGTGAAGACTTGAAGCGACAATCCGAAGATCATGATGCTGTTGCCCGTTTGGGGGTGCGAGCCTGCGGCAGCGATGCCAGCGCCCAGGGCTTGGATCAAGATGGAAAAGATGTCGCAGCCTGTAACGACTCAGAATGCTGTTTTGGCGCGGAGGTGGCTCTCTTCTACGTACCGATGAATATCCATGTGTACCACCTTGGCTGGATGCGAGAGAAGCTGGCGCCGAAGACGATCACCCTGGCGGTTGTTAGCTTGGTGCCCTACCAGCGGCCACCTTCATCGAGACAACACCGCTACCCCAACCGTGCCCACGTAGGAGAAGAGAAGTCCGACGATGTAGTAGCAGCCCACTCACGTATGCTTAAGCGTCAAATATATCCCCGCCGACAAGAACGCCGGCGCCACCGTCAAGCAGATAATCTGGATCTTGAACGCCGTCCCGTTGAAGACATCGTTATGCATCATGATCCTGCCCCCGTATCCAACTGCTTCTCCAAAGACGCCGATCGCCATTGAGATCAAGAACGACCACGACTTCCACTTGACGCCTTGGAAAATGTGGAGGAAGAAGGAGATGGCGAAGAGGGCGCAGAAGATTCCGTTCGCGGCTATGGAGGGGTTGTACCCGTAGACGGAGGCAGAGATGGGACAAGTGTCCGACGTACAGTCCTTGAACTTGATGCCATTTTTGGTCGTCATGACGGTGGTGCTTGGGGGTATCGGTCGATGGGAGAATCAGGTCAGGATGGTATCGAGAGGGCCTCCAAGTGTAACGAAGAGAAGAACGCCGATAGTCAAGGTTCTCGCTATATGGACACAAAAGAGACGAGGCGGTCGAATTGTCAAAGTGATCACAATCACGAGCCCGGGGACTGCGGGCGCTCCCAGATATATCAGTCTCTAACAACTATCGCATCCTGGCTGCGCCCCTACGGCTTCATGGCCCGTACGCAGCCTGAATTGCCATCCGACCCCTGCCAAACCAAAAAAGCCAGCATCGATATCTCTTGGCTGTGACGCTGGAAGGCCTGAGCGGGCCGTTCTACACTTGCGATTGGTCGTAACCCGAGGGTGTCGCCCCGTTTAAGGGCTATTGGGCACATTCCGGATATGCAGCTAAGGCGCGGGAGCGAGCAGTCGTCAGCCCATTGAAGGGAGAGCGTGAAGCGAGACAATGTGACCAATCGGAGTGCAGAAAGCCCGAATACGAATTTTCGGATTTACATGGGCATGACTCGAACGGAAGACGAGCAACTTCGGACGAAGGATCAAGAGTTTGTATTTCAAAGACAGCCCGGGAGGCTATGTATTGTCGTCCGTTGGGAGTGGGCTAGAGTTCTCAGGACTTACTTTGTCAAAATCCGTACACTGTGTTAAAGATCTAATTACCTAGGGAAAAGGCTCGCCAGGGAATGGCGGTCGTCTTCGAAGACGGCTTGCTCACTGTTTACACGCTGGAGCGCCTTGACTTCTTCTTCTTCTTCTTCTTCGAGACGCAATCGAATATGGAGCTCGTTCGAGTCTCTGTGCAGAGTCGCAGGCTCTGCTCTTGTCTCTGATCGGTAACTTATGATGTATGGTCAGTATGGCTAAGGGAGGCAACGTTGAAGTGAGAATTTGCTTACAGTTTTCGCCGGCCGCACTTGGAAGCTATAGATCTGTATTCGACAGGTTACGTTACCGGAGATGCAATCGCGGCACGACTCCTCTCCATTGCACTGGGCGTAGTTCAACTTTGGTACAGCCAGGAGGATAGAACAACGACACCTCGACTTTCCGCCGACAGCATACCTCACTACACACTCAGTCAGATCTGCTGGATATAGTTCAACGAACTTAAGATTGGGTATATACCATGCTTTTGGCGTAGGCCGCTCTTGTCCTCGAACATCTCTTATTCCCAGGTTCATTTCTATCACCTGTTCCCAGGGCCAACGGCGCTTGCATTGTATACATCTGTACAGTAAAAGCTCGTTATACCGCTCACCTAATGCTCCGGGATATGAATGTTAAAGCGCCGTGAACATTACATTGAATGTCACTGCGCGCCATATATTAGAACTGGGATCGGAAGGCTGAACGGTATAGCGTATATTGACGGTATACAGCATGAACTTTATAACGAGCCTTTTCTGTAGGGGCAATGCGTAAATCACCGGCGGTTCCTGCGGGGCTTTTATGCGGGCACGGCGGGGTAACGCCTCGGTACTTTTCTCTCAAAAATCTTAACCTCTCATGTCTGTACGCTGCAAACTGTTGGAATGTAAAACCCTGAACAATATCGTATGAGACAAGCTATTTGAGAAAAACCCAACACAAACCCGGTTTTTTGTGCTTGGCTCATATTCAGCTAAGCTCAGCTCGCCGTAAGGCCGGACGCGAGACACTTCATCCAAGCCCTGCCACGTCGTATTGATACAAAGCAAAGCACTCGCGACTTGGTGCACACACTAACTACATGTTCTACTCTCCTCCTTTCTACAACCTCTAAGCAGCAGAAATGGCAATCAACAACTCCGGCAACCTAGCTCTGTTAATCGATGGGGGTACGTAAGGTCCCAGTACACATACCAGAGTCCTCTAGTGTCATTGTTCCTGGAAATGTGTTAAAACACGACTCATGTTGTGATTGAACACCCACTCAAGTCGCGTTTGAGTACCCAGTTTAGTCGCTTTACATGCCAGCTGAAACCAAAATGGCGGTTCAAACACGATTTGAGTGGCACTCAAGGACAATCAACACCAGAGGATCTAGTAGTTCTATCTTGTCTTCAACCCCACTTCTTTCTGAAAACCCGCTAACATTTGTACTACCACCTTAAGACAACGTTTCATCCAAAATCATCGTCGGCCTCATGGCTGAGATCGCCAACTACGGCACGGCCAGCGTGCGACGCATCTACGGCGACTGGACCAATCCCTCGCTCAAGAGCTGGAAAGCATGCCTGCTAGACCACTCGATACTGCCGATCCAGCAATTTGCGTACACCACCCGAAAGAATTCCACTGACGGCGCCATGATCATCGACGCCATGGACCTCCTGTACACCGGCCGCTTCTCCAGCTTCTGCCTCGTCTCGAGTGACAGTGACTTCACGCGCCTCGCGGCCCGCATCCGCGAGCAGGGCATCACAGTCTACGGCTTTGGAGAGCGAAAGACTAATTCCGCGTTTATCGCAGCCTGCGACAAGTTCGTGTACTTTGACGTGCTCAAAGTTCCGGGGTACGAGTCCGAGGAGCCGCTTCTTGCACCTCAAATACCTACGCCCAGGGCGACTGCTACACCTGAAGCAACTCCACGTCCTTGGGAACTCCCTCATGTAGAACTGTCAAAGAGGCCGCTCGATCAGGCGGCGCTCGACGGTTTGGCAAAAGCGGTGCGGAATAGCGTTGGTTACGACGACAAGTACGCCACCCTGGCCGACGTTGGCACCTATCTAAGCAAGATCTCGCCCGACTTGAACGCGCGCAATTACGGCTATGAGCGCCTTCGGGAATTTGTGGAAGCGTCCGGAATCGTGAACCTGAAGTGGAAGGACATGGGAGACAAACCTTCGATTCCCCTAGTATGTCTTAAGGAAAATCTGGAGAATACTAGCTACTAGACTTCCTTAAGGTACGTCGCCACGGCTCTCGTTTTTGTAGCCGTGTTTATTGTGGCCTGGCATTTTTCTGACGGTCTTTTCTTTATCCTCTTGGGTTTTAACTATATCGAAGGCAGGTTTCTTCTATAAAATTGGTCTACACAACATCCATCTCATGACTGCTAAAGGCTAGGAGCGGATAATTAGCTAGATATACTCTAAGGGCCTCTTTTACATCATATGTTCTCAGCAACCAAGGCGTGTGCAAAAGGTGACACCGGTTTTGTAACCTGCTGTATGCAAAACTGATGGCCATCTTTGTGTATGTCTGAAAATATACGGAACTCTAGAATTGCGCCATTCTTACTACAACCGTAGTGATTCTACATCAAATTACTTCGATCAGGGCCCACGCCATAATAGGATCGGATGTCCAAAAGGCGGTAATAGATCTCCTTTCTAAAACACGGGTATAAGCCACCTTGGGAGACCGTAGAATAATCACATGACTGCTGAGATCGCTGAGCACCTCGTCGATACCAGTTCATTCGCGGGAATCCAAAGGGAAAGTGCAAACGATTTTGAAGGCCTGCAACAATTTCACCAAGGTCAAACTCTACGAGTCATTAGCATCAGTTGTGCACGTGACCGAGATCCAATCCCATTTTCCTCAACTCTTCGTACAGAACGCAAAACCAAAAAGGTTATGAGTTTAGGCACACGGAAATCTCACTGCTCGGGCTTGACTCTTGCTCGCCCAACGCCCCTGTGGGGAGTACTCACGCTAGCATGTCTACGGTCAGTTAAACGGTAGCCCTATTCCCACTGCATAGAGTTTTACATCGTATTTGGGGTTTCCAACCCCGATCAGAAAACCCCAAGCAGATGCAAGGAGTGCCCGAACTTATGTCATAGTACTGTAGCTTGTAACAGGCTCCCCCATCAGCTCCTTACTCTTTATCAGAAAGGTAACGATTTGAATTCTTTTTGAGAACGAATAGAAAATGGATAGGAATGACGACGAGGTTCAGTCCAACAGTCATGGATATGGGATCCAAATGACATGTAATGAGAGCCATATCACCCGTATGGAAGCTTCAAGAACAACGACTTCATTCGATTTCAGATCCTAACAATCCTAGGCATGCGACTACGACCTGATATGGGTGCAAGAGCTCTGCTCTGAATTGACATCCGGGCCGAGCGCTTCCGAATGTTAGTTGCCTAGACTCGCTGCGCGGTATCCGTGCCGGAAATGTTGTTGAAGCGAAACTGCAACCAAACAGGTCAACTATGAGAAACGCGCAGGTCGATCTTCGCAGCACCCTGAGAGGAGTTCCGTACCTTTTCGCGCATCCAAGGGGGGCCTCGTGTAATTATCAAGACGTTGTGAAACGTGAATTATTTTGACCCTCATGAACCATCCCGCGACAGCACATCATCTCGGTCCACCAGCCTGATCTTGGGTATCACACTCCTCAGCTCTTCTTTGTCCTTTTCCGTGGGCACCATGTCAAACTTCTGCTCGGCGACATCAGACAGAAAAATGCCCAGGCCCGCATATGCCACGACTCCGGCTCCAATGAGCATGCGCGTTCGCGGCGCGAGGGCGCGGTACTTCCTGCGAGATGGTCAGTCCTGATATTTCCAATTGAGGGCATGCACCTACTGCCAGAGCGACATGTTACGCAACCAGACGCGCGGACTCGTGTGTTGTTGTGGTCAGCGAAGGATGGAGCGAGGGACCTGGAACAAAGCTGTTGCTGTCATCTCGCTTGAGCTTCACGCCGATGACATCGTCCAGGATTGACCTCGAGCAAGCTGGTCTCTCCCCTTTCCACGACTCCAAACAGTCACGACCCTGCCGCCTCTTAACCTAACGACAACTCCTTTCGATAATCTTGTGTTCGCTCCTTACGTCTCTATGAAAGCCCGTCGGCAGCCAGCTCCAGCGCGGATGGCCTAACCTCTCCCCTTCCTACAACATACCAAGACACGATCCTCTCCCTGCCTCGATCGAAGCACCTCCAATGCGCTCGCTATCCTTACTCTAAGCCTCGCTCACTACGCCCCAGCCGTCTACCAATTCCTCGATCCCAGGATGCCCAGTTTTCGTCGCAACCCCACGTCGAGCTTCAAGCTCCTGGCCGCCTTCCTAATCATCACATTCTACCTAGTAATACGAGGCTTCTCCGGCTCCGAAAGCAGCAGTCATAAGAGGAGGCATGCACCGCTGGGCGCACATATCCAGTTCGAAGGGTGGAAAAACGGCAGTGGGCATGCCGATGAAGAGAAGGCGACTCAAGTCCGAGAGGCCATGAAACACACCTTCTCTAAATACCGGGAATATGCGTGGGGTTACGACGACATAAAGCCTGTCTCTGGTGGCAATGGTACAAGTAGGAATGGGTGGGGTGCCTTCATTGTCGACACCGCTTCTACACTCGCTTTAATGGGGATGTGGGATGAGCTCGAGCTTGAGGTGGACCATATCATCGACAAGGTCAACTTCACAACCGCGTATGGTCTAGTGGACCCATTCGAAACTACGATCAGATATCTGGGTGGACTATTGTCTGTCGTCGATCTGATTGACGCCGGTACTGTCCCTCCTGGCATCATCATCAACAGCAAACGGGACGCCCTCCTTGCCCAAGCTATTACACTCGCCGACAAGCTCGCGCCCTCATTTGACACTCCTACGGGTATGGTTTGGCCTCGTGTTAACTTCACTACAAATGAAGGATCGCCAGACCCTCCCTCCGTGTACCTTCTGGACCCCTCTAAACCCCGCTACAAGAATCCCTCCATCGGACCCGCTCGCGCTGGATCCAACATCCTTGAAAACCGAGTCCTCAGTCGACTCACTGGAAATGTTGCGTACGTCAACAATGCCACCCGGGCTTGGGCTCCGCTGGTCTGGAATAAATTCGATACGCCATGGCCTGGAATGGTGGACGCTCCTATCGATATTATCACCGGAGCACCGGTTGGCAGGGTGCGTCATTGGGACGCTGGGCACGACTCATACTACGAATATCTCATCAAAGTCGCCCTCTTAGCACAAGGAGACCTCTACACTCCCTTCTACCAAAACGTGTGGACCGACGCAGTTACTGCGCTACGACATCACCTCGCATCACGTTCCGCACCCCAGGATAACCACAAAAAGCAACATGTATTTATGGGCAAGCAAGAAGCAGGATGGTTCATAAACGAGCAATCGCACCTCTCCTGCTTCGCAGCCGGGAACATCATGCTCGGCGCTCGCTTTCTCAACCACCCGAACTTTCTCACCTTGGGCCAGGCGTTACTAGAAGGCTGCCGCCATGTCTACGCCTCAACCCCCACGCATATCGGCCCGGAGACCTGGTCGTGGATCCCCAAATTCGGCTACGGCAACGCGACCTTCCACCCCTCGAGCGACCGCCAGTTGCAGGAGCTGAACGACACAGGGATATGGATGGCCGACGCGCAGTTCAAACTCCGACCCGAATACGTTGAAAGCCTCTTCTACGGCTACCGCATCACCGGCGAGGAGCGCTACCGCGACTGGGCCTGGGACGCCTTCCGCGCATTCGAAAGACACTGCAAGACCAAATTCGGCTACGCCGGCTTGCGGGACGTCACGCTCCGGGGCGGCGAATCAAACTGGAAGGACGAGCAGGAGAGCTTTTGGGGCGCCGAGACGTTGAAGTACTTGTGGCTTATTTTCAAGGACCCGAGCGTAGGGAGCTTGGATAAGTGGGTGTATAGCACTGAAGGGCATTTGTTCAGGATGATTCGGTAGGGATTTTGGGATTGCTTGGGTGGACGGACAGAGCGTGATACCCGGTTGCTACCGATGATTAGAGCGTAGCTGGCGTTATTGGGACAGGGGATTCATCTTTACTGCATTGGCGTTTTGTAAGTGTGTATAAAAGTCATTGCGCATATATCGATTTTGAGGCAGTGAGGTATTGATAGCAGCGTTCCAGTGGTTTTATGAGGCGTGAAATGCCGAGACGACGTCGATTCCATGCTGCAATTACCCAGAGCAGACACGTTTCCCGACCCAGATAAGCTCTTCTTAACAATTTCCTCGTGGCGCTGAAGCTCAATTCCACTTAGTCTGCCTTGCATGGCCGCGCTGAGTTAGACAGCCACCACACCACTTGACCGCGCCCAACTTGGTCAAGCCTCAATTGCTGTGTTCTTCGAACGCAGCGGAGGCATAATGTGTAAAGTGCTTTCAATATCTCTATCTCTGAGCCTCAATACCGTTACAACCCATCATCACGACATCAATTATATCAATCAACTCATCCCTAGATAGCACATACATACCTTTAGATCCTAGGAAAAAATTCATTCAATACCCTCAATCTTTTCCCGTCGTTAGTATCAAGACAGTACCACGATGGGCTGCTTTACCTCCAAACCTAGCTACGGTCAGCAGCCAGCGAGGCTGAGGTGACGAAAGCGCTACAACGACGGTGGCAGTGGAGAGGCCTATTACGGAGGGGGTGACGGAGGCGGGAGATGGGGTGGAGATTCTGGAGGAGGCGGAGGAGGGAATGGTGGAGGGGATGGAGGTGGTTAGGAAATCCACTAAGTGCACTTTAATTTCGAGCTTAAATACATGCAGCGTTACTTCCTCTACGCTCTACAGACTTAGTCAATTCCTTTACCCCATTCGGAAATCCATGGGTTGTGCCCTTTTATCAACTAGAACCACCCGGCGTCTCTTCCTGTCCTCCACCATTCTCTTAATATCCGTCACGTGCCTATATGATTGAAGAAATCCGCCTAACGTAGTCGCTTCAGCAGTTAATTCTACGCCACGTTACTTCCTCTGTCCTCTACACTATTTTAGATACCTTGTCACGTGCCTTCTCATTTCGGTGATTCATGCCGTGTATTCACTTCTATGCTTAAACGCACGCGGTGTCGCTTCCTCTATTCTTCACGCTTTCCAAAAAAGTTTGTCACGTGCCTATCTAAATCGAGAGATCCACTCAACGTAGTCGCTTTAACAGTTAATTCCACGCGGCGTTGCTTCCTCTATTCTCCACGCTTTTCATAAACACATGTCACGTGTCTGTCTATATCGGGAGATTCACACAGCATAGTCGATTTTACACTAAAAAGCACGCGGCGTTACTTCCTCTATCTTCCACAGATTTTCAAAGCCGTATCACGTGACTATCTCAATTAGGAAATTCACATAGCGTAGATTGCTCCATCCACGTTCCATATTTTCAATCCATCACGTGCCTCCCATCTCCTTGTCTCTGATAGTTTTCTGCTTCCAAAGTTCGACCTTCTGGCACTCGGGGAGGCTGAAATGCAGCCTTGCTCCGCCTCGTTCACTCACAGCCACACTACACCACATGACTACGTGCCTTGTCGTGACTCCGCGCGGACCGTGGCTGTGCTCCGAGTAGGGAACATCTACTTACAAACCCTACAAGTATATAATCTTTGGTAGGTATGTCTCTTTCTATCCCACACGCTCCAGTATTCATCTTCACCGCCAACCCTACTCTACCTATTCACAATTTAAAGTCCACACCTGCATAAGCCCAAAAGTCATAACAATCGAACCTAAATTCAAAGACTTTTACAACAAACCAGCCTCTTCTACGGCTCGTACTACAACCAAGCCTACTCTTTGAGTTCTACAAGACTTCCACATACACGCGCCCGAGCGCTTCAGTACGATGGGCTGCTTCACTTCCAAGCCCAGTCACAGCACACAGCGATCGAAGTCACGCCGTAAAACAGGCTACAGTAGCTATGGCGGGGACGGTGGAGGATGGAGTTGGGGTGGGGATGGAGGTGGATGGGGAGGAGACGGAGGAGGAGACGGAGGAGGGGGAGGAGGAGGAGGAGACGGGGGTGGTGGTGGTGGTTGTTGAAGATTCAAGCTTGATATCTAGTACTATTTTGATTCTTAGATCAGAGACGCACTCTTCTCATGACGAATCATGTACGAATACAAATGTTAGGAAACGAACTTTTGACCTCCTACTAGTCCCATACTCTGCTTTCCCACCATCTCATTTCCCGCTGTCCGCCTTCCTCTTCTCCAGCACCATCAGCTCCTCGCAAATCTTCCACATTTCTTCAGCCTTTCTCTTCCCTTCTTCCTTGAACTCCTCCGCGCACAGTCTTCCAAACCGGTCTGGGTGCCACCGCAATCGCTCTTGCCGCAGCCATTCGTAGCCGTAGGACCCTGAGCCTCGGAACAGGGCTTCTACATCGTGTATGCAAGCTCGTAGACCTAGCGGGAGAGATTTGGAAGGCAAGCATGAAGGGGAGGCGCAAGAAGTTGCGGCAGACGGTATATGTGGGAAATTTTGTATGAGAGCTGGTTTTGGCGTGTTCGATGGTGACGTTATTGGGGCAGGAGTTGGCGATCTCCTACGTGGCGCACGGCTGGAAGAGCGTCTGGGGTGTCGATATGCGGACGCAGCAGCGAAGACGGTGTCACATTGTGTTGACCATGCCTCGTAGTGGGCTTGGGAAGAAGGTGGTGGAGTTCGGGGTTGAGATGATTTGGGCGGTGGCTGCCGTGACTGGGGCTTCCCCTGAGGAGTGGCAGTCCGGGACGGCGGCGGTCGGCTTGGAGAGGGATTCGAAGCATTCGAGGGCCTCTTCTCAGAGATCGGTTTCTGAGGCAGGGAGAAGTACGATGACGCAAATGCTTCGAGAGCATCGGTATTGGAATCGTCGATCGCACCGGCCCAAGTGCCGTCTTCCCTAATTGCAATGAACTGGTCCTCATGGACTGGGTCGAAGGCAACGAACGCAAGTTCACTCCAGTCCAGGTCTTCTTCTTCCCACTCTTCCCAAGTCTCGGCTAGCGCTTCGTACTCCTCGGAAATGTCCCATGCTACCACCCCGTACTCAGAAAGGGCAAACCAGGCTCCTTCGGCTCCTAGCGCAACGGCTCGCGGTGGTCCGACTTTCCATCCAGATGGGCTGAGCCAGCTTTGGATGGTTTCTTCGAGAGATAACGGGATGCTTGACCAGCGGATGGATGTCTGGTCCCAAGCGAAGAAGCTGGAGTTAGGACCAAATGATACACGGAGGCTCTTGTCACGACGGGGACCTAGTGTGTTTGTGTCGAATAAATAGGCCTTTAGTGCTTTAGGGCATCCGCCACCGAATTCTGTCCCGAGCATTTAGAATCACGAAGCCATAAGCTAGGGTCTCCTTCCATACCGATCTTAAAAGAACCCCCAATATCAACGTATGATATGACCCACGATTCTTCCTCCGGGCCAATAGAAGCCCAGCAAATGGTTGAAATTGAAGCGGAAAGCAATAGCCTGTGTAGAGTGGGAGGTGGGTTGCGACTAATGGTATGTCAAACTGAGAAAAAAAAAAGTGGTCATAGATATATAGCTTACTGTCTTAGCCCAGTGGGTGATTTCGAGATATATGCATCGTTTGGGCCAAATGTAAAGAAATACTGATCCATGGCACTGCGAGGTTTGACAAAAGACTGAGACTATGACAATCGAAAGTGACTGCGCAATAGAAATTGCGACGAAATGAGGCGGAGAGATGCCATGGGGAACCACAAGAGTAGGGGTTGCGATGGAGTCAGACTTGAGGAGATGGCCGAGGTGGTGTTTCAGGTCGCCAGGGGGTTGGTGATGGCTGATGTCATGTTGTCATGGTGTTGTTCCTTGGTCGGATCCTTGCTGAAGAACCGAGGCGCTTGGCCTTCTTCTGACTTCAATTCTCCCTCATCCATCAACAAATGCACTGTCACTAGCACGAATGCCATGGGGCAATAGAAAGCACACTGCTATTATGCAATGTACCCTTAAACCATGTTCCAGGACTCCACCATCACGTTTGGTCAGAGGGGGGGTTACTACTTCGGGTGCGAGTCAAAACGATGCCAGTATGTTACGCAGCCCCTTTTCTGGACGGTCTTATATTAACTTCGAGTTAGTGGCTCAACCCCCAAGAAATTGAGAGCCGTTCTTGATAGTAATGATACAGCTGAGGTTTATTACGTGACGCTTGGTGCGGCATCAAGCTTCTTCGTAAGCTACAAAACAAACAGTGGTTCGAATCAGATTCGTATGTTTCCTCATATTTCTCTTAAGTATTAGACATTAATTCTGCGTTAGAGAGTGACGGTCTTCCTATCCACCTTGAAACCTTCCTCTCGGAAAGAGATCGGTACGACCGCAATGCTCGCGATATCAGAAATATTCGCGTGACGTTAGGCCCACAAAACTCCTCCTGGTATGCCACCGATGGCAAGTCCTGGATGTGGCAGAATCTTCCCAGAAATCTGGAATCCGCTTTACATTCGCAGAAGTCTTCGGCTGGCAGCTGGACTTCCCCACCTCGCATCGTCGCCCTCGGTGCGGATACCAACTTCCTCCTAATTACGGAGAGCAACGCAGCGTTCTGTAGTTTGAGCCAATACCGGACCCTACGCAAGATGATTCAATTCTCCAAAACTCAGGTGAACGGCATTGCGGCAATCAAAGACGTGGTACTCCACTCTTACCGATACCAATGTTTCGTTGCGGAGTCAAACAATGGGACTCTGATATCTGAAAACGTGCCTCCGCACTCGCAGCGTGACATGGACACTTTCAGCGAGGCTCTCAAGATGGCTGCGGATCGAAAGCTTTACCGAACACCATCACGCGCTTCGCCTCCTCTGCAAGCCACTCTCCGCCGTGAGTGGACGGACCAAGCGAGGCAATCTGGGGACGACCTCGCGAGAGAGATCAAGCTGAAGATGAAGGTGAATGTCAGTCTTAGTGCTGGCTCTATTGCGAGGCTGTTTGGATGAAGTGTCTTTAAAAGGAGTGAGTTTCGTGTAAATTGAAACGGTTGAATGAGGTGAGTCCTGCCTGTGGTGGTGTATTGAGAGTGCTTAAAGTCTTAATCCCATGTTTTCACCTGGATTGACAGACTGATTTTCTACCGTAGTTATGGTGTCGAACCACCCCAACCTCATTCAAATTAGGGGTCCAGTCCAGCTCTTCCATAGCCGTTTGCCCCATCGTAGAGCCCTTTCGGCTGCTTTGGAACTTCATCCCCTCCGAACCTTACTCGCGATTCGGGACGTACCTCAAGTCTTAGATAGAAAATGGCCATTTCCAGGGGAGAGCTCTATACCATTCACCGCTCACTTGACGTTTTTTTCCCTTGCACTAAGTTCTATGCACCCTGCTGGTTATTTGTCTCACTTAATTCTTCCTTTCACCATCGTGCTGCTGCATTTCAGCACATAGAATCCGCAACGGCACCCACTACTTTCGCTCCATCGCCATCGGCTCCCACAACCCACACCCACCTCCAAAAAATCACCCCAGAAACTTCGTATGTGTGGCACTCTTGCATGGAACGCAACGCCCTCCTCCGCAACCTCCCTCCCGTCTCTCTTCCCTTTCTAGCCGACTATTCCCGCACCGAGCTTGTCGCCCTCTCCCGGGGGGACCAACCTTCGATCCCATCCACGATGGATTTCGGCGATGGTCGCGACATAGCCGACAAAGAGCTCCCCCATCTAGCGAGCGGAGCAGACAACCCTTCCAACGAACGACACGAGAAGGTTGGCAACCAGAGCCAAGAGCTCGAAGAGATAGCCGACGATGCCAAGTGGGTCGAAGAGATGCTCGCAGAGATTGCGAAGGTAGAGGAGGTATGTGTGCTTTCGACTGTGCCCTGTCGTTCATCATCCGATGATCCGCTAATTACAAACATAGGAACTCAATCGCATTGAAAGCCTCATTCCCCAGGCTCAGGACCCTGTTTCCTCCCACCATGCTCAAGTCTCGACCGGATCCACAATGGAACCCCCGCATGACATCGACGAGGCGTATAAATGCCTTGCCACTCTGATAGAGGAACATAATTCTCTTATAGCGCAATACAAAGAACATGTCGAAGAGAGCCAGTCGATGCACCAGCGGCGCGAGCAAATGGCCAAGATCCGCAGGGAGATCGTGCAAACGCTCCAAGAGATGCACGCTTACGGCCATGTGCCCGAGCACAAGCTCCAGGAGATCCAGCAAACGATCGACCAATTGGACAAAGAGCATAAGGAGATGGATCAGAGGCTCGACGAGGCTGTTAGAGAGATCGAAGAGATTGGGGGCAGGCTCGATCAGATCCACGCGCTAAAGGAAGTACGTATACTACTGCAGTACATATCATTAGACAAAGTGCTGACTGCTAGCTTAGGTCCAGATCAAATATCTCGAGGCCCAGGTTCCAGTTTCTCGTGAGCTGGAGAATTCTTCGGCTGCGGCCGGGGCCTCGGCGATTACGCTTGGCCAGTAGCTACGAGGCTGATAAACTAGAGTGAGTATTTGCGCTCTCCTGGAAGCCGAAACTCGATCCTTACTTCTGTCCGACGGCTTATTTGCGGGAGGGAATGGATAGCTCGGACTAAGAATGATCAATCTGGGCGAGATGGACGAGCTTTTATTTATGCATATGCCTTCAGCGTTTTGGCCTTGGGCTAGCACTGGCTGAAGCAGCTTATAAAAGTACTAGGGTGTGCGAAGCTTTTCAGGACCATAGCCTAGTTCACGATACCCGGTTCAGCGTATCCCTAAGTAACCTTATCACAAATTCGGCTTCGTAATACCCAGGTTATCGTTGCAAAACCACACTACAGTAGCACCTCTATAGATTCATACTCATGTGCACGTTAAGAACAATCGTCCGAGCGCAAATAAGCTGGGGTCCGCGAGCTGACGAATTAAAGGGATACGTAGCCCCACGACGAACCACGGAACCACTCACTCAACGCATCATCTCCTACCACCCAGTCCCTCCAATAGCACCACTCTATCTCCTCATCGCTTTTCACAGATTTTACTTTTTCATCAAGTATATAAACCCGTTAATTACTTGGCATTTCCAGGAAAGTTGCCCAGTCTGTATTACATCTAAACATATTAAACATTTTACGCAATGTAAACTGAAACGTTCTTCGGAACCCTTTCCCTTTGGCTCCCGGGCTCGAGCCGGGATGGTGTAGGGTTTGTGGGAGATTCCGTTTTTGGTGGGGAGTTGAGTCGGAGGGCCGACTACCTCCCAAACATAACCCCCTTCAATCAACTCCACAGTCTTCCCTGTCGCAGTGCTAATGCTATTCTCTAACGTGCCCACCCTCGCAAATCCACCCTCGCCCAGTATTGACATAAAAGCCACAGCTCCTAGAATAGGGCCCCATTGCCACTCCCAACACATACACAGCAAAAAGCCACCCCCTCCCCGCTCTCCCACCCCCCTTTTCTCTTCCTCACCGCTTCACGACCATCCCACCCTCCTACCATCAAGCTAAGTAACCGCAGCCCCTTCTTCCAACATTACTAACATCCATGGCTTCCTGTCTAACTACCCCATACGTCCAACTCTTCTGAAGCCCACCTCGGCGTGTCACCGCTCCTAGAACTGTGATCACGCGCAAGTAATCGCCATATCAACACCCTCTCCACTCCCCACTCACCCGCACAGCTAAATCCCCCCCCCCCCCCCCCCCCCCCCCCCCCCCCCCCCCCCCCCCCCCCCCCCCCCTAACTCCATCCCCATGCCCCTTCCGTTCCCCAACCCCCGCCCATGAGCGGGATTCAGATCAGCGCCGTATCTGCTCACCCCCTACCGTTAGACCCGAACTTTCGCAGTCACGTGGCGTCAGAAGAGAGGGGAGAGGGGAGGGCTATGAGCGTTCTACGTTGAGTTCGGTGCTATGCGTCTCTTGGAGGACCCGGGGGATGGGGGATGGGAGGAATGGGAGGAATGGAGGAAATGCAAGAAATGGAAGTAAAAACGGAGCGTAAAAGAGCCAGTGCGTGGACGGGTGGTTGGGCTGAGGATGCTGCGGAAAGAGAAGGAGGCATGCATGTGGATCTTGGAGAGCGGGCGGCAGGGAGTGCTAGCGTGGCGCCTCTCCGGGAAGGAGTTCTGTCTTCTCTTGTTGGGGTGATGCGTGGGGTGGGCAAGTTACACATGCCAACGATTACGCAAAATAAGAGTAAGAGTCTCGATCAAACTTCATCCATTAAACCTATATACCACGCTTGATTCGCAATTGAATGCAAATGCTCAAATGTCTCATCCGCAATGCAAAAAATCTAGATGCAGATCCCGCATCCCCCATAACCAAGAAGCCGCCAAAAAAGCCTCTATTACCAATGTGGTTAAGAGCCCTTTTCAAAAAGCCTCTGTGATGATGACATAATGCAGATTCCGGTATCCAGCCGGCCTCCCAGGAACCAAGAGAGTTGTTAAGAAGGGTATATAATCATCGCTCGTGATGTCGTAAAGGTATGTGCAGGTCCATTTCTTTGTCCGTAGTTAATATCATACAATCCAACTCCCGTCGTCGTTTTTGTGTCTTTTTTTTTTTTTTTTTTTTTTGGTTTCTAGTTCGTTGAGGATTATGCAGATCGTCGTCGTCTATTTGTTTCTCGTTCGTTCGTTCGTTCGTTTGTTCATTAGCAATAGGTCGTCGTCCGTACTCAGCAAATAGAGTCCGCCACGTCGTACCCCGCGCGGACAGCGAACTCGATAGTTTCGAAGCCGTTCAATCCGGATGCGTAGTACGTCTTCTGCTTCCCCTGGAGCGCGTTGAACTTGTCGTAAGCCCCAACCACAAGCTGCTCGGTGTCGTAGTGGGGGAAATAGTCCCACTTCCTGAAACCCACCACGTCCGCATCCGTGACCGGAACCGCAACATCGGTAGCATTCCGTGGATCCTTGTTGATTTTGGAGAGCGTGCATTTCAACAATTCCTTCGCTTGCTGGATAGTCTGAGGCACGCGATAAGCGCCCCAGCTCCACGTCGTCGCAACATCCGAGTACGGGGAGATCTTGATAAGCGTGACCGGCTCGCCATCCGCGTCGGGCGGAGTGAAGGGAGTGGTTTGGTCGATGCGGAAAGCAAGACCATAGGGAGTGCGGGTGCGGACAGCGCCAGAGTAGTACGTGTTCACACCCACGGGGCCGAACGCCCTCTGCTCTTCGGTCGAGATGTCGAGATGGGCTCCCTCGAGCGCTTTAAGAGTCGGGGGAAATGCCATAATCAGGGAGGAGCAGACCTGGATCTTCGTATGCGAGGGATGTTGGCAGGGCTCGGTGTGGTTGTGATAGGTCTCCGGGTGGGGATCGTGATAGCGGAGGACAGGGGTTGAGCCGGAGCGGTCGATCCACTCAATTGTAGTGTTGAGGTGGATTTGAGTGGTTGAGAGCGAGGCGGCGAAGTTTTTGAAGACAGTGTGGAAGTCAACCAAGTAGCCGGTGTGCTGACCCGCAAAGAAGAGGATGATGTCGGGAGTGAAGTATTGCAGCATGTAGAGGATAGGGACTTGGCGGAAGTCTCCATAGCCGTAGGGAGTCATGGCCGGGATGATGAGAGCCGGGAAGTACTGGAAACCATTGGTGGAGAGCCAGTCGGCGGTTGAGACGGTGAGGTTGTGGGGGACGCCTTTCTGGGGGACGTTAGTGTTTTTCTCGCCTCTTCAAACCTCCAATCCTTACTTTGTAGCCAACTCCGCTGATAGGTGCAAAGACTTGATTCCATAGCTGAATATATCTTCCAATCTCGGCCCCAAGTGCGGCTTGGAATTGAGCTGACGTGGCTGCTATTTCCATGGTAGCACCAGTTGTCCAGTTGTAGTTCCAGCCCTCACCTCCGCCATTGGCGGAGAATGGATAGATTGGGACATTCGCCTCATCCACAATCTTGACTGTTTCGGTGTACGTTGCGTTTGAGAAGAGCAATGCTCCGAGAGGGTGGAAACCGCCTCTGCGGGATTGATGTTAGCTGAGCTCAGATAGTAATAATATAGACCGGTGTAAATAGCAGTCGGTCTCACAAGCAATGCTATTATTGCAGCCAATGCAATATTGTGGGGTAGTTTTGAGCAGGACCGATAGGGAAGCAGTGATAGCAGGTCGCAGATATACAACCAATATATTTTGAGCATCGTTACACGGCCAGGGGTTTGTACTACCGTGGCTGAAGAGCCGTTGTCGATCCCGCAATTGACAGGAAAAGAGGCGTTACTAGCTTCGATGTTTCGTGAAGTGAAATAGAGAAAAGGCAACTCACTTGTCATAGTACGTCTGGCACTTGCCGCCCACCTCAGCCTGCTTTTCGAATATTACGGCTTTTTTGCCTTTGGACTCGAGACGTTTCGCAGCAGCCAGTCCAGCGGGCCCAGCACCCACAATGCAGACGGGAAGATCGAGGCCGCGGGGATTGACCTGCAGAGGCAAGGCATTGGTAAAGCCGAAAACACAGAGGACCGCCCAGAGGAAAAACATGGTGTGAGGAAAGTGGGGCAGTGAGGAGAGAAGGGTTGGAGAGAGGGAAACGCACCGTGAAGCCGACGCAGGTACGCGGCGGCCCACAAAGAGATATACGTCGCGCCGGCGGATGAATGCATTGACTGCATTCTGGACGAGTCTGACGTGGCTGTCATCGGGGGTCCGAGGCTTGTCAACTTTTTTTGTGGCTATCACTGCACAGACGAGACGTGACAGCACAGACGACACCGAAGAGCAGCCGCAGCTGGATGTCGTCAAGTCTAGCGCGCATCCACGTGTGCCTAGGAGGTACGTGGCTAGCGGTCGCGCTCATGGACAGCCCACAGCGAATCGGGGGCGGGCTCGGCGGCGGATTTCCTACGCAGTTCCACACCCAGGGAACGGCACCGGTTCGCCCGGGGATTGGGGTCGCGGCTGGCGAGCGGGGCGGCCTGGGACCACCGATGGTGGCTGGACAGAAGGCTGGGACGGTAGGGCGACGAGAGCTCCCGAGGTCCGGGTGTATATATTGGACTCGTCCTCGTCGTCCTGTTGAGCTGGCACCACCGGCCACGGTCCAAGCCGACTCTTGCTCTGCTGGGGCTGGGTTCAGGGCATACCGCGGATTCAACGGGCACCAGCACGACAGCATGCGCTGGCTCGCGCTGGGACTTGGGCTGGCTCCAATATTGAGGCGTCGATCCAGGCTGCTTCGAGCAGGCCGCGGGGGTCCCTGTGCTGTCGTCCCCAAGCCCTTGCGTCTGGCGGTGAGGGACTCGGACGAGGTGGACGAGGTGGGAGCTTTGCCTTCAGCCCTGCAGCGGCCATGCAGAAAATCCCATCAGGCCCGCCTTGGCATCGTCACCACTCTACGCGACAGCCCCGTGCATCCGCAAGGGCCGTCGCGGTGCAGAACCTCATTTAATTCTCCGCACTGCCCCGCGTTGCCATGTGCAACACCACAACATAATCTCCGCACAACCTCGCCGCGCCCCAGGCAGAGATACAAGAGTCAGCTATCGCGCCCTGTCCGCGCCCAATGCCTCCACTCGTTCCCCGAAAGCGCCTCCGCGAGCCCGGCCCTGATCCCTCGCCGCCCGCGAAACGCGCCACACCCCCATCGAGAGCCCAGCGAGCCAGAGAGTCGGTGTTTGAGACTCTGGATGCGACACCGAGCCTGCAGCGCACGCTGTCACAGACCAAAGCCTTGATAGAGAATGAGGACTCTGACTCCGAGCTCAGCGACGCGAGCAGCGACGAGTTTGAGGATGTGGCCATCAACGGAGCGCACCCTGGCACGAGCAGGCAAAAGGATGACCAGCCTGGAGACGATGACGGCAGCGACGAGGAGGAGGAGTGGGAAGATGCCCTGGGCGGCCACCATAACACCCATGCCCATATGAAGGATGACGACACAGCCCCCGAGCCCTCTGGTGACCTCGAGCTCACACTGTCCGCCGCGCCCAATGCCTCCGCTTTCGACTCAGGCACCGGCAAGAAGGGGGCTTCCAAGGTGCAACGCCATGTCAGAATGGTCACGCACTGCATGCATGTCCAGTTTCTCATGTTTCATAATCTGATCCGGAATGCCTGGATACAGGATAAGGAGGTGCAGAGGATACTGGTCAAGGGGCTGAATAAAGGTGCCTGGGAAGAGATAGAAATATGGTGGCGGAATGCTGCTATACAGGACGGCCATCTCCGTGTCATCGAGAGTGGATATCCCGGCAAAGTAGACGCGGTCGCCGAGACAAGTAAAGGCAAAGGTAAGGCAAAAGCTGGAACTGGCAAAGGAAATTCCAAAGACAGCAAAACAGCGGGACGTAAGAGCAAGGACCAAGATAGGAATTCACGTGATTGGGGCGCTACGTCTACGCACGCAGAGCCGAACACACCAAATCTTTCTTCTGGTGATCCGTTGATCCGTCTTTTAAAATACCTCTCATCCTTCTGGAAGCAAAGATACAAAACCACTACCCCACCCTTACGGAAAAGGGGGTATCTCCCCCCATGGGCACTGGCAGCTGAAATTGAGGCATGGAAACGAGACCCTTCTAATGCTGCTATCTTTGGGGAGAGAGTGGAAAGCTTGGAGGCGTTTCGGGAGAAGGCCAAGAAACCTGAAGGGAGCAGAGACGTAGGCCAGCAACTGTTCACAGCTTTACTACGTGGAATAGGAATCGAAGCCAGGTTGGTCGCCAGTTTACAGCCGGTTGGATTCGGATGGAGTCAGGGAGAAGAGGGAAAGCCAAAGAAGGATCTCGACAGGCCAGCTCAGAACGGTACACCAAGCAGGCCGCCTCGAAAGCCAAACGGAAATGGAAAGCAGACTGTACAGGACGATGATAGCCCCCTTAGCGACCCTCCCTCCGACGACGACTCGCCCGTAGAGATCATTCAATCATCGAGGAAAAAAACAATACCCTCAAGTCCATCTCGTAAATCCGACCTCCCACACCCCACATATTGGACCGAAGCCCTCTCCCCAACAACTCACATTCCTATCGCCGTCTCACCTCTACCCCTCTCCATCGTTGCACCAGCCTCAAATGCCGAGCTCATATCCAACTTCTACCCCCGCCCCGCCACCGCCGACAAAGCCAAGCAGGTCTTCTGCTACCTCATCGCCTTCTCATCCGACGGAACCGCAAAAGACGTCACCACCCGCTACCTCCCGCGCCACATCTGGCCCGGGCGTACCAAAGGCTTCCGCCTACCCGTCGAAAAAGTCTCCATCCACAACAAGCGCGGCAAAGTCCTAAAATACGAACACTGGGACTGGTTCAAAAGCGTCCTACGCCCCTACTCCCGCCACCCCCGTTTCCACACCGTATGGGATGAGGTCGAAGACTCCGGCGACCTCGTTCCCGCCACGGCCGCAAAACCAAAAGGACTAGACGAAGACGGCGGGAAAGAAACATTGCAGGGGTACAAAAGTTCCGCCGTCTACGTCCTCGAACGCCATCTCCGCCGCGAAGAAGCGCTCCTCCCAAACGCGAAGATCGTACGGCACTTCACGACCGGCAAAGGCGCCAAAGAAACCACCGAGCCCGTCTACCGCCGCGCCGACGTCGTGGCCTGCAAGACCGTTGAAAGCTGGCATAAGGAAGGCAGGGAAGTCAAGGAAGCAGAACAGCCTCTCAAATTCGTGCCCATGCGCGCTGTCACCGTGACCCGCAAGCGCGAAATCGCCGAGCGCGAGCTCGAGGAGGGCGAGAAGGTCAAGCAGGGCCTCTACGCTAAATCTCAAACCGACTGGATCATCCCGGAGCCGATCAAGGACGGGAAGATCCCGAGGAATGTGTTTGGCAATATCGATGTGTATGTGCCGACTATGGTGCCGAAGGGTGCTGTGCATATCCCGCTGAAGGGCGCGGCGCGGGTGTGCAAGAAGCTGGGCGTGGACTTTGCGGAGGCGTGCACGGGGTTTGAGTTTGGGCGGCAGCGGGCGGTGCCGGTGTTGACGGGGGTGGTGGTGGCGGTGGGGAATGAGGATGCGGTGATTGATGCGTGGGAGGCTGAGGAAGTGGAGAAGAGGAAGAAGGAGGAGGCGAAGCGGGAGAAGATGGTGTTGGGGCTTTGGAGGAAGTTTTTTATGGGGTTGCGAATTGTGGAGCGGATGAAGAGGGAGTATGGGGATGATTATGAGATTGCGCCGGCGGATGATAGGGGGAAGGGTGCTGCGAAAGGTGGGACTGGGGGGGAGGAGGCCGATCCTGAGGCGTCGCAAAAACAGCAGTTGGAAGGTGGTTTCCTCCGCGACGACGACGAAGAGGAGGAGTGTGGTCCCCTCGGCGGCGGCTTCATCATCGAGGACGACTCTCCCACGACGCATGTCCATCGCCCTCGACCAGCCGCTCTTCAAACACCTATCTCACTGCAATCCGCACATCTCCCTTTCTCACACGAGAACACGATCACTACAGACCAAGAATACCCCAAGGACGTCGATAGCACTGAGGATGAAGCCGACGACGAACCCATCGCCGCTGTCCCAACCCCCAAACGCCAACCCACCGCACGCGGACGTGGCCGTGGTCGTGGACGCGGTCGCGGCGGCATGGCAGCCAGAAATCCAACCACAGCATCTCGGTCTGCGACGAAAGCATCCAGGCGAAACGAAGCATCTAATGATAACGAGGATGAAGAAGACGCTGAGGAAGAATCGCCTTCTGAGTCTGCTTCGGGTGAGGAATCAGAGTTCGAAGCGAAACCAGCGCCGAGACGGCATGCTGCGCGAAAGAGCCAGCGCGCCGTGCGAAGCCACTACTTCTCGCACGACAGCGACAAGCTTACGGACGACGTTCCCGCCACTACGAAGAGGACATCGGGTCGAGGGAGGGGGAAGCAGAAAGCGAAGACGTGAGTTTTACAGAGAAGCGTGAGCGGATAATATAGGATAAACTCACCCACATTCCACAAACCCATAAACATGAACCATAACTTAAACATAAACCACAAACATAAAAATCCAATAAAATCCAAAACCCCGCTGAAATTTTACCTCCTCCGCTACGCTATACAATGTTCCAAAGCAAGAAGTTGGGGAGAAAAGAAAGCAATAACATAACGTAGGATAGTTACGCCCACCCACCCGCCCCCCCAAAGTAAAACCATAAATAAAACCATCAACCCCAAACCCGCTTAATCCCGCACACCATCCCCTCTCACGCCCATCCTGCGTCTCATTCGCTTCTCCGTGAAAAGACGCTGATTGGCCGCCCTTTTTTCCCACACAAAACGCCCCGCCCCCGCGGCTTGGCTGCATTGCAGAACCCCGGCGCGGGCGCGCGCGCGCGCAAGGGGAGTGGTCGCCCTTTTTGACTGTCTTCCACACTTTTGCGCGCGACGGAGGGGCTTGGTGCGTGGAGCGTGAGCCAAGAGTTGCCGCACTGGGAAAGGGAGGGGAGGGGGGGGGGGTTATTGGGTGCGAGGGAAGTGGGTCACGTGGGGCACGTGATCTCGAGATGGCGAATAGATGAGTAGGGACGTATAGGAGGGGAAGAAGGTAGGAGTGAGTGGCCAGTTACAGGGGAAAGGGGGTCGAGGAAGCGATTCGAGGATGGATCTGCCCGGCGGGAGTGTGCGTGATGTTGCGGTGAGTTACTCATCCCGGCGTAGGGAGGAGCTGCGCGAGTCCACGCCACGACCTCCGTTTCCCAGAATTGCGGTTTGTTGGGATGTAGGCGATGGAATGCGGGTAAGGGGTGTTGTGTGCTGGGCTGGTGTTGTTGGTAACAGCCACTTTAGCGGACAATCGGATCCATCACTCATTGAACCCTCCGCGCCTCGATTCGTAGCTTTCAATGCCTTTTCATGACGGCGCGGCGGTGGCTAATACCCATTAAGGATCGTGCATGCTGTCGTCGTAACGTAGACAGCTCAGTCTCCTTTGCCCACGTTCGTAGCTTCCTTCAGATCTCCGCGGGAGAGTTCATGACCTTTTCTCCCACCGCTTTCCCGCAAAACGGCTGGTAGCCAGTATAAACAGGAAAGCGTGTGGTTACAACCCTCCCTCTACCAATCTCAGCGCCCAGCCCAGCGGATTCAGTTCATCGCTCTTGTTAACACTACTCACGAGGCCGCCGTTGGGAGAAAGCGGGCACGTGTGTCGTAGACAATTCGAGAAGCGGCGACGCAGTCCTAAACACACCGGGGGAGGGGGGTCTCGAAACTCCATCTTATGCGGTCCAGTCCATCTCGTTACTTTTGTTAACATCAGTGACTAGAACGCGGGCATGTCGTGTAGGAGTTGCGCTCGACAGACAGACCGCCCTGGTCAGAATCTAGTAGTCCTGTCAGCTCTCATCACTCAAAGTCAGGAAACTGGGGATGTCGTCCTGATAGTAAGGTTAGGGTAGGCGACATACCCATCTAACAAGCCGTCTCCAGTTCTCTCTAACACTCCCACTACCTATAGCAGCAAAACAGGGGATGAAAGCTGTGCACACAACTACGACAACCAGCATACGCGCCGTCCACCCGACCACGCCACCGGGTCCCAAAACCCCGTCTTACGCCTCCCAACCCATCTCCTCTGCGTTCTCCTCCCTTTCAGCGCCCATAACTGCGGAGTACGTAGGCGATGCCGGTCCATCCAACTCCCCCGCGCAGTTCTGCGTCTTAGCCCCCATTGCCTCCATTCCGCTCTCCACACGCAGATCCCTTGCTTTCGCCGGCGTTCGCTGCGAGTCGGCCGCCCGTCCACAGCCACCGCATCTTCAGAGGCACGACAGGCGAGCCGGCGCGTCCCAAACGCCCGTCTTACGCTGCACATTCGTTCACTCTGTGGTCCCCGTTAGCGACCGGAAGGCCGTTACGCCACGGCCGCGCCGTAACCTCCTCCGTGAACCAAAACACCCCGCTAGTAGTTTGGCTAATATGCGTGCTTCGATTGGCCCCACAGCGCTTTTCCATGCGCGCTCCGCAAAGCGAAGGGGTGCGGACCTTGGGAAGGGGTAGTTGCAAGAGCGCGTAGTAATTAGCGAAACGGAGGCGTGTGATTGGGTACCGTACCTGCCATGCCCTCTCAGGAAGCCAGAATTTGCTTTTTTTCTTTTTTGGGTGTTGGTGGCGAAAGAGTAGGGGTAGGCGATGTTATAGCAATGGCTACGCGGAAGCTGACTCGGGTTCAACGCAGTGCGAATTTGTTGCTTTTGATGACGTTTCTGAGGGAGAGGTGGGCCAGTAAGGGGTTACGTAGCATCAGGTAAGCTACGGAGGTAGCATCAGGTAAGCTACGGAGGTAGCATCAGGTATGTAGCGCTACGTAAGCAGCAAAACCTGCGCGATTCAGGTTGATATTTGCTTTTTGGCGATTTGAATCTCAAGAGGGAAGGTGGGTCTGGTTTTGTTGGACACGCCACATCCTGATACGCATAAGCGATGTGGCGAAGTGCGCTTGGGCGACGTGCGGTAGTTTTGGATAGTTGGGGCGCGTGCTGGGGAGACGGATGGTGGAAAAAGGGGGTTCGACGAAATCTTGAAAATTTGGAAGATGTGAGAAGGGAGATGGACAGGAGGGAAAAGGATTGTAGCGTGCAGGTCATTATGGCATTAAGAATAGTGTAGTGAGTGGTGGGGCCCTCCTGAAGCCTCCTCTTTCCCTTCTTTTAGAATAGCGTAGCGAGCGTGGATATCATAATCACCCACTCGCTCCTCCTCCTCCTTCTCTTACCCTCCCCATTAGAAAATCATAGCGAGAGTCGTAGATATCACAGTACCCTTTTTGCAGATCCAAACGCCGTAACCCCCTCTCACTATGCTCCTCTTCCTCCTCCTTTTCCTGAAACCTAGTCCAAAATCCCACTCGCCCAAGTATACCGCGTAGCATAGTGCACCACAAACCCCCTCTCCGCGTACCTCTCCTCCGTGACCTTCCCCCTCCGCTCCTCCTGCAGTACCTCCTGCTCCCGCTTCCTCTCATAAAACGGCCCTCTTCCTGCCTGAAACGCTCGCACCCAACTTGTCTCGCACCCCCTCGCGATCTGCCCGGCCGTCGCCCAACCAGACCGGAGTTCGATATCGAGGAGGCGGGAAACGACCCACTCACGGTGGGCGGTGGACGTGTATTGGATCCCCGCAAAGAAAAGCGGCATAGTTGATTCGATTAGAGCGGCGCCGAGAGAGGGGTTAAGGGGCGGTGTCGGTTTCGCGTCGCCGGTTGCTCCGTAGGGACCGTAATCGAGATTGTCTTCCTCGTAGGTGTTGTCGGCGCCCGGCATGAGGATGCCGGCGGCCAGGCGGCCGATTTGCTCCGCGTACCACTCCGTTAATTTCCCTGCTACGCCGGCTGCTTGCATCGCAGCTGGCGGCATACCCGGGTGCGCCCGGAGCAGAATGATGTGACACATGTGCAGCATGCCCCAGATAATGGCGACGTCGTACGAGCGGTACTGCAGCGCTGGGCCGAAAGGCGTGTTCAGAGGGGGAGCGTGGGAAGGGCCCAGGGGGGCGAAAGAAGGACCGAGAGAGTGCTCGAGAGCGAAGAGGGCGGCGCGAATGGAGGACCAGTGGGTCAGGGCGGCAGTGTAAGCGCTTGGAAGATCGAGGGGTTCAGAGGGGTCGTGAGATTGCGATTGAGGGGAAGGGCGTGGGTCGGAGAATGAAGGGATTCGAGGGGCCTGGGAGGTCGGGAGAGCATAGGAGGAGGGCATGGCAGAAGGTCCACGGGTGGGTGCCATGCCGTAGAATGGGGGCAGTTGTGGAGGTCCAGAAGGTGGACCTCCAGGTGGACCTTGACGTTGAGGGGGTCCTCGGGGTGGGCCAGGTGCTTGGGGAGAGGGAGCGATGTTGGGGGGACCTTTTGGTCCTGGTCCGCCTGAGGAGCTGGATGACGCTGGTGGTCCCATAGGCATGCCTGGCATTGGTCTCCATTGTCCGCCGTTCGCCTCTACCTGTTTAATTTTACGTTCGCGATCCCTGGACGCGAAGTCGGCTATTCGACCTAGGAGAAGAATAACGTGGTCGTGAGTACCGAAGCATTGGTCGGCACGACCACAGGGTGCGCGTGGGGGGCAGTCGCTCCATCTGCTGTAGTCCATGCTGTGATATGTGAGCCTAAGTTCTTGAGACCGGTTTTGAGATTCCAAATCAGGCCTTAGATGCGGGCTGTTTTGTAAAGGTTGTGGTTGGCTGAAGTACCCCAGGAGGTTGAGCTAGGCTCTCAGGGGCTTCGAGGATTTCCAGAACTGTGTAGAACAAGAGCTTCCTTACGACTTACATGAGTTTATTACCGCTGACAATGCTCTGGAAAGCATCCATACGACAGTACCACCAATACAAGTCCTGAAACATCTCATATTTACTCAAGTCTAACTGCTTCGGAATGCCCGTCGAGGGCCCCCTTGGCTGATCGTCATAGTCCGTCACGCGGCTAAAATCGTCATATGTGAGCTTTCTACCAATGATGGTACTGACCAGGTTCTCATCTGGCGAGGACGACAAATCCTTTATGCCTTGGCTCAGCTTTCGCTGAGACATCAGCATTTCAGGATTTTGATATGCGAAACTGGACTCATATGCCGCCTGCTCTGCCTTGATTCTACGAGCCTCAGCGGTCATCCCACGGAAGTCAGTTTCCACAACGAGCAATTTCGCACCCGTGAGATGACTGCTCCACTTGACGTGGTCTGCTGCGAAAACTTCATAAAAGGCGAGCAGCAAAGACGTCGCTAATGTGGTAACGAGGTGTCGCTTAGTAGGGTGTCCAAGGCAATGATGCAACCGCTTTAGTGAATACGCATAGTGCTTATATGACGGCGTCACAGCGGCGCCTTGAAGCTTTGCAATATGCAGACTAGAGAGCGCCAGCATCGCATGCAGCAAGCCTTGATGGCTCAACGCCAACATTGGCAGGTGGTAAGTCCATAGACTCTGTTGGGAGGACGGTACTGGCCCTTCACTGAACATTGCCGAAGAATTCCTAGGGTTTCTCTCATAGATCGACATGCTCGGACCAGTGGCGTAAACGAAATGCGCAAATACACGAGCTGTGGCTGGGTTCTTCAGTGGGTTGGCTACCCATTCCGCCCGGTAGAAGTCTAGTATGCCCTCATAAATGAACGTATCGTATCGACGTATGCTGAGGTCACTGATGCTCTCTTCATGTAGACGTAGTATCATTCCAAAGTCCCTGTTGGATATCATCTCTTGTTCTGGAGCGTCTTCCATCTCCTCGTCAGACTGGACATCGTAGTAGTCGTCGTCTTCATATTCCACAGCGGCCTCATCGAGGGCGTATGTCGGGCTGATGTGATCAGCAGCGAATCCGGAAGTGTAGAGGCCTGGCACGAAGCCTTCCTGGACATGCGACACGGCAGTTGACTGTTCTATGACTCTCAACATCAGCACCTATTCACGCTAGCAGTTGGAGAGGTGACATTCGAAAGTGGGAAATCATTTTCAGGGGCAGGCGATTCGAGATTACAACGGATAGACTTCAAGGAACGGGACACGCGAAAAGTCGACAATTGTACAATCAATTGGACATCAGATATGACAATAGTAGTGGTGATAGTGATAGTATAGACAGACACAAATAGTGTGGTGGTTAGAGCTAAATACGAGACATACCAGGTACAGTATGCTGTGGGACATATTTTACATCAGGAGCTACATCTGAATACGATAACTGTACAGACTGGGGTATCTGGGCGATCTGGGTATGTACGATAGACTGACGTCGATCTGGTTGCGGTGGTGGAGGTGCATAAGGTCCTCGTGGCATATCTATAGGAGTAGGCAAAGCGTGCGAATCTCGACGAGGGCCGACCTGTTCCAGTGGCGGCCGATGCTGAATGAACTGGTGTTGCTGGTATTCGTCTGCTCGCGGTGGATTATTAGATGCCAAATATGGATCATGTTCTTCGTGTACGTTGGGTGGTGTTTGGTGCTGGTGTTGTTGATGCTGATGCGATTGTGGATGCTGCTGATAACCGAACTGATCGGAACCAATTTGATATGCTTGCGCAACAGGAGGATAAGAAGCCTCGGAAATAGCAGGCTTTGCGTCTTGAGCCTGGGTATCATAAGAAACGGGCTGAAAGTGTCCCTGTCGCGGGTACTGTTGTCCCTGGTAGGCTGAACCGCCGTCACCTGCGAACTGTGGGGGGAAATTTGCGTGTGAAGGCGAGGGAAGATACGACGCCGCACTAATTGGGGTCGGTAGATGCGAGTGTGGGGAGGGAAGGGGCTGCTGGGGATAGCTGGGGTCCTGTTGGTACTGTGGTGGTGGTCCCCCCAGTGCCCTGGTGTTCAACGGATCAAGTCCTGGGATAGGCCCAGAGCCTGGATTGGCAAAGTCGAACTGGGTCGCAGTGAGCGGCCCTTGGGTCTGTTGTTGGACAGGCGGTTGGTGTTGGCGGAAGACAGGCCGGGTCCCGGGCAACAGTGAACTGTGGTACGGAAGGGTATTGACAGTTGACTGATGGTTGGGCCACTCTCCAATGGGCGCCTTGAAAATGACGCGCTGGTTGTAGCCTTCGCAGTGCCGTTTGGACTTGATGCAGTTGTTGCAAATAGGGCGTTCTTCTCCACACTTGATCCTCCGCTTGCGACAGGTCAAGCATCCCGTCTTGGTCCTCTTGCGCAGCTTTGCCGCAGGCTGCGAGGGCGGCGGCGGGGTTGGTGGCCGGTCCCATCTGTTCGGCGGCGGCGGAGGGTCCCATGATGCATCCTGGTCGTCGCCGGCGATATTGGTAGCGGCGTGAGTAGAGAGGGTCGGCCCGCTGGAGGCCATGATGATCTGCCGGGCGGAACTCGTACCGTAAAACACCTCGTGGCTTAGCGAAAAGGCGGAGGAAGTGGTGGTGATGAGGGACAAGGCGGCGTCGCCCACGGCGCTGGAATGCTCCTGCAGTAAATAGACTTGAGGCAGCCCGGGGCTGGGTGGTGATGCAGTGCAAGGGCGTCAGTACGGGAATAGCATGCCCAGAAGAGCAGCTGTCAGGTGCGTGATGGCTGCAGGAGGGGCAGGCAACGGGCGGAGGCTAGAAAGTGGCCGTAATGACGATCCGCAGCCGCGGAGTTTCACACAACGGCGGGTGGCAGCCGTTGAGCTGTCAAAAGCACTGGGCGGCGAATCGAGGAGGGTGGTTTGGAGCGCTACGGTGCAGGTTGCGCGGAACAGGCCGTGGGGAGCACGCGAAGGGAAGGTCTGTATGCGCGGAAACCCATCTGGCTGCAGGCAGGCCGGGAGAGATATACGAAGCTGAGCACTGACGAGCAGGGCAGAGGGGATCCACGCCACTTCAAATAGTTGCGGCGCTGGCTGGAGGCAGGCTGCTATAGACGCTGCGCTGCTGGATGCTGCCGCCGAACAGGTCCAGCGAGCCTCCACTCTGCGGCGGGGGCCTCCACGTCCCGAACGGGATGGCGATGCTCACGATGGGAGGCAAACGAGCGTGAAGGGGGTCTTCTGGAGGTGGGAGGACATGATAAGCATTGCTCTTTCGCGCCTTGCGACGATGGGGGTGAGGAGAGGAGCAAAGAACGGCAATGCCTTGCATCTGGGAGGAAGTCGAAGTGGGCTGTCGGCGATTGGGCGCGCTGTGAGTGTGGGAGCGGCTGGGGGGTCTGGGGGCGCAGAGTGGTGCTGGCGACATTCACCCCAGCACCGCTCCAGGCAAGCCAGCACCGCACAGACACGGCCCCTGGGGATCGCTGCGATGGGCAAAGGGGGGATGGTGCTGATTGGGCGCAGGCAGATCGAGGGCACTGACGAGAGATCCCGAGCGGCTTCACGATGCCACGCCGACGCGATGGCGACGACACGGCCCGGGAGCTGGAGCCCGCTGGCACACGGCTTCCCGAGCCTTGACAGGACACGCATCCCGAGCGCTGCCTTGTGGGACGCAGCTCCCGAGCCTGTCTGCACTCAACTCTCTCCAGTGCGCCCTCAACCCAGCGCCGCCTCGTCTCTCCCGAGCCGCCTGGCAGCCCAGCACCACACGCCGGCAACGTGGTCGGCCACACTGCTCCCGCAGGCCCGAAACGTGCAGAACGTGGGCAGCCGCGTTGGGGAGAAAATTTGCCACCGCCAGCGACCTCCACTCGTGCTCTCTCCAGCACCGCACTCGCCCTGCACCCATGCCTCCGCAGCTCCGCCCTCCTTCCGCCTGCGTCCCAGGCGCGCCGGGTCGTCGACCTGCGCGCTGCACCGGCCTGCGCGCTTTTGCGGACAGCCACTTTGCTCAGCGTGCAGCCGCGGGCTCTGGCTGCCACCGTGATTCGCCGCCTGGGGGTGGGCGACCCCTCTGCCCCTGCGCGCGCAGCCCATCCCACTGCGGCGGCGCGCCCTGTGGATGGAGGGCCAGTTGCCGCTTCAGCCGCAACACCGGCGTGGCTAGCTGCCTGCACGACGTCTGGTTTTGCTCGTGGCGCGTGGACCCGGTTGCTGGAATGGTGGGAGCCTTCTGCTCCAAGCAACTCGGCCGCCCCTTCACCTCCAGCTACCTCACCTCCGCTGAAACTTATGACAGCAATCTAATCGCCCAACGCCGCCGGCGCGATAGTCCCCCGCCGCCTGCAGATACAGCACACCTACAACCGACGTCGCACATGGAAGACGCTGCCGTGGCCTCGGCGCCGTCCTCCATCCAGTAACACAACGAACACCGCCGAGAAAACAAATACGGCCTGGCTGCGATAGAGCGAGCAGACCACATCGTCTCTTGTTCAGTTGTGCAATCCATTGCAGGACAGGTGCACATACGCACGTAAAAGTTTCTACCCTTGCATCATCACGAATCAGGCCACTAGACCCTACTTGGCATCGTATCTATATCCGCTCAAGGCCAGCCGTCAATACTTGCCATGCTTCTCAGCGCCAACGCTTTCTGGACGGCTGTGGAACGCCTCATGGCGTGGTGACTGATGGAGACAGCCTCTCCATCGATCCGGCACCAACCGACCACTGACGGCCAAGTGTGGAGTAGATTCCTGGTTAGCGCTGCGTGGCGTCTAAATTTGTCGCCATCTTCCTTGCAGACCCCAGCCTCATCGCGAACCCGATTGTTCGATATCGAGCCTTGGCACTTCTCGTTTTGGAGCTTCAGATTACTGCAGCCACCGCCTCAGTAATGTCTTAAACAGATTTACGAATGGTCGGCGGGAGGATTCTATGATCTGCAGATTGCCGAGACTGTTTGACAGCTGTCCGCTATGCATGTTTCGGATAAGCTTGAAACTTCCTGTAGATCTTCAGCTATCTTACTCCGACATCCCCCCACTACACAGTGAGTACATCTTCTTCATCCTTCAAGACTATTTGACGAGATACCGAACGAGAACTTTAAATCTTGAGACGTGTTGATTCTACCTGAAACAGAAGAGCAATGAGGCAGGACGACGACGGTAGCTCGCTTCGACTACGAGCTTCCAAAGTAAGACAAATGTATAAGCGATTGCATCTAAACATGCATGCATCCATGTCTCTGTTTCGAATCTCAATATCACATCTTATACGACCAGGATCCCTTCACTTTGATCTCCTCTCCTGCCTCATTCACGATCTCCGTATATTAAGCACACGAATACACACTTTCACTTAGTCCACACATCAACGGGCTAGACCAATCCACAACACTGGCATTCTTTGAACCTCATGTCCGTCTGCATGGCATCAACTCACTATCACTAACGTTCAGTGAGCCTACACAACTTCCAATTCACTGCATCACACAGTGTAAAGAGGAATGCCCCAATTCAGGCACGCAATAGAGCCTTATCCTCACCAAACAGCCTACCATTCTACAGAAACTAGTCACATCCGCCCATAACATATCAATAAAAGCCACGTGACATATCTACTACTAATTCCCGTCCTTCGCACAGCCAACCCAACACCCCAATCTGGCTTCCCACCAGCTCTCAACACCGATTCCGGCACCGCACTGTCTACCACGACTGCAAGTCAGACTCTATCTTTCGTCTCAATCACACTTCTTTCCTTGCTTTTTCTCCCCTTCGTATTCGGCTTTCCGCCTAAGTCTCCTAGCCTGATGTTCCCTATCCGCCCCACGGCCCCTGGGGCGTGCTAATGCAGGGTCTTCACTATACGACGCACCTACTTTTTAGCGCCAACTCCAGCCACACCATCACTAGCAACACGCAACTCTATCCGCCGGCGCACCCGGGACTGCCCTCATGGCGACCCGAGATGGGGTCCGAAACCAGAACTTATTGTATTGCCGCGCTAGTTCCGCTGCTCAAAACGCACCTTTTGCACAGATAACTACGGCATTCATTAGACCGAGAAACATTTTTCTTCGGAGAATCTTGATGCTTTTCGTGGGAACATCCTTGTTTTCAAGAGCGTCTGTATGCACACTCTACGTCCCATCCATCCAGCAAAAAGCGGACACCCTGCCTGCTGGGGGAGAAACGCCATCGAGGAAGAGCGGTGTATAAACCTTCCCTCCCTGTTTACTGCGTCAATGCACGAGAAAAGAGTTGAACGAAAAAGCGGTCTTAGTTGAAGTACGCACCAAAACCTCATTTTTCTCTCCCACCACCACAAGCAATTGGTTCTCAAAATCTCAAAACTCGAGCCATTCAAGCTTTGGCTACCTCACTATAAACTCCATCCGCCTCCCCCACAATCCCAATCCTCCACCGCACCTGGAAATGCCATCGAGAAACTTTAAGTTGAGAAAAACCTGAAAAAAAAAGAGAAAAGTAGAAAGTCCGACCCATCACCCGCAGAAAAAGTGTCTGAAAACACTCCCCGCATTTCTCCGGCAAACTATGCACTGTACACGCTCTTCCACATCGCCCCTATCCCATCCCAGCATCCGTCGCACCCCACAACCAACCCATCCATCGTGCCTACACCAACCCTTGTCCATCTCAACTATCCCACCACCCCCGCACCCATTTTCCCCTCCATAACTCTACTCGACTCAGAATAGCACTGCCGGTCTACCCCTCAAACCTAAACCTCTTCCCCTCCAACCTGCCCAACCCCTCGCGCGGCGCCACATTCCTGCGCCGATAACTATTCGTGAAATCCTGCAGCAGACTCCTAACCTTCCGCACCTCATTATTCTGCACCCGCTGCCTAATCGCACCCAGCAGCCTCTCGCTCTCCACCTGCGTGATGCTGCCCGCGGGGAGCATGCTGACCGTCGTCTGGACCCAGACCGCGACTTGCTCGGGCGCGATGTGGAACAAGTCGAGCAGCACGCCCGACGCGTCCGGGAAGCAGTCGCGCGGGAACGTGTACATCATGCCCGTCATGATGCGCTGGACGAGGTGCTCGCCGTGCGCCGCGACGAGGCGCTTCACCGCGTCCTGGAGCGCGGGCGGGACGGTCTGACGCTGGTTGGCCGAGTCGAAGGACGAGGAAGGGGCGAAGTCGCCGCCGTACGCGAGGAAGTCGCGCAGGAAGTGGAGGGTGGCGAAGATGGGTTGTTCGGAGAGGAGGGTAAGGGAAGAGCAGGCGGCGGCGAGGATGGAGTCCATCAAGGGGGAGGTGAGGGTTTTGGCGGAGAAGTAGAGGAGCATGTCGACGGTCAGGCGGAAGAAGTCGTCGATGAGGTCGGGGAGTTCTTCGGGCGCGACGTCGCTCATGGCGCGCAGGAAGGTGGTGGCTTGTTGCTCGTAGAAAGCGAAGATGGCGGTTGTGGTTGTGGTGTCGACGTGCTCGGTGCCTTCGGAGAATTCGCGGACGATGGAGTCGGTGGCCCAGAGGAAGGAGCCTTGTTTGGACGCGGAGAAGCCGTTGGCGAGTGCAGTCGCAAGGTCGCCGAGTAAGGGTGCCATGGCGGTGCGGTATGATAGGACCATGTATCGCCAACATCTGCATATTGCTTCTAGGACCGCAGGACTAGTCCGGTAGTTGTCGGCGATCGCGGAGAGCACTGGGAATATCTCTTGGCAGTACTTGACCCCTGGGTTCTCCTGCGGGGGTTGGACGTGAGGCTGAACCCACTGGACGAAGAGAGTGACAAGACCGATTTTGTCTGCGAGGGTTGTCAGTAAGTAATTCATATACAGCACGGAAGAATTAGACATACCAGCTAGAAGCGTCCTCTCTTTTTGGTTTGATGCCTGCTGTGCCATTGATATGAGAGTGGAGATGATCGGATTGCAATAAGCCTGCAGTTGTTCGTATACCTGTTCCGCGGGTAGACGTCCTAGAACGGAGGCTATTCCATCCGTGATCTCTTCCTGGCTGTTGGATGGAAGGTTATCTAGCTGTGTTCGGTAGAACTCTTGCAGCGGTCCTAAGTAGTCCACAAGCTGCTTCGCGCAGTCGTTGCAGAAGAACTTGAACGACAGTGCGGCAGCCCTGACAACTTCCTTGGACGGATGTCCGAACGAGTCCATGATGTACTTTAGCTGCGGTTGCAGCATGTCGTCGGAGTGATATGCCGTCCATTCTGTGTATCGTCCGAGAGCCATCACAGCTTGGAAACGGACCTTTTCGTGTTCTGGTATCTGAACAATCAGGGGTATTAGTCGAGGGAGCATGATGCTCTCTTCGGCTGGTACCATACGACCCATTGCCCGCAAACTAAACAAAGGGGCTTCGAGCTTCTGCCATTCAGGAACATGAGTCGCCGTTGCTTGAGGGCCGTATGTCTGAACCCAGCTCTCGATCAGGGTATACGATTTCCCTAAGCAATCTGTGACGCCGATGACTTCGCAGCAATCCTTCAGGACGTCTCCCATCTGGTGGCGGAATTCCCGGAATTTCTCCTCTAGCTCTCGATCGCCATCGAACAGATCCTTCTCATCGCCATCCTCTGGCTTGGGGTACTCCAGATGACCGATCATGATATCAACCAGTTTTGAGTAGATATCGACATACTCGAGTCTCGCTTGCATGAAGTTCTCGAGTGTGAGATATTGCTTAAGCTCGTACCAGAACGTGAAGGTATGCGAAATTGCGTCCCTCTCCTTGTCAAGAGCGGCGGTCTCGAGAACACCTTCCACAAGAGGACGAAGCTGTTCCGGCTGCCGTGCGATCAAAACGACCCAACAAGTTCCGGCTTCGGCGAATATCTTCGCGAGGCCTTTGAACCTCTCGGCATCCTCATCCTTGGCAGCCTGGATCAGTAACGGACGAAGAGCGACGACATGCGGAAAAAGCGCCTGAATCATGTTCAAGCACTCGTCTACGTCTCTTGTCTCCTGGAACATGGTGCATAAGCACTCGACTGCGGCATCGAAGGGCTCCTCAACTAATAGGTCGTCAAAGATAACTTTGAGAAGTGGAGAGTTTATGATGTCGTTCAGGGGGAGCTCCTTTATCCAGGATGTTATGCACTCCATAAGCTGGGGATTTTGGGCGGCTGAAACTATAATTATATTAGCATCTTGTCCTTAATGGCGTTGTCGCGAACATACCGGATGATTGAGAGTACTGTATGAGCAAGGACAGTGCCTGCTGAGCATTATCCACCAACAACTCTGTTGTCCTGGAGCTCAATTCATCTTCCTAGTAATATCACCAAGTATTAGAATGTGACTGTGTTTCGTGCTTGTGGTACCGCTGGGAGGCGCCCGGGAAATGGTGATGTGTCGGCCGAACGTACAGTCAAGTTGATTTTGCGTCCTTCCGTGACTTCTTCTGGGAGAACACGTAGGAAATCCAGGACACAGGGTAGTGTTTGCGGATCCGTTCCGAGTGACGACACAACGAGCGGGAGGACGTCCTTCCACTCTGTCATCTGGATTGCCAGATTCGCCAAACACACAACCAGTTGCATCCGTATCGGTTTTGGGCCAGCGCGAAAAACGACGAGATTAGCCAGTAGGGAGTCCCGCAGGCCAGGGAGTGATTCCCGAGGGATTTGGTGAAGGTCGTATACAATCTGCGAAAGTTAGAGTCATTGGCGCAATGGGGGTTTCGGTGCTCGTACCTTGCCCTTGAGTGTCGTCGCAGCGAATAGCTTTGCCGCCGCATCTGCATCGTTTGTTTGTAGCATGTCTAGAGTCATAGTCCATGCCTCTGGCTTTAAATCATTCAAATTAGCCCCCGGCTCTGCAAGTTCGCCAATGTGTACTGACCGATTTCTGAAACTTTTCGAGGTATTCGTGAGCCTGGCCTTTCTCGGCGCGGTCCGCCACTGCTGACATGGTGGCAAGCGCAGCGAGGACGGGCGCAAAGCCCTGCTGAGCGCCGTTGGAAGCCATGATGGCGTCGCTATTCGTGGTGTGGAGTGAAGGAGCGGGGCGCTGACGAGCGGCGAGTATTATGCGGTCATGGAAGGTGAATCGAGGAAGCGGAGGGCGGCCGAGGCAGAAGCAAGGAAAGGAGTGAAAAGGAGGGCGAATTATGTATAGAGGATGAAGAGCAGGTGGTGGAAAGATTGCTCTGCAAGCAGGTAACAAAAGACAAGATGCAGGCGGCGGCGGTCCCTCGTTTTGCTTGGCGCTTTTGGAGCCTCGCCAAAATTTGGCATCGCGCTTTCGAGCTTGAGCCTCACCACCTCCCCGCAAAGCTAACTCCTACACCGCTTTCGCAGCCCACATCTCTCAGACCCTCTACACTCCAGCTTCACCGCAGTCTACACGAAGCAGTTCCATCATGTCAGGCCGCCAAGGCGAGTGCTCTTCTCTATGCGCGTCCAGCTCCAGCTAACAACCTCGCAGGTGGTCGCGGAGGTGGGAAAAGTACGACTTCACTCCATCGCGCAATTCGACGTCGCAAGACCTTACTAAAATTGGACAACAGTACTCCTCCCGCCGATCAACTTTATCTTCAAGCTCCTGCAATCCCGCCAACCCGTGTCGATCTGGTTATATGAGCAACTCGGTATCAGAGTGGAGGGAAAGATCAGGGTACGATCCGCGGGACGATGTTTATTGGCTACACTGACGGCGCGTAGGGATTCGACGAGTTTATGAACCTCGTAATCGATGATGCGATCGAGGTGAAGCAAGCAACGAAGACGGAAGGCGAGTCGCGGCGACCACTTGGTATGCGATCCCAACCCCACGTCCATGCGCAATACTCATTTTCCTTAGGTCAAATCCTCCTCAAGGGCGACAACGTATCGCTCATCCAGCAGTTGTCTTGATGGGCTGCGTAGACTGCGTAGGGTAAAAGTATCGAGCTCGCTCGGAGCGGAAAAATGTTGACATTTGAAGTGCACAAGATATTGGGCGGGAAGCAGGTGTATTGGTTACGATGGATCAGCTTTCCGCAGCAATTTCCCAGTACCCAATACCAAGGCGTTGAGCCTCCAGTCGGTTGTGTCCATGGGGACGGACTCCTTCACTGGTAGAAGCTGCTCTGCCAGTGCCAGGCCAACTACATAGGGTTAGCTATCCGAGTCCTTCAAAGTAATGGCTAGAAATCTCACCGAGAAAAGGCTTCCTTGCGGTTGTTTCCATGCTATGCGTTTGACATCTCTCTAAGAAGAAGTCATAAAAGCCTTTCCCGTGACCTAGTCTACCTAAACTGGAATCAAATGCCATCCCAGGCATCACGATAAGGTCTAGTCCCGAGTCTGCTTCGTTCCAACCTTCAAAGCTCCCATCAGTGATTCCTTTCCCTCCGAAAGAGTTCTCTCGTTGCGATATGGAATCCTTGTCCAGCGACGGAATCCCCCAACCGTCTGGATTCAGGCTTGCAAAGTCATTCATTGAAGTTAGTTCAAGCATGTCCATTATCGACTTTGGCTGTCCTTCTCTTGGATTCGCCATCTTGTACGTGTACGGAATGAAGACCTTTTTGCCTTGCTTGAGCGCATCGTGAACTATCCCAGAGGTGGATATCTCTCCCGAGGGCATGGAGAGGTAGATGCTTATTCTCTTCGCTGCCTTGTACTCTGGCATTGATAATAGCGTCTCGACTGCATTTGAAGCTAGTTTTCTCAGCGAAATGGCAGGTGAATATAACACAGTGACTACATACTCTGGCTCGTGATTGACTCTGGCTCAAGCTCGGATAAAACCAGCTTGATGCGCTGTCGCAGCTCTTTCTTGAGGGTCTTTAGGGCGGCCATGATGTAGGATCGACGTCCCAAAATAGAAAATTAGATGCGCCACGCAGACGCTAGATGTATTCAGGGTTCAGAAGTCGAGTTCGAGGAGTCGAGTCTGGGCATCAACCAGCTACCAATCTATCACAAGAAGACTTGTAGTATAACAAGAGATTCACAATTGGGGTACGGGTATTTGCAGAAGGAGCCCACGTTCCTTCCGTTCCCTAGACGTCTCGCGTGGCGGCACCTGAACCTTACTGAGACGGGCTTGGCGCGTCGACGCCCCTTCCTTGCCTCGCCCAAATCTTGAACCTCGAACAACGACAGCAGCCTTCCCTCGACCACCCACCACACTCGCTTTTCGATATACACACCTCCGAACATGCTGTCCTCGATAGGCTCCGCGCTCCTCGTCGGCATCAGCGTTGTTGCCGCACAGACGACCCCCACAGACATCGTCGGAACGTGGTCCTCGAAGTCGAACAAGACATTAACCGGCCCTGTACGTTGGTGAATGCGATGGAGCAGCAGCCCGGTGACTGACAAGTGCCGCGCAGAAATTCTACGACCCAGTGAATGAGAAGCTCACCGAGCCCAACCGACCAGGCATCTCCTACTCATTCTCCGCCGACGGCTTCTTCGAGGAGGCATACTACCGCGCGGTTGCCAATCGTACGTCTCCTCTCGCTCTCCTCCACATCGCACTCTTTTGCCCCGCTACAGAGAACGGGATCGCTGACATGGAGTGACATAGCCAACGACCCGAAATGTCCCGCCGCGATAATGCAATGGCAACATGGCAGCTTCACCAAGCAAGCCAACGGCTCCCTCACCCTCGCCCCGATCGCCGTCGACGGCCGACAGCTATATTCCGACCCATGCGCATACGATGAAGCTGTGTATACTCGATACAACCAGTCGGAGATGTTTCAGGTACGTCTATCACCTATTCACATGCCCAGTCTCCGCAGCTAACTCCCCCCGAGCGCTACGAAGTCCTCACGGACCCCTACCACAACATCCCCCGCCTGAACCTCTACCAATTCGACGGCTCCCCAATGATGCCGCTCTACCTCGTCATGTCCCCGCCGGAGATGCTGCCCACCAGCACGCTAAACCCCCTCACGACTGCCACCGCCGGCGGCGCCAAAGCCACTTCCAAATTCAAGCGGTCCGCCGAAGGTTTCACCCTCCCTATGAACCACAAAGTCCTCGGCAAGCGCCACGAGCCAATAGCCGCCGACAGGATATGGTGGTTCGGTGTGTTCCTGACCGGATCAGGAGCGCTGCTCTACTATTTCTTTTAGTCGCATATCAAGTCAACACCATATTAGAGGGGGCATTTTGTAAGATCCATGCAGCAATTACAGGATATGGAGTAATGTCGGTCGTCGCGTGGATTGCATCCTGATCAGCATCTTTTTCATCAGGTTCCAGGAGGTTTGATCGGAGTTAAGAGGGGGAGTTGCTGGAGTACTTATTCGACCTAACGCTCAAGAAGTTGGGTCTTGGTGAATTGTTTGGATGGCGTATTGCATCTTTCAGTTGGTTTCCGAGCGATGGTGGGGATCGACGGCCGTTGGTTGGAGAATCAAATAACAAATCAAAATTTTTGAAATTCTGTCAGGTTTCATGGGTGTCGAAATCATCAACTTTCCAGGACTCGAATTAGGGCCTATGCTGTTTAATTCTGACCAAGGCTGTAGGTACCAGACTGACTCCAGACCCCCAGCGCTACTCTAAATCCAACGCCTGATTTGGCGTGTCCTCCAAAAGTATGCCAAAATCGACTTCAAATCGCACAGACTGGCTCCACTATATGCTTCTTACAACCTTCAAATTAGCTCAATGTCCACGACGTGATTCAAAGCGTCTGGCAATAACATGCCAAAAACGACTCCAAATCGCACGGACTGGCTCCACTTCATGCTTCTTACACCCTTCAAATCAACTCATTTCCTACGACGTGATTCAAGGCGTCTGGCAATAGTATGCCAAAAACGGACTTCAGATCGCACGGACTGGCTCCACTTCATACATCTCACCAGTGCCGAATCTACCCTATTCCCACGGCCCGATTCAAAGTATCACAGACGTCACATTCCAAAGCACCATCTCAAACCGCATCACCAAAACCCAACATCAATTGACCTCCAACCTCCCCCTCGCATCTAAACCACCGTCTCAACCGCCCGATCCAACAACCCCTCCCACCACCGCCTCTCCCAAATCGTCGGCTCGCCCAACTCCAGCTTCACCACCCGCCTCAACCCCTCTTCACTCAGCTTCCCCTTGCCCCCCTCATCATCCCCTTGCACACCCCTCCCCTCCCTCTCCCACCACTCCCTCTCCGCCCTCTCCCGCGCCCGCCGCAACACCACCTCCTCATCCTCCGTGCGATACAAATCACACCGCTCACAAATCTTACAAACGCCCGGCTGCTCGCGGAAATGCTGGCAAAAGTGCGCGTAACTCTGTTCTCTGATATCCGCGCGGCACACATAGCACATCGTGTAGCCGCAAACACAGGTCAGCTTGTTGCACCCCGTGCTCTTGACGAAGGAGAGGTTACACTTCGGACACGTGCGCTTGATGGCGTCGGCCATGGCGCGCTCGACGGATGTTCGTAAGGCGGTTTTGGACGACTCGTGGCAGATGTGGATGTCGTGCCACTCGGCGAGGCAGGTGAGGCAGGAGGAGCGGGCGCAGGCGGGCGCGGCGCAGGTGAAGCGGAGGCCGCGGCGTTTGCGGCGGGCGCGGGCGAGGGAGGCGGGGAGGGGGGTGAGGAGGGGGGAGAGAGGAGGGAGAGTGGCGAGTTGGAGCAGTAGGGAGAGGAAAATGAAAAAGAGGTAGAGAAGGATGGTGAGGGCTTCGTTGTAGAGGGTCTGGAGGGCGGCGAGGGGGGAGGAGGCGGAGACGGCGCGGAGCGAGGGGCGGAAGGTTAAGCGCTGGGACGGGTGGTCGAGCATGTCGACTTCGGCGTAGGCGCAGAAGGGGCAGCGGATGAGGGGGAGTTGGGACTTTTGGAGGGTCTCGGAGGCGGAGCGTTCTTCAAGGCGGCGGAAGGTGTCGTTGCCGTCTTGGTCGTCGCCGAGGGCACGGCGGATGAAGACGGGGTGGATGCAGCCGGTGCAGACGTCGAGACCATCTGCTACAGGGGCTACGCAGCGGAGAGTACATTGTGCTGAGTCGATGTTTCGGGACCAGCTTTGGTCGTAGAGAGCGGCGTTGATGGAGTGCTTGATGCAGCGGAAGCAGACGTAGTGGCCCTCCTCATCGCAGGTAGAGAGTTGCTCCAGGGTACTAGGAGTGAAGCAGCACTCGCAGTCGTACATTTCGCCGGCTTCCTCTGCTTCTGCCTCGTTAAGTTCTTCGGCGAGTTCCCGATCCAAGCGGACTTGGTCAGCCCTCTGCTTAGTCAGGACAGGGACTACTAGAGTCTCAAACAGCTCCTTGTCTAACTCTGTGCTCTTCGTATGCGCCAGACGTGGCACAGGAGGACGGCCTGTCTTCGGGTCTGCAGCCCGCCAGCTGACAAGAGGGTGGTTCTCTGCGGATGGTGGCTTTCGCCTCATCAAGAAGCTGGTAATGGAATACCTCCATGATTTAGACACGAGAGCGAAAAGGGTAGGCCTGGCCTGAGTGTACGAGTAATTATATTCCGCCAGAACTGCGCGTATAGTAGAGTGGCTTAATCCCTTAAACTCCTGGTACAGAGCGGCCTTGACGGCATTCTTATAATTTTCCGACCTGAATCGTTCCTCGACGGGCAGAGGCTCTCCTCGGGAGTCTTGCTTCTTCGCAGCACGGTATTTATACGTCTTCCCTCCCTCCGCAACTTGCTGCTGTTCCTGCTCTTGCGGCATCCGGTATCGTCCGCGTACCCATTTCGCCCCATGCTTTAACAGACTCTCAGTGATGACTTGTAGCCGGCTCTCCTTGTCAAAGCTACTGAGCATCTCTCGAAACACCTCGGGTTGTATATCGGGAAAGACATCCGTCAACGCTTGGAGAGCGTTGTTGAGTTCCCTCAGGTCGGGCGGGTCAGCCTCGGGCCCCGCATCGCTGAGCGACGATGTTGCACTGGTGGTCCGTTTGCCGCTCGTAGGATATTTTAGAGGTGTAGATACTATTATCTGTTTATTCGGGTCCTTTGCCGGCCAAGGAACGGCCGTGCCGAAGACGGTGGTCATGATCGAGCGTCGTTTGGCTGCTGAATGGTCCTGCTGAAGCGCATTCTTGATATGTGCGGTGGTTTGGTTGCGTCTGACTTAGGACGCGCGAACTGACATGAGCGTGAGAATTTGCGCCTTGGGCAAAGGAGGTTAGTGATGTGTTAATGGTGTGAGACTGTGAATGGGTAGGTCGATGGTGGTCTGCCGTTGTTGAATCGCGTTGTAGGGCTAAGAGCTGAACCCTGATAATCCGCGCGGCGTCGGCACGTGATATCCATTTACATCCGAAGCCCTAACGATCTGGATGAGAAAGAAGCTCCCATTGTGCCTTTCCATGCCGTGCCCAGCAGTATTGTGGTCACTGCAGTATCAAAGTGTTGGATTATTTCGATGATCTCCGTACAGCACACGACACATGGCGCAAAGGCAGATATGGTACCGTCAGTGAAGCAAGAATCATTTTCATGACTTCCATCGTCAAGATATATATCAGAAAGCAACCCAAAGACTCCAAAACAGATACCGAGTATAGAATATTGAGAGCTGTTGTTCTGGAGCCAAACTCCGTGCCGGCTTTATACCCAATGCTAATAACGAGCCTAGCTCAACTTCTACGCTCAAAAATGATACTGTACAACGAAAAAATAAGGTGAGGCATCATATGCGACCGCCCCGCTCCCTAAACCTGTCGCCAGTCGTGGGCACAGGCTTATCCACACGGATCGCCCACAGCATTAGGTCCTCTAGTGGAATGAAGACGAAAAACACCTTGTTGCACGCGAAGCTCAAGAATACGAAGCACGTCGCCACCATCGCATCCAGGTAATAGTGGTTGGCTGTAGCCACGATAGTCGTCAAGATGAAAGATGGGTATCCGAGGCCCAGGACAAGGTAGAAGATCTTCCAGAAGGCAGACTTGCGGCACTCGCCAGCCTCGAGGGTGCGTCGGAATAGGCCTGAGTGGTAGATCATGGTCAATCCGATGATGAAAGAGTAGCCAAAGTGCATAGAAGGCATCGCAGCGAGGGTGTTGACGTATTTACCGCTCATCCACACACTCTGCGCGTCGTCGTGACGCACGGTGTCGAGAAAGCCGTATTCGACGGGAAGGAGTCGTGGTGGCATGCAGGGGTATAAAATGAAAGTAATAAAAGCGCAGAAGTTGGTGAGGGTCATAGTTCGCCGCGCTATAGCGAAAGTCTTGTGGGATGGCGCAACATAGTAGTACCAGCAAATGAAGCTGTGGGATGTCAGTGTGGCGCTTGGGAAATCTGATAAGATGAGGCTCAACGTACCCAACGGTTCCTGGAATATGGATCAGGGCGTAGCATTTGTTCAAGACGGTGAGGAAATCCTGATGCCCGTGCATGAACCATTGCTGGACGCTTCGTTCAGGGACTGGGAAGAGGAAGCTAATCCAACTGAACTGCTCCGTCTCCAGCACAGCAATGCCATGCGTCTGGGCAACGTTCCAAATCCCTGTCTTTGCAAAGATCCTTTGCGAAGTAATAGAAGTCATGCGGTAGAAGGCGTAGTTAATTATCCAATAGAACATTTCGATGAGGAAAGGAAATCGTTGTAGGACTCGACTGTGGATATTATTCTTGAATCGCGAAGTGTTGGGGGTATGAATGATGGTTCCGCAGCAGTTGCGCTTCTTTGGTGCGAATTTAGAGGTGGATGGAAAGTCTTGATCAGAGTCTTCGGCGGAGTAGAAAGGAAGGAGTTCGTCTGAGGACCGGTTTGAATCCGGATCTTCGAGCCTAGTATATACGGATCGCGATTTCGACTTGTCAAAGACTCGGTATCCTCTTCTCCTGGTCAGGGCCATGGCACCGAAAAGAATACTCGCAACAATCTACACCTCACACTATTAGCCATTTGGTCGCGAATCTCAGACTCTGTGTCGACGTACAATCGGTTCGGCCCATCCTGGCAGCTTCCAGGCAGGCGCACTGTTCCATTCGGGCTCGTCCACCGGAACTGTCACGTTGAAAGGGGAGGCCATAGTGCTGCAGGGCGTGGGGCAGCGCTCTCACGAGGGCGTTTTGTGGTGAAGAGCGAGTACTTTCGGGACGGGATCGCTCGAGATATTACAAGTGGAAGTGTGCAGGAGACCGGCCAAAGCACATTAGGATGGAGAAGGCTCTGGTCGAGTGGGGATCCAGGTCCTCCTGACGTTGCAGGGTTTCAAAGTTAGATCCGTAGGTAACGCGCGTAAGGCTGGGCAGGAGAACCTCGCACGCGCAAACTACGGAAGGCGCGGCTTTGGGTATCGTGAAGGTGGGCGGTCCAGGGTGGTCCAAAGGGTTCAATAGCAGTGACAAGCGTAGACAGAAATGAAGTGAAAGAAAGTTAATCGGACAGTCGTAGGGAGAGGCGGTGCAGTCAGCACTGGAGTTGCATGTCAACCACGGATGGAAGCTGCGATTCGCGGTCTTGCCTCGAAAGGGGTCATCTCCACTTTTCTGCTTTAGCCCGTACTGTTTCGTCTCTATCTTCTGCTCCATCCTCGAAATATTACCACCGACTTTTATGCCCAAAAGGCCAACGAGTCAATAAACATCATTCTAATATTCGTAGCCTTTTAGGCCCAGAGAACGCTGTCTAGACGGTGGCATTCGTCTCGCAACATCTGATAACGCTGACGCACGCCAAGCAGCCACTGTTCGGATTCTGGAAAGATGATGCGAGGAGCGGACAAGGAAGGCTGTGCGAATGAGTCGCTGCACCTTTCTTTATCCCACACTGCAGGAGTGCCATCGTCCTCGTCGCGTGGTCCATTACGCTGTAGAACTGCTGCCCACGTTCGACGTTTCTCTACAGCTTTGCGGCTCCAGGTTCGGCATCTATTTGCACAGTGCACCCGACCTGAGACACAACCTCGCTAAAGAGCTCTCCTCCGTAGAACTAAGCCTCAAGCCTAATTAGATCCGCTCTCCCCAACCACTCGTGGCGTATGGGCGCCCTGCAGGATAGGCCGAACCTTTACCATCCTTCAGAACCCAGATCCGGCCTCGGTGCAACATCCAAGTATGGAACTCGTTGAATAGGTCGGAGGCTTCACATATGTAGGTGATGTGCCTAAAATCCAGAACACGCATGTACACAAGAAAACCTCTCTTCTTTTCACAGGGCGTGTTCTATCTCGCAAGCTGGGGCCGAAAGCGTCAAGATAGGTAGCACAACAAAACTCCACTTCTGTTCTCAACATTTTCTCTATACTGTTCTGATTACTATTCAAGCCACCTTCCGTCTTCCTTGCGTTCTGAAACTACATCCCCGCCAATCACATCAACCTTAGCCTCGTTCAGGTACCCCCTTCCCCACGTGCCACCTCAACACCAAACCCCATCACGACGCCTCAATCTCATCAACAGACAACATCGGCCCCGGGCCTGACTCCCCCGTCTTGTCGCTCCGTTTCCCGACTCCAAACAGCCATCCTCACAACCTCACCGCACGTCTTGGTGCTAGATAAACGCCTTGTAAGGCATGACTCAACTCGTATTCGCCCGCATAACGCCCGCTGCATAACGTCACGCCTAGCCTGGCTTCACGCATTTCAAATCTCCGCGGCCGTGAAAGAGGTGTTGAGGCCCTGTCAGTCGCCACCCACATGATAGCGCGATACGAGGCGCAGCGACGCGTTTAGGGCGCTGACTCGCTGTGAAGCCGTTCTGTGTGCCACTCCTTATGCGGTCGTTGCGAAGGGGGTTGGGGCCACGGACGGAACTGCCAAGGAGAGCGATTCGGTTCAGGCAACCGGGCGGGAGAGAGAAACTGTAGACGTGGTGCTAGGCTTTGGGGTCTATGTATAGCTTCACATTAGGTGCAGGGCGTTCTGTACTTATGTATATAAGCGAACGGACGGATCAGCTCTGTTCTGTACATGCAAACTTCGTAGCTTACCTTCATTCAGCCTACTAGTATAATTTCTAATTAGTTAGCTCAACAGCTCAACGAAATCATTGTGGATCATCCGTCACATATATCCTCATATACTATATCAACACTACCACCCCCAATACCCTCTCCAACCGCACCCATAGCTTACCCACTCCACCCCATCTACTTTCTGCCCCTCGCCCCCATGCCTACTCCTCCTCCCCCTTCCCACACCTATCCTGCAAGCTGTCACTGTGGCAGCGTACAAGTGAGCAACCCCCTCTATAACAAAGCTCACACCCGACATCACACGTTTACTCTGTACTGACACGTCACGGCTCCCAGTACACAGTAACCCTCTCACCCCCCCTCACCGACCCCACCCGCGAAGTCTTCGAATGCAACTGCAGCATCTGCTCCCGAAACGGCTACCTCCTGGTATACGCAAAGCACGAGGATGTGAATTTTACGGCCGGAGAAGAAATCCTTGAAGTAATCACCCGTTACTCCCCTTCCCTTGACGATTCCTGTTTTGTCTTATTACTCCCATTACTCCCATTTCCCCTCTTCCCTCTCCTCTCCTCCCCCTCCCCTGTCTCCCCTCTCCCTTCCCCTCCTCTTCTCCTCTTCCATTTTTCCCCTCAACCAAATCTAACACCCCACCAGCGCTACACCTTCGCCAAAGCCCGCGTCGCACACTTCTTCTGCCCGCAATGCGGCAGCAGCCTCTTCGCGAAAAGCCTTGACGCAAGCTACAAGCCCCTGGATATAAAAGCCGTAAACGCACGCCACCCCTTCCTAGCCACGAAACACTCGAATGCGGGGCGGCTAACACGGCGCAGGTGCGGCAGTTCCACGATTTAGATTTAGCGCGGTTGAAAATCCGGGGCGTGGATGGGCGGAGTGCTTGAAGGTGGGATGCTGGGGGATGAGTGGGAAAGAGGGTGAGAGGGGGTAGGTTGGGATGAGAGCATTGGGACATGGGAGGCTGATTGAGTATATCATGAGATTAGAAACGAGATAAATTAGGAGAGCCCGACACCTAAACCTATGCATATGTGGTATCTGTATCGCCATCCGCACTATCATACAACCCATGCCATCTCTCTCGAACGCCCCACACCCGCTTCATCATCCTTGAGGCTAAAAGCGTCCACTCTCCCTCCGCCCAACTCCTAGCCCTCCATACTGCGTCTGCGGGAACCGCTGCGGCGTAGCTCCCGTAGCTCTCGCCTCGCCAACTCCGGCCGTGCTCATCCGCTTCAGCGGGCTCCCTTCGCGCTTCTCGGGACTCAGGTCTCGCCTTCTTTCGCCGTTGCTGTTCCGGTGGAGCTGGTTCGTCGAAGCCGCTTTCCTGAGCGGCGACGCAGCGTGGCTGTACACGCCCAAGCTACCGCCGTCTCCAGCTCCAACGTCCGATTGCCGGAACTTGGGCTGACGCATCGCCGGGAGCTGCTTCACGGGGCGGATTGGGGAGGAGAAATCGGCGGTCGATGTGGATGTCGAGACGGGTGGGAAGTATCCGTTCGCGTTGTGGAGCGAAGGTGTCATAGACGACCGACGAGAGATGCGAGGTTCCGGCTTGCTGAGGTTATCTTCAGGGTCGTATTGGGAGGCGTAGCTCGGGTTGGGGTTTGTGCGGAAACCGCGGTTGATGATGGTGGTTGGGGTATAAGTGTCGACTTCTGTGATGATGCCGCGGCCTGATTCTCGCCGCCTTGGTGGTGGCATCTGAACTCCGACGTCGCGGACTGGTCTCTGGAGGGCTGGGTGGACAAATTTGGTGTCGTATTCATTCATGACCTCTCGCTGGATGAGCGCTGAGTCTTTCGATTGCTGTGCGAAGCTTGTACGGAGGAAATGTAGCTGTACGGAGAGAAGGACAACTACGGAGATCATGGTCGCGATCTTGGACATTGGCTGGGGCTCTAGAGGCGCGAGCGGGAGGAAGAAGTAGTATGTCATGACATGGACTGGACTGAACCAGCAGAACAACTCCAGGCAGAGGGGATTTGGATCCCATACTGCTACTTCCCAGACATCTCGTGCAGCGTCGGGATGTGCCCGAGATTCTGCTGTTGTGCCTGACATCATGTTCGAAAGGAAGCGAAGAGGCGATGATGCTATTGGGGAAGAGTCCACGCGGACCCGATGGGCTGAAGGAGTGGATGGTGGTACATCGACCGATTGTTCGAACAAGCGGTAATGGCGCTTGTGGGAGAAGGTATACCAGGCATTAAGGAATGACACAGTGGTGAGGAGGTATATGAGGAAAGCTATCTGAGAGACTGTTAGACAGATTCCATCCATATAGCGTAGATGTCACTTACTCCAGCGCTGAACCAACCGCTCCCGTATCTCTTAGAGTCTGCAAAGACATCATAGTCATAGCTCTTTCCCGGCTTTGAGTTCGCCCGTGCAATGATGAAGACGACATTCATGCCAATTCCCATAGGCAGCGCATATGCGCGCTGGAACTCGTCCCAGTCATTTCCGTTCAGCTCTTCCGAAAGCCATAGCAGGAAGTCCAACGGATTGAGATAGGCAGCGACGCGCTCAGACAGCGGCGCGCGACGGACCAGGCGGGGCATGGTGATGTTTGTGGCCGGGGTGAAGTGGTTGCAAGGGAAGCTAGAGTCACCTAGTAGTGAACGACTCGTCGGCGTTCGGTCAGGGATTTGGTGAAAGATGCATGCATATTGCGCCCCTAGGCTTGTGAGGCGACGTTCAAGGCATGCTATGCAGCGGGTTTGTGAAGCAGAGGTTGAAGTAGGAGTAAACAAAGGCGTTTAGTTCTTGTCGGGTTAACGTCGGCGCGGAGCTATCGACGACGGCAGGAGCTCCCCACTTCAACCCTGCAACATCAGCTCCAACATCCAACGAGCTCCCAGCGCTTCAAACGAGGGAAGTAAAATCAATCGGAAGGCCACTACCGCTCATACACCTCTGCAAGTATGTCGCAACCCGCCTCTGCTTACAAGGACCGCCAATTCCTCGCCGTTATTGGAGATGAAGTAAGAGTACTTCGCCCTCATCTAGCTCCGATATTCTAACTGGAGGCGCAGGACTCAGTCACAGGTCTGCTCCTTGCTGGTGTCGGCGTAAGAGCATGCTTTCTCCTTGAGGCATCTTCAGTAGACTAAATATACGTCCAGCACGTCACCCAGCCTCCAGACTCGCAGAAGAACTTCCTAGTCGTCGATGCCAAAACCGAGACCTCCGCCATTGAAGCTGCCTTCGACCTTTTCACTACCCAGCGGAAGGATATTGCCATACTACTCATAAATCAACACGTACGTCAGCCTTCTTTTAGCTTGCATGGACGTACTCCTGGCCCCGCTTAAGGCTCAATATATGTACAGAAAAAGCAATATTCCTGCTAATCATTGAGTAGATTGCGGAGCGTATACGACATCGTGTGGATACCTACACCGCCGCTTTCCCGAGTTTACTGGAAATACCCTCGAAGGACCATCCCTATGATCCAGACAAGGATAGTGTGTTGAAGCGCGTGCGGAGGTTATTTGGAGAGTAAATGGGACGGTTACAAAGCAGCGGCAGTTATGGAGAAGTTGTCGAGGTTTGCCTTGTTTATAGGATGTGGTGGCGTAAAGTCTTTCACCCCAGAGTGAGGGTACCCAAATAGTGCAGCTGGATATAAACGTCGGGATGCGTTGCGCTAAAGTCCTGACATGGCGTTCACGCGTAAAGGCTCGTGTATGTGGTGAATAGACAATATAATGTAACATATGCTGATCGTCATGCCATTGCACCTTGCTATCAATCCATATGTTCAGACGTCCCAGTCTCTAGCTGCTGCTTCTCTCGTTGATATCAAAAGACTTGAACATGCTGAAGAACCACTATCAAAAGAACTCCACCCAGACAAATGTCAATCCGAGACCAGAGGGAATCGGAGAAGAGATATGCATGAGGAAATGAAAAGAAAAGCATCGCACCCAGCATCGTCAGACCCATGACCCTGTAATCGATTCAACTCGGCTAGTTAAAGTAAACAAACATCCTAGTCCGTCAATGACCCTATTAATCCCAGCTTCGTGGGCCCGCCTCCCCATCTTAGCTCAAGCATGCTCAAGCTTAAAAGCTGACTTGTGCCGTGAGGCAAGTGATCTTGTCGTTGTCCTTGGTGAAGACGTCGGCAAGCACGGTATATTTTCCCTACATGACGAGCATTAGCATCTCCAGCAGTCCGAAATGTATGGATTACGTACCGGTGGAATCTCCTTGGGCAGGTCGACATCCTTGAGCAACACCAGCTTTCCCTTGTCAAGAGGACACTCCAGATCCACCTGCTTAACTTGTTCGCACAAATCGGCTTCTTGGTTGATAAGAGTGATGAGACCGTATTTGACTTGTAGGTGCACCTTGGCGCCGTCCTCAATAGCTTCGTTTAAGGTGCCTTTCGCCGTGATGCTAAGCGTCTTGCCTCTGTGAACGGTAGTTTAGCCAATACCCTTGCATGATAGGCTCCAGACCTCGGTGCAGTTCGCTAGACCACAGCAAGAGCTTTACATGGTCTCCGAATGACTCTGAGGCCTGTCTGTGGTCTAACTTTAGGATCAGACTTACTTCTCTGGTGGGTTGGGGTTCAAATCCACATTCTCAATGGTCAGAACATCGTCGGCCGGGTCTGAGCAGAAATATAGAGGGTTGTCGCCTGGTACTGGGAAGTCCTCGTTGATTGAGACCTGACTGGGAAGCCAAGCTGGTGCAGGCGAGGCGACTGCGAAGGCGGCAGAGGCCAGTGTCAAGGACGCGAGGAGAGTCGCAGCCTTCATGGTTGAGGAGGATGTTCGGGTGGGGAGGCTAGGGAGGATCGTGGAGTGCTTCTGGCAGAAGCTGTGGGGGGTTGAAGGGTGGAGAGGTGGAGAGCGGGTGGTGATAACGAGAGCTTGGGGCACGGTGAGGCTGGAGGCTTGGCGAGATCCGCGCGGAGCATGACGTTTTTTCGGCAGGTGGCGAGTCGATCTAGGTTCTCTCTGTCATGTGAACAACATCACGGCGTGACAACCATTGAAGTCCCTCGAGTCCTTTATAGCTTTTATCATATTCATAATCACGTCGCATTTCGCGATACTAACTTTCGTCTCTAGCTTATCCAAAGTAGCCCAGAAACAGCATCTGATGGAGTCGAAACTCTTAAGATGTGCTCCACACCAACCTCAACACTATTACCCTTCTTCAAATGCCGTCTGAACCTCTTCTCAACTCTCAACACTCGCGATCTCCACTCCATTCCCTTTCCGCCGGCAGTTCAGATCGCGCAGCTCCCTCTAGGCATTCTCAAAGCCAAAAGTGATGGGGAATCGGCCCAGTGTTTATGTATTCAGCCTATGCGGTATGGCAATATTAGGTCTAGTCCCAGAGTGTTCGCGCTGGGAGGAAAGCGGAGTGGTTTTGCGTTCCCTGCTGCTGGCGACGTCAAGATGCCTAAACTATTGGGAAGGTTGGGGTCAGAACGTCCTTCCTTCGGGAAGAGAGGTAGAAGTTGGGTCCTTCTTGCCAGCTCCGCTCGTCATCGTCAGTGTCTGGACAAGAGTCTCTGCATTTTCGCTGTGTTCTCGATGTCTTATCAAGCTATATCGATATCCTTACAAGCTATCTCCTTGGGTCGATATACAAATTGGATTCTCTTTCATTGATCATATCACAGGATTAGGTCAGAAGTTTGCGTATACGGATATACTACTGCACGGGCGTCACTCTTGCTCGCTCGACGTCACTGTAAGAAGTGACCTGGCTAGCAGATATTCAGCCAGGCAAAAGGTAGCCTGATTTTTGATGCGTCAATCTTTACGTTGTAGTTGGAGTATCAAAAGCCTATCGGGGCACCCTAGGCAGTGCCAGGGAAGGGCCCAAACTAATAATGTCCTAGACCTGTAACATTGGCGACTAACGGACTTGGTTCATCCGTAATAGAATACAATGGATGAGAAATCTAGAGCCCATCACTGTCTGCCTCTACTTTCATCTCAAGCCCACTCAACTCTCAAACAACCATTCTGAACTTGAACTTGTCTTCCTTCACGATGTCTTCTTTCTGTGCCTCCAGCTGTTCCACATCCCACGTCGAAGCCAACCATCTACCACTCAGCCAATCCCTCTTTTCTTTCGTCAACCACACAAGAAACCATGCAGACAGAGACGTATCATGCTGAAGGACTACAAAAGTTAGTTGAGATATGAACCTTTCTGAAAGGTGCGTATCTTACATTTCTAGAGATCCGTAGGTACTGCATCTGACGTGCTCATCTTCGTCCGCACACCTACTGGATGAAGTGCGTGCGCTACGAGCCCTTCTTTTCCGTACTCCTTATCTAGAAACTCGATAAATCGATTCAGGGCCAGCTTTGACATGCTGTAACTGATGGAATAGCTCGCAAAATGAGAGGACATGCTGCTTATCCCAACTACCGTCTTCGCACCTCCGTCAGAACCGAGCAGTAGGGGAAGAAGTGTCCGAGTCACCAGATAAACTCCATAAATATTGACATCGAACGTCTTCTTGAAATCTTCAGGGTTACCTTCGGTGATTGGTTTCCACCCCGCGACATCCAAGAAGCCCGCATTGTTGACCAGAACGTCAAGCCGGCCGTGTTCTTCCTTAATAACCTTCTCCAAATTCTTGACGTCTTCCTCGACAGTGACGTCGCATTTTACAGTACTGATTTGCGTCTCACCATCCATTTCCCGGACGATCTCTGATATGTCATGGGCTACAGCTTGGAGCTCGTCCTCTGAACGTGCTGCGAGCACAATCCCGCTGGCTCCTGCCTGTGCGTATGCCTTTGCGTACCCCTCCCCCAGGCCACGGCCGCTTCCTGTGATTGCAACCACAAACGGCCTCGGCAAAGTGACTTTGTGAGGATCCAGAGCTGGCGCCGGTGTCTTGTGAGCTGTTTTCGTAACGAGCATGCCCGTGTGTGCCATAGGCGCCGCGCGAACGTCCTCAACTTTCGTCATTGGTATTGTTTACTGCTTAGATAGGCGACAGATAAGCGGTTCGATAGGTGAACTGAATAAATTAGAATAAGAGAGGCTTTCTAACTATTGATGGGGTGTCCATGACCCTCGATAAGTAGTAAGTAGTGCTTACAGGGGTAGGCAGTGACGTAGATCATGGCATGCCTTAAGCTATACGCTACAGCACTAGGTCGAAGTTTAGGCACCGGGATATACCACTGTTTGGGCTCTATTCCTGTTCACTGGATAAACCCATCGGTAAAAGGTAGGCTGATTTATACGGCATTATCCTTCACATCGTGATCATACCTTTGTAGAATAGACTTAGCTCCGCAAGGGCTCCGTTTTGCTCGCTCGATACCAATGCAAGAAGTAGCCTAGCTAGCCCACTGCTATCGACGACCAAAGATCAAGTTTCTGACTAGTTTCCCACCTTCCGCGATTTGATTGGCCTACATATTATATGCACGTGATTGTACGCGGAGAATTAAGCATTAGTGAACCCCCTGAACCCTTCCCGAGAACACCTCCACCATCCTCACCACCGAGCTGCGGCGCATATTCATGCCAGTGACGCTACCACTAGAATTCCACTCGCTTTGATGATGACGTGACGCAAAATCAGTCACAATATCTACACTCTTTCTGGACCTTTCCTAGACCTTGATCCTACACGCCAGCAACATGTCGACCGAAGAACTCAAGTCACCGCCGCAGGTTCCGCGCAAGGAACTGCCTCCAACATACCAGCGCAACGGCCCTGCGCCCGAGTGGGAAGCGCCCCTCGAAACTGGTCGAAAGCCCACGAATATCAAGCTCGGCGCATTCGCAGGCGCAAGCACGACTTTGACAAACCGATTTAACCGCCTTATCCCTCCACACAAGAAGTACTTTGGGCGCAGTCGGCGCGTCTTCCTTATCTGCCTAGGAATACTATTTCTAGCACTCCTGGCTCTCATAATTGGGCTTGCGGTTGGTCTTGGGCATAAGAAACAGTATGGGCGTCCTTTGCATATTCGTGTTTACATGCTGACTATTGCAGACACCGGAACTTACCTCTACCAAATGGTGCGAAAACATACACTGGAGATTTGACATACTATGGCCCCGGATTGGGGGCATGTGGCACTGATTCGAACGATAATTCGGCCATTGTGTCGATTAGTCATTTCGTGTTTGATGCTGTGCAGAAGGGCTCAAATCCGAATGCGAATCCGCTCTGCTTTAGGAAGATCAGGGCACAGCGTCAATACAAAGGGGGGTTACACAGTGTAGATTTGACTGTTGTGGATAGATGTGAGTCAATTGCTAGCGAAATGAATGGCGCTCGAGCTTCCCGGTGACTAACGACATTCTCAGGTACTGGCTGCGAGCCAAATGATTTAGATGTTAGCCCGGGAATGTTTGCGAAGCTCGCGGATCCGGATCAAGGAAGAGTTACGGTTACCTGGGCTTGGCTTTAACGACATAGCGAAGCGTATAAGATCTGTATATCGTCTATGAATACTTTATTCATTATCCCTCTATGGCTAAGCACCGCGGTCACACCGCTTTCTAAGAGTGAAAGAACCCTGTGACATTTCGATTTCTGAAACAAGGGGCATGTGATGGCTCTTATCCCGCTAGAACCATGACCAGCGCATATTGTTCTCAGATCTACTCTTCTCAGAACTTCCACCTTTCAAGATCCGAAATATCTCTCCAGACTTCAGTACTTTCCTACAAGCCTGCAAATCAACTAGCAGCTTTGAAGTATCTGTCCTTTTCGTCTACTCTCAAAGCTTGTCTACTCTCAAAAGCTCGTTAGGCGAAAGCCCCAATTATACCACCCCAAATCCACAGAACTACCTCGACATGGCAATCGATCTCCCTCCCCATAGAGCATACGCCCAGGGCGAGGATTACGAGCTCCAAAAGCCTCGTACCACCATCGAGCTCGACAGTCTCAAGTCCCGCAAGAGGTCTCGCGGTGGTGGCCTTGCGTCGCTCTTCCGCTGCTGCATGGGGCTCAGCGATGGAGCTTTCAAGGCCTACAACATGTGCCTCCTTACCTTTTATGCAGTCATCATGATCGGAGCCGTGGTCATGCTACTCCTTGCATGGCATTGGGCCTCCGAAGCATACAATCATATCAAAGGAGACGTTATGGGCGTGATCAATGACGTCAAGGAGAACGTGGGCAAGGTCAAGGAAGGTATACAGTCTGTAGAGAGTCTGCTCGGGAAAGCAGGAGATGTCGCAGAATCTGCAGTTTCGGGAGCTGCTGCTGCGATCACTTCCAAAGCAGGCGAAATCAAATCCTTAGGCGGCTCTCTCAAAAGCCACGTCCACATTCCTAAGAACGACCATCCCCGAACCACTCTATTCACTGCCTGTACAATGGTAAATGCCTCCCACCCGCATCCAACAGGTGTGCGTCCAATAGGAGTACCCTCCTACCTCACGAACGCCTACAACGAAGCCTACAACTCTATCCGGACAGCGGGCAAGACCCTCTGCGATCAAAGCCAAGCCCTCACTTCTGCGGGCTTCAACCTCGACTTTCAGAATCTCTACAGTATGACTACCGGCTTCTGCGATTTCGTAGTCAGCGGACAATTCCCTCTACCTCCAATCAGTGAAATGGAAAGCAAAGCCTGTCGGTTGTACTTAGATCTGCAGGGAATTGGCGTCGCATATTGCAGCAGGTCCACAGAGGTTGTCGTTGAGAACGAGGACGAGTCTGATGCGATGTTCCAGGGCTTGGTCGGGATCAGAAGCCCTTTCTGTGACGCGACGAGTGGCTATGGGGTAAATGTGCCCAGCGCTATGGCGTGGGGAGGTGGCGACTGCGAGGGTGGCAGGTTTATGTGATGGAGCGGCACTGGAGATATTTAGGGATATGGCAGGCAGCTAGGGCCGAATGCAGCAATGTGCAGTAGAGCGGATACATGGTTGTTATTCGTGATTGTGTTTCAATGCATGGATTTGCTTTGTATGAGCGGGTGGATTTGAATAGTTGCATGTTAGCAGCACTTTTCCTAATTAATGAAATCTTCCACTCCCCTCAATACACGGTGACGTATTCTCCCCACAGTAGGATCCCTAGGTAAATACTCTAGATTTGTCTGTTCGGAGCATTTTGAGTAATGATATCGAACTTGTGCATGTGACTTGATATTCCTCCCCTCCAAGCTCATTTCGTGATTGTGCCTAAAATTCATCCAGGTCACTAGCTATCTGCACTGTGGCACGCCCTTCTAAAGTTCTTGTGTGGTCCAGCATTATTTCTGTCTACTAGGTTTAGACATCGACATGGCCGGTGGCTGGTGAGACCCCTGCCATTTTTTTGAGGCGGCCTTGGCACTAAACGCGCCTGAGACTCACTTGGAAGTTCACCGTCCTAGTTAATTGTTACTATTCTGCCTTTCTATTGTTCTCCGCGCCAGAAGATTCGAGAAGTTCTCTCCTCCGCAGCTTCTCACTCCATGTCTGCTGCGCCCATTGGCCTTTTTTGACATTTTCCCAACAGCATCTGCACTCTCCAAGCTGCGCGCGTCGCAGACGATATCCTTCACGTCCATCGTCTCGTTATGTCCGCGACTATACACTGAATCTCCTCCTCTTCCTCCATCCCGAGCTTCTACTGCGCCATTTCAGCCATGAATTTCCCAGCAACTCCTCAGCGCCCAACGCCAGGCTCCTTCATCAATACTCCAGCAGCGCAGCGACATCCAGGATTCCGAGCAACCTCTGCAAACGCCCCCCAGCCGCCCCAGACTCAAGCTTCTGCGCAGTCTACAGTAGCCGCAACCGAGCAGCCTCCAGCGAGCACAAAATCTCCGCTAGAACGCGCTCGGAAGGCCATCAATGAGACGCTCATCGGGGAAGCGAGCTACGCAGAGTTGGACGCGTACGTTGGCCGTAAGCTAGATACCCAACCCTAGGGCCCACTATGTGAGAGCTAACCAGTCTTCCAGAGGGCATCTCGTCCGACTACGACATCCCCGAAGACACAGCATGGGCTCCCTTCATCCCAGTCAGAACGTACAGAATCCCTGAGGAGATACTTGAGCAGTACAACTTCCACCAGATGAATACGAAGAGTGGCCTCTTCGCCGAGATAAACCACGCCTGGACATTCGTAGACAACCAGCTGTATCTCTGGGATTACACCAATCCGAACCCTGAAATCATCGGCTATGAAGAGCAGCCGCACTCCATAGTGGCGGTGAAGCTGGTGAAGCCCCGCGCAAAGGTGTTTGTGGACACGATAACACATCTACTGGTGGTTGCGACAACGTCAGATATTCACTTGATTGGCGTTTCCACCCAGCGGGGACAGGAAGGCGTGGAGAACGTTTCCCTGTATCAAACAGGGATGCACACGTCCGTCCGGAGTCTGAAAGTGGGCTGTATCGAGGGCTCTCCGAAGACTGGAAGAATCTTCTTCGCTGACGGACGGGATTCCGATGATGTCTACGAACTGACTTACCAGCAAGAGGAGAAATGGTTCGCAAATCGATGCGCCAAAGTCAACCACGTTCGCAAATCCATCGCCTTGCCAGGACTTCCATTCGGGTCCAAAAAGACGGCAGAATTTATCGTCCAAATGGTGATCGACGATACACGGGGTCTGCTATACACGCTTTCCTCCGGTTCTACGATCAAGGTATACCACCTCAAAACAGACACCACGCTCGACCTCGCCATCACTCGATCTCTCGCCAGCATCATGCAGAATTGTAGCCACATGGTGAGATCAGAGTTGCTCGGACCAAGCGCCACCATTGTCTCCATCGATGCGATCTCTTCCATGGAGTCTGCGCGCCTTAGCCTGATGGCTACAACATCAACTGGCTGCAGAATATTTCTCAGTTCTACCTCTGGCACCTACTATTTTGGCGATTCCTCTAGTGCGCCTACCAGCATGCAAGTCCAGCATATCAAATTTCCTCCTCCTCAAGATCCGCAGCCAAATCAGACACCGCAGAGTCAGATGACACCTTATAAAGCTCAAGCCCAAGTTGCGATAGGTTCGAGAGTGCTCGAAGGTACGATCCAATCGAATAGATACGCACCAGGGTACTTTCTATGTTTCGCATCGGAAGGGGACGTCAGCGACTACTTGTTCATGTCCGGGCCTGATTCGGGCAGGATTGCACGACCGCAAGATCTCTCCCAGGCACCCAAATTCATTGAGATGGGGTATTCGCTATCCCTTGGAGCAAAAGTGCAGGATGTGGGCCTAGCGACACCGCCTTTTGCAGCCGCGTCTGCGCCAAGGGGCTTTGGTAATGAGTTGGCCACGCAATTCGATCAACCCGTTGCCGAGTTTGCTATTCTCACAAACTATGGAGTTCAAACTATTCGCCGGCGCAGACTCGTTGATATCTTTGCTTCTGCCGTCAAGCAGAAAGGTGCAAATGGCAGTGACGGCCTCGAGGCTGAGATCAAAAAGTTTGTACGGCTCTATGGAAGAGCAGAGACAATTGCAACTGCTCTTGCCGTTGTGTGTGGGCAAGGTCAAGACATTGCGTCGGACTCTCGGGTTGTGAATGTCACTGATCAGGATGTTCTTGAATATGCCCGCACGGCGTTTGTGGACTATGGTGGCAAGGCCCAAATGGTGGACAGTACTTTCGATGTCGGCTCTACTAATGATGACAACGTTCGCCCGTCACCAAGACACGACGGCATTGCGCTTTATATTTCCCGTCTAGTACGCTCTATCTGGGCTTCCCGAGTCCTGAAGGAAGGAAGCACACCCATTGGAGGTCTCAAAATCGATCCTACCATCAGCCTAGAGAAGCTTCGAACTGTCCAGCGACACCTTACGCATTTGCAAGAGTTCTTGGACAAGAACAAAAGCTTCATTGACGGGCTCAACGGACCGGACGCACTGAACCGAGCACCAACCCAACAGGCTGAAAAGGAATTGCAGGGCGAGAATGCCGCACTGACGAGTCTCGTGCAGCTGCTGAGGAGCGTCATTGAAGGCATTTCATTTGTTCAGGTCCTGTTTGATGAGCGAGTCGACGAGATTATACTCTCTCTCAACGATACGTCCCGTCAACGCGCTCGAGAGCTGACGTTCGTGGGTCTCTTTACGGATCCCGACGGTAAAGAACTTGCGAAGGAACTCGTCAAAGCCATTGTCAACAGAAACATCGCGAAAGGCTCGAACGTCGAAACTATCTCAGAAGCGTTGCGTAGGCGCTGCGGTAGTTTCTGCAGTGCGGAAGACGTGGTCATCTTCAAAGCGCAAGAACAAGTGACCAAGGCTTCAGAAGCCGGCGCAAATTCTGAACTGGGTCGCACATACCTGAATGATAGTTTGCGACTGTTTGAAAGCGTTGCAGGGAGCCTGTCGAGGGAATATCTGGAGGTCACCATTGTCCAATACACAAACATGGCTTTCTATGCCGGCAAGAGCGCCTACTTGGATCTTTTTTCCAACTTTGCTGACTCGAAATCCAGGTGCAATTCGTCTGGCTCTGAAAGTCGCCCAGGAGTCTGATCGCGGTAATAGGGCTTTGGCGTGGATCAGAGAAGGCCGCCTTTCACCAGTGAGTTAACTCAGATGACCTGGCAGCAAATATAGCTAATTGATCTTAGGATGCCCGGCAAGCCGTGTATGAGAGCCGAACACGATCCTACGACCTCATTCACCAAGTCATACAAGCAGTTGACCAAGCATCAAACGACCAGCCTGCTGTCATTGATGGTGTGGTTTCCGCGGCTGCACGTCGACGAAATGAAGCCTACGATCAAATCAACAGCTCCGAGGATGAGGTCTTCCAAACAAACCTTTATGACTGGTATCTGCAACAGGGCTGGAGTGATCGCCTTCTCGAAATAAGTTCGCCCCATGTTGTGACCTATCTCAAGGAGAAATCGAGAGAAGCTCCAGAGTATGGCGATCTCCTATGGCGGTATTACGCACACTACAACAACTATTTCGACGCGGCGATAGTTCAGCTCCAGCTTGCAAAGAGCTTCTTCACGATAAAATTGTCGCAACGAATCGAGTATCTTAGCCGGGCGCGCGCGAATGCATCAACACGAGTCGGCGGTATCAGCGAAATGCGATCAACGAAGCAGCAAACGCGGCAGGATCTCCTAAGAGAGGTCTCTGATCTTCTCGATATTGCAACGATCCAAGAGGATATCCTAGACAAGCTCAAGTCGGATCCTCGAACGGCCGGGAGGCGGGATGAAATTCTGTCGCAGCTCGATGGTAACATTCTGCCGGTGACTGACGTAAGTCTAACTAACTCTCCTTCTCTTCGTTTCAGTGGAACGAGTTGCTCACAACTGCATCAGCTCTACAACGGGTTCGCCGACCAAGCCGGGTACTACGACATGTGCATCCTGATCTACCAGGCCGCAGACTACCGCAACGCTGCCGACATTGAATCCACCTGGCAGAATCTCATCGAGCAAACCGCATCAACCGCCGAGACGGAGAGCCAGGGAAACCCGTGGCAACAGGTCGCAAACGTCATCCGAACCATAGGCCGCCGTGTCCGCAACTCCGAGACCATCTTCAACGTCCCAATGCTGCTACAGCTGCTCTTGAAGTGGGACGCCAAACATGGCCATGTCATTCCCGAGGGAGCCAGACCAGACGATGACCGGTATTGGAGCAGCTGGGTCCTGGATATCTTCCTTGAGCTGCGCGTTCCCTGCGAGAGCCTTCTGGCGACGTTGGAGACGCTCTTCTACGAGAACAGAGCGCCCCTTGCTGGGCGAGACAGGAGACACGTCACCAAATGGATGATCTATACCATGGAGAAGTGGTGGCAGGAGAGCCAGAGCCTCAGCGCCATTCCGTTCGGAAGCGAGGACAACGCTATTGGCGTCGAGGAGCTGCTGAAAGAGCTGATCAGACAGTGGAACCTGGACGATGGAGGAGTATGGCAGGAGAGGGCGAGAGACTTGAGGGATAGGGTGGCTGCTGCTTTGAGGTGATTTCGATATCACACAGTGCAGTCAAATCTCTCCTCGGGTTAATGTTTGTGCGGATTTGGGTCCTGGGGACGCGGATCCCGAGAAGGTCGAGCGATTTTGCTGAAGGTTTTCTTTTGCATCATCCTGTCATGTCAGTCTTCATGGTGTTGGAGGCGAATAGCATGAGTTGAAAAGCGAGGCGGAATTTGGTTTATTGGACTACTACTACCAAGGCTACTACACGGCATATTCTGTGTAGGTGGGATTAGGCATCCGATATGGCAACGATGGAGTATTTATTCGAGTGAGAGGACTTCAGTTCACTTTTGCTGCTTCTTCATGAGTGATGCTGTGAGATGTGTTGCTTGAGAACCTAAATACTACAGCTACTACTAATTGCCCACATATTCACATGTTGGATGTCCGCATATATGTACCCTGATATAGGTAACTCTAACTTCACAAAAACAAGGAGAATAACATGGACTCAGATGGGTAGTAAATGATCTTATATAATATCAGCCCGCTGTGTAGGTAGAGAGCTTTCTGATCGATACAAGAGTCGAGAGGGCAGACAATACGCAAATAGGACTGAAGAAGGCAACCTATCTGGACGACGGAGCTCAATCAGGCCGTCCGGTCAGGAATTCAGGCAACGGGGCGACAGGGCCAACGTTCACATGGTTGGCGCAGCTGGGAAGGCCCCAAAAGGCTATTCCAACATCATATCCTGGTTCTAGCGACAACGTTATCGGCAACATCATGGTGATGTACTCTTTGAGTTTCTGATCGACCATCGCTCGTGGGGGTATCGCGAGTACCTCAGGGAGAGAAAGAGGAAGGTGTAGACTCTACACATGATCCGTACATCAGATAAATGAAAAAAGATCAGCCTTTGATGAAGCATTTGGAATAAAAGAGCCCTCATACAGAAGGTGTCGAAGATTGATTAGGCCAGTGATATGTAAGAAAGACAGTCGAGGTCGTAGAAGGAACGACAGAAAGATGACGTGCTTCTTACTTATACCCGACAACACCGAAGCTTTCCGGAAACTCGAATATCTGCCAACACTAGCTTACCTCGTCTCTTCTGAAACCCTTTCACAAAATCAAGAACCATGGAGGCAGCACTCAAAACCTTCTTCAGCTCCACCCGCTTCGCCGTCGCCGGCGCAAGCTCCGACCCCACCAAGTTCGGCCACAAAGGTTCGTCCGTTCAAACCTTCTATAACGCCGCTCAAACACCGCATTCCGCGAGACGCCATTGGCCGCGTGCTATATCTGGCCTCTCCCCAAATCTCCACATCCTACTGCCTATTCTCTCTCTTGAAATCCCTGTACTCTCCTCTGCATACCCCACTAACAACCCCCAGTATTCGCGTGGTACATCCACCACTCGCTCCCCGTCACGCCCCTCAACCCCCGCGCGCCCACCATCACCCTCCAATCCAAAGAGTATGCCACCGTCCCCTCCCCCTCCGGCCTGAGTGACGCATCTCAAACCTCCCTCTCCGTCATCACCCCGCCGAAGGTCACGGCGGCGCTGCTGAAGGAGGCGAAGGAGGCGGGGATCCCGGCGGTGTGGCTTCAGCCTGGCACGTTTGATGACGAGGTGCTGGCGTATGCGAGGGCGAACTTTGAGGCGGCGATTGCGGGGGACGGAGGGAGGGGCGGCGAGGGATGGTGTGTGCTTGTTGATGGGGAGGAAGGCCTGAAGAAGGCGGGGAGGAAGAGGGAGGAGGGGTGGAAGTTGTGAGGGGAGGGAGAAGGGCGGAGGGCGGAAGGTTTGAGGCTATGGGAGCTTTGAGATCACTTTCCCGGATGAATGGGGTATTAGGCGATGGGAGGGCATGGTTGGGCTTTGGTTGGGCTTTGGGGAGCATTGAGGCCACTGGCGGTCACGGCTGCGGTGCAACGAGGCTTCCGAGACTTTGAACGAAGATTACTGGAGTAAAGCATGCCTCTACGATTGATATGAAGGAACGACAAGGTATTCTATTCTAAGCTCACTCTTTGCAATATCACGTGAGGGTAAACGTGACCCGGTGATCGATACCCGAATTAGGAGGTAACAAAAAAGAATAAAACCCCAACGCCAGCCTCACTTTTTTATGGTCAGCAAACCCCTTTAATCCCTATACAAACTTTCCTCCCAGCTCCTGTTACTTCATTCGTCCCGAGTGTGAACTGATTGGTTCATGTTCGCATGGTGCCCCGCCAGTTCCCTGGCCTTTAGCCCACCCTCAGTCCCTTCCTCGACGAATTAGAGGACATTGAGTTCGGCTGAAGCGGAGGGCTATGGTTCATATTCTTGTCGTAATCGGTCACCTGGCTTGGTCTCCTCGAGTGAAGCTAACTAGACTGAAACCTTCGAAGTGATTGGAACCATGAACCCAGTGAGGTCAGGAGACCCCAGACAATTGTGGAACGGAGCCCGGCGTCTCTTGGAAACATGCCATTCGCGCGAGACCGTGGAGTGTTGACGGGTGAGAACCTTTCGTGTGGAGTTTGAGATTGCCAACTCGGTGCCCAAGCTGTTGGATGGGAAGGTGAGGACGAAGTCGCACCAACATTGGGAGTCTAAAAAGGATGCCAGCATTAGATTCGGCTCGCATATGCATGCGTGATGAGTTGTTTGCCTGCACGCCCCCCCGGCATGCCGTGGTAGTCGAATCGTTCGGCCTGTGAAATGCATGGCGCTTGGAAGAGCTGGCCAAGAGCCGGCTGGAGTGTTGTTCCATTGTTGTTGGTTTTCACAACATTCGGAGAGATAAGGGGTGTAACTTGACTTGATGTACCACTAGCTAATACGCGTACGAGAGATATTCAGTCTGGCCAAGGGAAGAGGAAACAGATAGCCGCCCAGAATGAAAGATTCGTCAAAGTTGGTGAAGTTCGTCACAATCGGTAGTTCTTCTCCTTCCAGTACATCCGAGTGTTCTTTCCGCGATCCCTCTGTGGCCCTGTCGGTTACTTGAATAGCCAGACTATCTCTCTTTTCCATACCGATGTTCCAAGAGTGTAATTTATCCGTAAAAGCCTTCCGAAAAGCTGCAACAAAGGAAAGCAAGGTTCCCTATTTCCAGCCACCCTATTCTTCTCTTCACACCAACTATTCGTCTTGAGCATTTCTTATCCTATCTTGTAGCGGCTTGCAGAGAGGTAGCAACGAGAAGAAGGCGAGATTGTCTACTTAGTAGAACATCATCTTGACCTTCTTCCCTGATTGCTGCCTGTCTGCAAGGCGCCACAAGTCATTGACCCTCTCAACACTAACACCATTACCTCTCAACTCAGTCTCTCCCTCAACCATCACACAGGAGAATACCACGCTCCATCCATTGACGCCAGCAGCATAGAAGGCGGCAGCAGCCGCTGCTTCTCTTCGACCGCATCTTATCATCTTGTAAATATTCTTTCCATTCCCAGAAAGGCTGTCCTTGCCAGAATAGTACTCATTCGCCTGGAAAGTCGAGAGGATGAGGGTGTATACTAAGGAGGTCTTCTCGAGAGCCTCACACTTCTCATCAGTACACTGGTGACAAGCTCCAGCAAAATCTCCGTCCGTCGAGTGGCCGGCCATGCAGTCGAAGACATCATCATCGGTGGGAGTGTTCAAGGCTGAGGATGCCCATATCTGAGGAACATCAAGAGACAACGGCCGAGGGTTGTCGAGAGGCTTCAGCTCATCTGGGGGGCATCCAACAGCATCAAGAGCAGTCATCCGGTCCAGCTTAACTGGTTCTGGTCTCTCATACCATTGCTCTGGCCCACCAAACTTAAGAAGCCACATAAAGTCCGCCAGGTCGGCCGGAGATGCACCATGAGATGGAACATAGATATTGCGCTTGAATATAGGTATTCTCACAATCCTATCGGCATCCGGATCCGTTTCCCCAGAGCATCGCGGGGGTATAAGATCGCTGTGGCTACTGACACGCTCGGCCATGTGCTTCGAGACTGGCGAACTGGCTGATCGGTAAGAATCGATGCTGGAACTTCGGCTAAAGGTGCGTCCCCTGCCCTGGTTCATGATGACCATTCCTGGAGGTGGGGGTGGGGGCGGGGGTGGTACGTTGAAATCGATATGTTGTTTCTTTGACTTGTTTGGGAAGTATGGCATATCCGATGATCCTGTTTGCATCTGCCATGGAAGCGGTTGTTGTGATATAGGGGGTGGAGGAGGCGGCGGCGGCGGCGGCGGCGGCATCAAAAAGTAAGAAGATGGTGGTGGAGGTGGTGGTGGTGGAGGAGGAGGAGGAGGAGGTGGTGGTGGTGGTGGAGGCGGTGGAGGCGGAGGTGGAGGTGGAGGAGCTACCGAGACTGTTCGTTTGCAACCGCAGTCGTTTAAAGGAGAACTAACGATCTCTAAGGGAGGCGGAGGTGATGATGCTGGAGGTAATGGTGGTGGAATGTAGGGTATTCCAGTGATCGGTTTCGTAAGGTATCTCGAAGGACGAGCTATAAGGGTGTTGCAGGATGGACATTTTGGAGTCGACTTAATTGAGGACCTCGTTGTCTCCAGAGGCTCAGCTGGCGGCTGATTATGAAGCTTCTGCTGGGTTGATGATGTTGGAGAAGCTGCGGGAGTCGGTGGAGACGGTTTCAGGCTGACAACCTCATTTGTAGGTGGGCGTTTCCCATGATCTACTTCAGCCGGAGTGCCTGCTGGTTCCTCCATCTGCAGCTTTTCGAGACGCGAGAGAAAGCAAGACTCGACCACAACCAGTTCTTCAGAGTCTGATGACATGGTTGCGTAAGTTGGAGTAATATAGGTCTTAAAGACACAAATGCTTAGGGAAAAGGGGGATGAGGTCGCCTGCTGATTCCGGCTTCTCGGAGCGACACGACAAGAAGCTTATAAGCAACGCGTCGGATTGAGATAGAATGAACCCACGGCCAATCGTGTCACATGAGGCGTACTAGTTCATTGCCAGCCTATTACCAAAGCCGGAGATAATTGTACAATTGTGAAAACGAGGCAACCGCCAATTTCGTCAGCTAAGACGTTGCCAGGTGTTGAGACGTGAGGCTACGGCGGCAAATTGGCGTGAGGGGTGCATGGTGTGAATGCGTTGGCATCCGAAAGGCTGGCCAGGCTTACCTAAAGGGACTAAAGAGGATGAGTACCAAGGCGGTCACAGGCATCTACACCGGATACTCCATGTAGAAACACAGAGCAGAGCTGAGTCGGACAAGATTCAGCTTGTGTTCCAACAGGAATGAACCTGGCGCACAAAGAGGACTTGAGGAAGCGCCTCCTCATTTGATGCCTTGAACAGCCATTCGGAGCAGCTAGGTAGTTGAAAGGAGGCGTGAAGACCTGACCAATTCCATTGGACAAAGACGCCGATGGCGACGAGGTTGAGACCACTGGCGGTAACGATTGGTGCTGTCTGATTGGAAGGGCGTGTTGCTTGCATGTCGAGCAACTAGTCCAGAACAAGTGCAGAGACGATCCATGCGAGTATGTTTCAATGAAGGAACCAGTGCTAAGAAGAGATGCGCGCCTAAGGGAAGCCATCATTAGTGATCGGTATGCCACATTGCTGACAGCCTCACCTAGACATGTTTCACAAGCTCGACAGCGTCGTGTGAGCCTCACCATGACCCGTACGGCTGGAAGGGAGCAAGTGACTCAACTTCAGTACCTGATACGTGTTGGCATGGTATGAAGAGCATTGACTTCAAGGCTCTAGTCATAGGAGCTTTCGAAGCAAAACTCGGACTGTTAGATGTATCTGTAGCGTTTGGAACTGAAGAGGTGAATCTCTGAAATCTGTGCTGAGTTCGATAAGCTGCCGTCCATAGAGGAATCCCGGTCCGATAGCAACATGGATGATACGGTGCCCTTAGCTTGGCAAGGATGCATGCAAGCGGCGGGTTGAGGGCCTCGGAAGGTTAGTGGATTCCAAGGTATCTAACAGGGTGTTGCACAGGAAGAAGATCACCGGAAGTTCTAAAGGTGTCTATGTAGCAAGGCGTTTGGAATGGCTATCTCGTTGGTGAGGCGTGGATTATTTGCAATTGATCTGCTCGCCCAGCTGCCCGCCTTGAACGCCTAAACTCGCATCTAGTGTGTTTCTTGACTGCGATTGAAGCTCAAGAAACAATGCTGCCGACACCGGATGCATAGGTATGCACTTAACGTAGGACAAAAAAGCTCAAGCCCCAATAGCGGTGACCGGAAGCCAGACCGGAATCAATCTTAGATCAGTTCCACGCGTTCATGTCTTTTGAAATCTGTTTGAAGGAGCGGTGAGGCTCGAGTATGATTGCCGACCATTTTGCCCTGCAGTGTGCTAAGGTGGGAAGGCTTGCACTACACGGCAACAGCCGACCTGGGAACCAATGAGGAATTTGGCATGACTCGAAAATGCCTGCAATATTTCTTTCCTTTCATTGGCGTACGGTGAGATATTCAAGGGTGAAAGTAAGTGAGAAAAGGGGGATACCTTTGTTGAAGGCCGATATCATTGGCAGAAAGCTGGTCGATCACGCTTTCTCGGTTGTTGTAGCGCGTATTTCTAAGGCTGCAAGGCTGAAATCGCCTCATTTTTGATCCCGAAACTACATATGATAACGAAGATCAACAAGGCAGACTTCCCACAAGTGAAGTGACGGCAGAGCAATTGCAGCTGAGAACTGGAAACGATTTTCTGGTGGTGGCGAAGTTATCGCCGCTCGGCTAGCTGCAGGACGAGGTGCATGCCTACCACTGGAGACCTCAATGCGGTGAATCGGTCGAAAGCCTCACTATGAATTGACGCATCAGAAAGAAACAGGGAAGAATGTAGCTGGAAGACCGAATTTCAGCAGAGAATAAGGAGAAGTTTGACTGAAAAGAAAGATAGCGCCCCCTTGGTCATTCCGTGAGCTGAGAAACAGTCAGGAAACTCGATGCAAGGCTTCGAGAAATTGAACTTACAATATGGAAGAGCTGTTTTGGAATTATTCAATATTTCTTGAGATGGTGAGGAAATGGGTTGCAAGTGATGAAAAATGGTCATAGGAAAGGGAGTGTGAAGTGCCATATATACCCGTGTTTTGGCAGGCATCCAAAATGCCAGCTCACTATATTGATCAGCAATGGCAAGGCAGATTGATATCCGTGGAAGTGGTCTGATGAAGGAACGTTACCGGGTGATGTTCTAGATGTAGTGGGTATGTGGTAGGGCAGGAGCATCTCGTCGCACGTGACAGCGCTAGGCCAATTAAGATCCATCAACCCTGGCGTCATGGCTTGAGCTCCACCAAAAAGCTACCACCTCCATCAACGACATCAGGACCTGTCAACCTTCACAACCATGGCGAACGGGTATGTCCCCCGACTTGTCCGTATCCTCGGCTTCCAGGAGTCTCGCTAACAACGCTCATCTTGTAGCTGGAGTCTACTTATCGGCTTCATCGTCGTCGTCATCTTCTGCGCCGTGTCGTGGTTTGTCGCGCCAAAGGGCGAAACTCAGACGTGAGTCCGTTCTATTCCTCATATGAGCCCCGGAATACCGCGTCACTCGCGTGTTCGCCTTGTCCTCCGTCTGTCCATCCGCCAGCATCGATAGCCGCTCCGTTCGAGTTTCGTCTTTGCTTCTTCCGGTCTAGACAGCCTCAGTCGTCCGGGTCATGAAAATGATTCCACGGTGTATTCCGGGTAGAAATATTTGAGGGGAGAGACTTCAGTACAAAACTACCTGAGAAGGCCGGGCACTGTCGGACACGGATGGAGCAATGAATAAATGTAACGGCGGAGAAGGACCACCAGGCAGACTGCGTAGCAAGGCGGACACCGATATATGAATGGCATGCTAACTGGGAAACAGTGTATGGCGATCAACTCTTGTACTCTCCGCAGTGGCAATGTTTCTCATGTGGGGTACGTGTTCCGCCCTTTTGCCCTCTTACGACATGCTTGCATGTCTACACATTTGCGCATCTCTACATCCAACTACTTCTCCTCCCAGCCGATTTTGACCTGAACACCGCTAACTCCCATCTCAGCTATCACCTTCCTCGCCCAATGGCACCCTCTCATCGCACCCCGCCGACTCGACCTCCGACCACACGAGGGATCACATTAAAACCACCACCATCTCATTCAGTGTTTCGGAGGGAGATTGAGGACTTGTTGGACAAGGAGACAAGCAATGCGTGCAGTATATGTTTCATACTTCATTGGGATACTTTTGGCTGCGGACGCTGGGAAGGCGTCAATGTGTATCATAGCTAGCAATAGCAACGGGATACCTCTCGGGATCACATGACTGAACCATATGCTTCTGGGTCGATGGTTGCTATAGCGTGTTTCGGCTGTCCTGCACATATCTGTGATTACGCTGAGGGCATGCGGAGCGCACGTCACTTCCACGGATGATCTAGTCATGCGGTTAGATTCGTTACTTCTTCCAACAAAAAGGACCAATTCGTACCCGGAGCGCCTCACAACCTGTCCTAAGCTATGCACTGTTTAGAACACACTCTCGTCGAATCTAGGGTCCTTGAGTTACGAACACTTTGTAACTACGCGGAGGGGTACACGACGTCCACGCCGCGTCTACCAACAAAATCATCATACGGTTGAATCTGTAAGATCTACCATATAAACTGGCTAGCACGTCACGAAAGTGCTTCACAAGACATCGCATACTTTTCGCTTGTACCAGGCAAATCTAGTCTCCCACACCGGAGCCGTCTCCCCGTGCCAGAACAAAAACACCGCTCCTCACATCACCAATCCATATATTTTGAAAAATTTCAACCTCCCTCGTACTAACCAGCAGGAACCTTGCCCTAGTGGCGTCAGCCCCGTATCTCCAACATGCTAACCTTAGGTCTTGTCTTTCTTTTTTATATTCGTTCGTTGTCTAGGTCCGCCCAAGCGGTTAGATACGTGAAACCTTCTCCCAAAAATAGCCAATACGTAGAGGAAGTCTTCTCCTCTTCTACACCTCCAGTCCAGAGTTCAGCATCTCTAACCTCTGAATTTCCAACTACGTTCCCCTCTCATCATACCAACACAACTATTCTACGGCCAATTCCGTAACTTCTTGCAACAACAGCGGCGAATGTGTGGACAGAGTGCTTCCTCTCTTCCCTGTCGCTTTCGCGTGATTGTCCTTACTGAACCTTGAGATTAGGGAGCCATATAGGCTAAGCTTTTGACGGGCCAGAGAGGGGAGCTTGTGAAGCCACTGCGTTCATAGGAAAGCTGTTGCTGTTCGATCTGTGACTTCTTGTAACGAGAATAATGATATTGGGGAAGGAGTACTTTACGAGATGGTTGTTGTTTCTTGCTAGGGCTTATAGTGATGTGGTTGTTCCTGGGTGACTGTGAACTATGCAGAGGCTGTACCGTGTGAACGCTGCGTCCGCAAGGCGATAACGCCGTTGGATCTGTTGGTTTTCCGACCGAAATGGCTTCGGGGGGCTATAGCGCAAGACTCTGAATGACTAAGAGGGATTGAAGAGAGGGAAGGGTGGTTACGGATGCTGCAATATCCCTTCATCACCCATAAACACCACTCACAAATCCTGTAGCTTCAAGACGATCTCAATGATATCTTTACCTACAAAAACCCAACTCTACAGCCAATCTCACCTCAACCACCCCGTCCATCCCTCGCCCACAACCTCCCACCCCTCCCAACCCCATCCGCCTAATCCCACCGCCTTCAACACCCCGCCGGCCACCAACCCCCTACACCCCGCCCCGACCCCGACCAACACCGCCGCCCTCACATACCCACAATCCATCAGAATCTCCAACGCCGCAACATTATTCACAATCACCGCCCAACTGACCGCGCTCGCCGAGCTCGGCAAGTCATACTCCCAGATAATCAGCAGAATCGGGAACAGCTTCGTGCAGCTGGACACCAGCAGCGCCGTGCTCAGCGGCGTCGGGTGCGGGTAGTACGGGAACAGCGGCACCGTCGGCGTGAGCGCTGCTACGACTTCGCGAACGCGCGCGGGGAGCGGGATGGTGGGGAGGTGGAGGTTGAGGGCGGGGAGGCGCGGCGGGTGCGCGCAGAGCAGGCGGATGGGGAGGTGGAAGGCGGCGGTGGAGAGGGCGACGAGGAAGAGGAAGAAGAGGTATTGCAGCACGAGGGGCTGCGTGCTGAGCAGGGTTGCGTTGGTGGGCGCAGTGGTGGGTAGAGCCGCGGGGGAGGTGGTGTTGCGGGCGGTTGTGGAGGAGAGCGGTGGGGAGAGCTTTTCGATGCGCGCCCAGGTGAGGTAGACGTCGAAGAGGAGGAGGAGGATTCCTAGGCGGATTATAGAGCGCTGAGGGTTGTTAGAAAGAGTTATGGAGGAGCGATGGTGGGAGCGGTACGTCGAAGCGGTCGTCGTCGCGGCCGAGGCGATTGAAGAGGAGGTGTCTGTAGACCTGTAATATGGATCTGATTAGTGGTTAACGCGTAATTGTGGGGGGCTCTGCCGTACCTGAGGCTTGATCAAGACGAGGTCAATGAATAACACGACAAAATCGTGCTCTACATATTTGTCGGCGAAGCGTTTGCAGCGCGGGCATTGCGTTAGCCGCACCCCCTTGCCCAGAGAGCGATCATCGGCTTTGCTGTAGGTCGTGTAGAGGGTCTTGACTGGATAGCGACATTCTATGCAGATTGGCATTGAGGGTGGTCGGTGGTGCGTGTTTGAGTGTCGCCGAAGGTGACGCGGAGTTAGGACTATTGTTGCCAAGATATCTTTCATCACATGCAATGAACAGAGTAGGGGAAAGTTCATATGTGGAAGCAAATGGTTCAATTATTCGAGTTCATAATCTCATGGATTCTTGTCTTCGTTACACGTGGGTTGGGTTTTCTGTTACTTTCCAACCAAATGCCGTCCATACTCTATCCAATCTTGGCCAAGATATTCAACCCGCCACCCATCCAAGGAAAACATCTGTCCCAAAGAAACTCTCTCGAAGTCTTTGATTGAAATGAAAGTTACACTCCTAACTTCAAAAAGAAAGTGGCCACGTTTGAGAAATCCCAGAGCTCCTACCGAGAATAGCACTAGCTTCCGATTTACACGCATATTGGCATATGTCGAAACATAACCTCCCGAAGTCGTTCCTCAAGTCAAGGTAGCCATCATGGCAGCCACTACTTTCGGGTTTGGTCTCCTCGCTGTCCCAGATATCAACACCGTACTATTTAGCAGATCGGACCAGAGCCAACCTACCCTTTCGATCCTTCTCGATCCGCACAACCTCTCGAACAGGTTCCCTCCTCTCAATAACCTCGTAGTCCACTAGACGGTCATTCTCGCGCTCATACTTGAGTAGACGACGCTCATCCTCTAATCTGCGGATCTCGGCCTTGATATCACGCTCGTCTCGGCGATCTCCAGGCACAAGAACTTGCAGAGGACCTCCAATGCGGTTAGATTCCTCAATGCGTTCTTCGTAGTGCTCATGCCGCGGTGGAGACGCGCTCCGAACAGATTGTGAGTAGTGCACGCTTTGTGGTGGGGGCGGAGCATAGCTTTGCGGTGGGGGTGGAGCATAATGAATGCTAGGTGGGGGAGGAGGAGCATAGATAGACTCGGGCGGTGGGGGTGGGGGTGGAGGCGGCTCAATAGCCTTGGTCTTTGTGTCTTCGTAGACGTATGTCGTCCGTTCTGTTTCGTCGATTAGTAGACATTGATACCTGGGCTGGTGGTCTTGACTCACCGTTCCCGCTGCCCTCTTCGTAAGTCTCGCTGACCTTGATAATCTCATCTATCTGATCCTTCTCCAGGGCTCGACGAATGATGATGAAGTCATCCTGGTCCAGTGAGCAGTGCTCTTCAATATTCGATTTGCGGCTTACCTCTTCCTCAAAAGGATATCCCAAATCGACTATAACCTGCTTCTTGGCCAGTCTCTTGGGCATTCTAGTCTTGCCCTTGCGCCCAGGAGGCTCCCGTACGGGAGACACCTCCTCGAAGCTGGAAGATGAACTCCGGATGGACTGAGCCTTGCGGCTCTTACTCTTGCTGCGGCGAGTTGTGCTCTTTTCTCGCCGGACCTCGACTTCGCGATAGTCTTCCTCGGGTTCTTCGTCCTTGTAACGTACTTCCTCGTAGTCTTCCTCGTGGAAGCGGCTGCGGCTGCGGGGCGGCGATCGACGACGTGGTTCTCGGACAGGAAGAGGGATTGGAACGTTGACCGGAGGTCTCCATTCATCGCGTTCCTGGTCGCCGTATCGAGGATATGGACGGCGATCAAAGGTATCGAGGGACGATTGACGCCGGATGTACTGGGGTCGTGCAGGACGTCTGGCAGGCGGCTCGAAATCTCGCTCAATGATAGACTTGCGGCGATAGGGCGCTAGGGCACGATTCGCTATTTCAGCAGCAGCCGGTTCATCGAGGAAATCCGCTCGGCGGCGAGAGGGGCGCTCGAAGCGATCCTCTTCGAAGAACCGTTCTTTCTCGACAACGCGGGCTGGAGGCGCCCGACGCTCTCGTTCTCGACTATCATTTATCTCAATGTCGAGACGGCTTCTACCTGGTCCACGGTCGTGTTCTTCGAAATGGAAGGACTCGCGGGGATCACGCTCGGATGGGGGGCCTCGTTCACGCTCGGGCGGGCCTCGTTCGCGCTCGGGGGGGCCTCGTCTGCCCATGCGCTCGAATCTCTCACGATCCCATCGCTCTGGGCCTCGACGAGGACCGCTATGAGGATCATCCTCGAAGAATCCGAGGTCTCCGGCGGAAGAACGATAGCCACCGGCGCGCGACATTGTCGAGATGGTTCAGTGATGGGGCTTGCAGTGATGGGGTTGTCTATCGCAGAGTGAGCAGGCGGCTGGAAGGCGGGGTACGTGTCAAGAGTGACGAGCGGAAAAAGAGTTGCGAAGAGGAATGCGTTGCGAGCGGCAAGAAGAGAGGAATATATGTGGGATGACCAGGGGTGAGTAAGCTGTCAGTGCAGATGGCAGGCCGAGGGAGTGTGGAGAGGATGATATCCAAGTTATGGAGTTGCGGATGGACGGCGTCATCGGCGGCCGCTTAGACAACCTTCCAGGGGCTGCAGATATTGATGCCAAGCGGGGGTCCACGACACCGTTGACACAGTGGAAAACGAAAGGAGGATTCGGCCCGTACCTTTGATGCCTCAGGGCAGAGTTGACAGCGAAGCACGCCCGATTTGCGACTTTGGGCTGCTCAGGTGTCGTTGGGAGAATGGGAAACAGGAGAATCGTCTGATGCCCTTCCAGCGCACTGCTCAACAGAAGTCCTCGTGCTTGGGTCGTGTTTGAGAGCTGGAAAGGGAGTGGGTGAGTGGTCGCTCGCGGATAGGATAACCTCGTCGCACCCTTCATGGCCGGTGTGGGTTCACGAAGTATGACGCAGGTGGCGTATTCCAAGCTTGAAAGCCCTGGGATAATGGTCGCAGACAGCTGGAATTCCGGTTGTGCCATAGAAACTGAATCTTCGAGTTACGGAAGCTATCATGCTAAGAATGCTCAGATTCATACAAAGTATCAATATCATCTCAGTCTTATAGCATGGTAGCAGCACTAATCAGCTGGTCCTTTTCACACTAGAACCATTACCGATATGGGAGCACTATATCAATATACCAATGCTCTATTTGGCAAACTATATTATACATTGCCTTTCTATTCTATAAATTCAAAACTCTTATTGCGACCATCTTCGAGGACGGTTTTCTGTTCGTAGGGCGCTCAAGAGCTATCGGCTCTCATAGAAATGAGCTAGGCTGCTCGATGCCTGAGTCGTTCCTTAATATAATAATGTTAATGTACACCGCTCACTCTTAACTTGTGGGAGGATCCATCATATAATACATTTACAAGTTACAGGGGACAGTACACGTATTATACACGCACACAGCCTTCCTAAGCACTCCATATACCCAATATCCAATATACACACCTCTCCTATCAACAACCCCCCCCCCCCCCCCCCCCCCCCCCCCCCCCCCCCCGGGCCCTCACGTCTCCGCAACTTCCTTCACAACCCTCATAACCATCTCCCGATCCACGGGCTTTCCCTTCAGCTCTCCCAACACCCGCCCCGTCGCCTTGCCCACTTGTACACCCCCCTTCTCACTCTTCATCCCGTCCACCACCCCCTCAACAACCACCCTCACCTCCTCCTCAGACACCGCGCCACACCGTTCCGCAATCTCCCTCAACACCACAACCTCCCCCTGCTCTTTCTCCACTAGATCCTGCCGCCCCGCGTCTCCAAATTCCTTCGCTGCAGCACTACATTCTGAAATCCGCTTGCTTAGCAGCGTATACAGCGCCGCGTCGTTTGCGATTGGAGAGCTGGTCTTCGACGCGTTGGTGATGGAGGCGAGGAGCGAGCGGAGGACTGTTAAGCGTTGTGTGTCTTTCGCTTTCATGGCGGCGAGAAGGGCCGGGCGGAGGGTGGGGAGGATGGGGCCTGGGGAAGCGGAGCGGCGGGGGCGGGTAGTGCTGAAGAAGGCCGCGTTCGAGAGGGGATAGAGGAGGGGACGAGGACGGAAGAGGGGGCGGAGGGGAAGGGAGGACATGGTGGTGATTGTGGTTGTATCTGAAGGTGTTAGCTAGAATTGGCAAAGGGGTAGCAGGTATGAGGGCTTACGTACGTCGGCTCGAAGTATTACTGGGTATAGAACAGGATGCAAAGCATCAATTGCTTCTCTCGGTGTCTTCCTGGCTACTTTTTACGTTTGATGGTGTGATGGAGTAGTTCTTGTTTAGAAACTCGGTATAGCTTCGCAAAACGTCTTTGCTGTCGGAAAGAGAGTCGCGAGCTAGCCTGAAAGAGAGCCAGATGTATACTTGCTGTAAAGAGTGACGCCGGTCGTTTGTTGTGTTGAATTGAAGCTTGACGCTGTTTAGAGAAATTCACGATCGAAAACGCATTGACCACATTCGTAACATATTGGTTTTATATCTCGCTGTAACAAATCTTCTCTTTTCCACTCCTACTCTCCGCGGCCATCAATCACGAACGATGGGCTTTTCCGCTAATCGCTCGCAACAGAACGTTTTGTTTTCCAACTTAAATAAAGCTTTTATGATGTCAAAGAGCACCGTCACCTTTCCCAAACTCCTCTTTTTCCCAGCTCATTTCGTGCACAGTTCTCGTTCTGACACCAGAATCCTCTTTTCTTACGAAGAATTGTAGTTTCTTCCATAATCCTTAAGCCTGATGGAGGCACGTCAGGACTCTTGCTTGATCCCTTGGCCAAACTAGAAGAACGGAAAATACATCCTCACCCTGTTGATGATCGCCTCTATAGAAAGCATCATAAAAATGAACCTCAAAGGGATTTTGCCCCGTCAAAATATGACTCCGACGGGTCCCTGAGTCCACATAGCAAGTATTCTTCACACGTTCCTAATGACTTTGGAATCATCCCCCAGATCTGCGATCTTGATAAGACTTATATGTTCTCAGATCAGCAAGTATGCTTCTATATCTTTCCCGAATATCTTCTTAGCATCTCAAATTCGCATTCTCAATATCTTGCGCTTCGCTATATCCAATTTCTTACTCGAAATCGGCCTATGGCGAAAATGTCTGCCAACCATCCCGCTGTCGCAGGCATTGATACTTCAACGATGACTGGTACAGAAACCCAGAACCCAAGGTGAAATGCCAAATACTTAATCGAGCACATGACTGAGAGTGATAGCAATTGGGCGCTGGGAGCTTTCCAAGAAGATTACTACGTGTGAGATGAGCCAGCGAATAAAGATTAGCCGTATGAGCTACTAAACCTAGATCAAGCAGGCTTGAGAAACCTTGACGCTGTGAAGCAGGTGCTCGGGAAAATGTCAGAGGTCATTAAAGGGCCATAGAGGTCAAGCCATAATGTTAACTTTATGAAGTGGCGGACTAGACTTTATTTGGTGTTTGCTTTGTCTCGCTTCCTGCGGTTTCCCGTCACAACTGAGATTGTGCTCTGAGGGCTTTCAACATCTCATTCACTAGAATTAGGAGCCGATAGGGGATGTGTACGCACTATTTCTCTGCATCAGTATTCAAACAGGCATTATGGCCGAGTGGTCTAAGGCGGTAGTTTCAAGTCACGTTGCAATGTGCAAACACAATGCTGAACACTACTGGGGTAACCCGCGTGAGTTCGAATCTCACTGATGTCAGGCTTTTCTTTTGCTCTTTGCTCCGAATGTTGCTTTTTTGGGCTAACCTTACGAAAGGACAGATTGAAAGTTGAAGTGGGGCGTAGAAGAAAACTAATTGGACGACGTCTTGAGAAATGAGATATTCGCCTCTAGCATACAGTATGCCTGTTGAATCCGCTACAACGATATTGAGGGCGGAAAACGGCTATGGGGGAGCTCGAGACTGACCCGAAAAGGGGGAAATGGGAGCTCACGTTTCGTGATTGGCTCTAGTCAAGGTGCTTCAAGGGATCTCGAGCAATGATTAGTGTTCTGTTGAAACCTCTGATCATTTTGTGTTTTAGATGCTTTTCTCCATGCGCGTAAATCATTGAGGGGCGTCGAGATGCGGAAATTTCACGACACAAGATGTAACAAACTACACAAGTCAAATCATATCTCATTTTGCACACGCTCATACGTCGCTAAAGGACCTCTCAGGTTAAGAATATTTTAATAGTAAAAGACAATGGACTGTTCACGCGATTTCAAACCCTCGGTTTTCTTGAGGTGTGGTATCTTGTTCATCCATCCACGGTTCCCTACCTCCGCTACCATGGTTCAGAGCGCACTTCAGAGTGCACTTCAGAGCGTACTTCAGAGCGCACGAGGCGTGCAAAAGTATTTCTCTCTACGCACTTCTTTCCCTTTCTCCTTCACATTTGACCTTAACACACAGCTACGGGAAGTCTTCAACACCACAACGCACCTTTCAAAGCCTTCGCTACAGCACCCTATACCGTGCGTACTTTTAACAACTTTTGAAAACTCCACTCGAATTAGATACTAGAAAGCATGTCTTCTCACGCTTCAATAACCACCCAGGAAGCCCTCGATGCTCCGACAACCTCCCCAGCGTACACCCTCTCGCGCACCGATTCCTTCTTCTCAAACTCGCAGCATCCCGGAAGCCCACCAACCCGCGAAGCCGCAGAAAGTCTCATCCGCGAGGCCAAAAACGTTGCCGAACTTGTTACAATGAGCAACGCCACCTCGACAATAGACAAGACCCTCTTCATGGACCTCTTCGACAACAACCGCACACCGCGTGCCCAAGCCGCTCCCATTGCCACCAAGATGGCCGTCTTCGCCGAGGCCCAGCTCCTAACTTCCATCAACTCCGCCATGGAAGTACCCGGAGGGCTGTCGTACGCACTTGATGAAGCCCTCGGTCGTGGCGAGAAGTACAGGAGGTGGCCTATCTTTAGCAAGATCCAACTTCTCGATAGGTATCAGGCTGATCCTGACGATAGGCGTGCGTGGTCGAAACACGGGCTTTACGCTCAACGATGCCATAATGCGCACGTTCTTGGATATACGCGAGAGGCGATGCGTCAGGCGGAGGAAACACCAAGAGGAGAGAGGCAGTGGGAAATTATGCGGAATGTTTACCCACGTATCCTAGCGGCCTGTGAGGATGTGGCGCAGACTGTCGGGGCGATGCTGCCGGATTTGCTCCCGAAATCGGCAACCCTCAGCGAGCAAGAAGCAGGGAATGAGGCCCCTCTGGTACTGGAAAATGAGGAACAAGAAGCGGAAGAGGCATTAGTCGCGGAGGAAGAGGCATGGAAAGACGACTGTTTTGAGAACGAAAAGGGCCACTGGGTCACACAAACGGTAAAGGAAGAGGCCATTTGGGCGGTGGATGAGGCACAAGAAGAAGTAAAAGAAGTAGCAGGAGAGGAGGAAGGGGTATGGAACGACCTACCGTATGAGGACGCAAAGGGCAAGTGGATCACGCAGCCGGCGCAAGTATCAACGGAAGTGGCGACGATACGGGTCCCAAGCCTCAAAAGAATCCGCAGACAGTGGGCGTGTCGCGTGCAGAATACGACGAAATGTCGCCCGAGATGGGTGTACTGAGGTCATGCTTTGTGAAATAGTTGGTCTCATTGCGTCATTACTTTTGTGAGTTTTTCTTGTGCACATGTATATCATTTTTCAAAACTTGCTACTAGATATACCGAAAGAATAGTCAAACAGATTAGCACACAAAGGCCCTTTCTTGCGATTTGCTCCTGAATACCAAATTCTTTACAATCTCTTGCCGCTGTGTGAAGTTCTCCAACCTACTCTAAAAATGCTAGGTGTCATGTCACACTCGTTACATCGTAGATCTCGCGGTGTGGATTGTGACTGCTTTGAGCGTGGATGACACTGTATGAGAGCCCCCGAAGTAGCATGAATAATTGGGTTTAATGTAAAAGACACCACCGTTCAAATCGTGCGTCAGAGAACTGTTGCTATTTAGGGTTTAGATGCCACCGTCGGGAGTACTAGGCCTATGCAGTCCAAAAGAACCTACAATGTCAAGTTCCGAAGCCTTCAAATAAGACCTTGGGCAATTCCGATTTTGAGAGTGCACGCACAGCGCTGACCCATTCCCGGCCCAACGACTCCGAAAAGCCTCATAATGTAAAATTCTGAACCATTCAAATTAGGCTTCCATGGTGCGGGATCTGGGAAACTGATTCGGGAGCTTCGGTCTATGATTTTGGAGGTGTAC